ACTACGGCGGCGGCGGTTGGGAGGACTACGATGACGGCAGCGGGCGCTGGGCACCCGGTGGTGGCTATCGGGGCGGCTATCGAGGACGCGGGGGTCCGCCTCATCGCGGCGGACCTTATCGCGGACGCGGTGGTGGTTACCGCGGCGGCTACGGCGGCCCGCCTCCACCGCCTCCGCCCTACTATGGCGCCGCCGGCGGCTACGGTGTGCCACCGCCGCACCAGCACCACTACCCACCACCTCCACCGCACTACCAGGCCCAGGCCTACGGCCACCACCAGCCGGCCTATGCGCCACCGCCACCGCCAGCGGCCTACAGCTACGGCGACCCGGCGACTGCCTATAGCCAGCCGGGCTATCATCCGGCACCCGCGGCGACTCCGACGCCTGCCCCCGCCCCCGCCGCTGGTGCCGGCGACGGCACGACCCCCGTCGCTCCTGCTGGCACGGGCGCTGATGCGACGGCGGCGACAAACTACAGCCAACAGCACCAGTACAACTACTACGCGGGCGCGGCCACCAGTGCAGCGCCCGGTGCTGACCCGTACTACGGCGCCTACGGCGCCTACGACCAATCCAGAGCCGGTCCCGCCTACGCCTATCCGCCAGCGCCGCCGCCGGACTACACAGGTACACCTTCTTCGTTATCAACACGGTCTTAAGACCACCCGTCGCCGTCGCTGACGTTGTGGTGCGCGTGGCAGGCTACTATGGATCGCCGGCGGGCGGCAAGGCTCTGGCGCCACGAGATGCCCCGCGCTACAACCCCTACTAGCCGGGCAGTTGTGCAGCTTGCGAGGCGTCTTGTGCCGAACAGCGGCGATGGCTTCCCATCAACAACATTCCTTCTGGGTACCCTCCGCCACCACTACATCATAAAAAAAAATCAACAAATAAAAACTAAAGCAATACATGATAATAAATAGCTCAATGTGGGCATAACTATTGGTTTAATAGTGCCAAGTGTGACTAGTACCCTGATACCAGGGCTTTGAAAAATGGATCAGGATGACTACAGTGTAACCTGAAGTTGGTGTGCTGTCATTCCTCCTAGTCACACTGGGCAGTTTTGGCTGGACAAAACCAGACAAAAATTGCTTCCATTTAAGTCTGATTTCCAGGTGGGTCACTTTTGCACTTGTTTGGTGGCAGAGCATGTATGCAAACACAAGCACTGTTTCAGTAACAATAAAGACAGGGGCATTGTGCCACATCCTCCCTCCACCTCCACCTGGCCCCCAATGCCTGCACCATCCACCTGCCACCACACATACCCTTCAGCTGTTGAGAAGCTTCCCAGCCAGTACCAATCAACACAGCTGTCAACAAAGAAGTGGCTTCAGTCCTATGTTGGTCCAGTGTGCAACTTTGGCAAGTGCCTGCCCAGGTTCTTCCATGAAAGTGTGTTGCAAAAATTCTGCATTTGGTGATGCAAGGATGACCTTGACAGCTATGGTAGGAGTCTGGTAGTTGTTCCAGGTACCCCCCACCTACACACCCCAACCCACCATGAGCTTGCTGCTTCCTTGATTGTGCATCTGCAATGATGTTGTCTTCAAGGTCATGCACCTTGCAGTTGCTGTCATGAATGTGTGGCACTTCAGACAGCAGAACTCCATGCAAGTGACCCACCTTCTTGTCTGTGACCAGCACATCTTGGCCACCATCACTGCTTGCAACTCTGTTGGCTTCCCTACACCACCACCACACACCACAGGCTCTAGTTCAACAGCCACATCCAAACCAGTTGTGCCAACAGGCAACCACCTCTTTCATGTCCCACTCAGTGCATGGGCCAAAATGTCTCATGCTTGGGTGAGGGTGTGCAAGGATCACAAGCTCAGCTACCTCCATGCATGCACCCAACAATCTAGAGAGTTGCAGACAGCAGGAGCTGAGCAGATCTTAGACCATGAGTTTGCTGCCCTGTAATGCCCATAAACACCTTTGACCTAATAATTACCTTCTCAAAAGCCTGGCCAAAGACACTGGGGTCAAAACACTGCACCATGTACTTCAGATTATGCCTTTATTGTCATTCCAGGTACCAGAAGCACCTCAAAGGCATACCCAATTTGCCCACCAACACTCACCTTAAATGTGCTAGTTTCCAAAAAATCACTTTAGAAATCATCTTCTTCTGGTGTTCTGATGCCTCCATGGGTGAGCAGTTGATGTAGGAGTTGATAGATGAGTGATACCTGGTTTGTCCCACACTTCTATTTGATATCCCCATAATTCTCAACTTTCTTAATACTACAGCTCATTGGAGATAGCTTCCTCTCACTCTACACCAGTAGTGAGTTTGCAGGCAGGCATTCATGCTTGCTTATGGAATCTCTGAGAACAAAATGGCCAACTTCTCCATCATGGATACTCTTCAAACTGGAAGGACCTCCACCAACATGACAGCACAGGCAAGGGCAAGGATAACCATGTACACCAACATGGTATTACTCCCCTTACCTATCATGTACACAATAGAATATCCTCAGGCATGAAGTATAATCCACAGGTCCTTACTGTCAAGGCTGTCAAGCAAGGTCTGCAGGACTGGTATTCCACACCCCACCTTCACCCTGAGCCTATATTCCTTCTTGAGTGCTGGTCTATCAAATCCTGGATGGATCCCTATATCCATGGTGTTCATAACAACTCCAGGCCTCATGTCTTCTGCTTCTCCTGCCTATGAAAATGATGTGTAGATGTTCACTAAGGACTACCATCCCTCTGCCTCTCTGTGGATGGGTCCCTACTCCTTCCTCAACATCTGTCCCTTTGACTCTCCCCTTCCTCTTCTCTTAGCTCAGCTTGATACCACCACCCTCAAGGATAGCCTCTCTGCCCTCACTGAGCTCAACAATGCCCAGGCCATGAAGAAATCCTACCAGGATCTTGTCTCTCTTTTCAATAGGCCACCTCCAGAGCAGCTCACTAGTGACCCATTCAGCTGGGTTATCTGTACATACATGCTCAGTCTGAGCTTCTCTCAGACCTGGAGCCATTGGATTAGCCCATCAATGGTTCCATCAGTCTCACTGGATGAAGCAATGGATGGGTCCTACCACTTGACCACTGACCCACACACCTCTGTCTCCTACAACTCCCTCTTGTGTGCAGATGTTTCACTGGATCTCAACAACCAGATGAGACCTGTGCTCCAGTCACTTGTGACCTCTCATTTCAAATTACCATAAGTTAAGGCTTGTCCTCAGCAGCTGGAGAATGTATTACACTTTTTCTGGTGAACCTGACAGCAAAGCTACAATGGTTAACATGGCCCACTACCTCCACAAAGTGAAACACACAGCTAGTCTGCTCAATGCATCAACTTGGAGAAGAAAAAGGACGACTGGGGATTGTTTTAACTATTTGTTATTTTTTATGTTGTAGACAGGGAAAAAATAGAGAAGTTCCTGTGAAAAAACAAAAACAAGAATAGTTCACGGAAGAAAAGGGAAAAGTTGTGAAGAAATGTACTCCCCAAAGTAGCGCCAAAACGTCATCCAGGAAGAGATGAAAGCAAATGGGAACAAAATTGAATCAGAGGAAGAACCCATAAGGGCGCTTGTGCATGAGATCGGCAAACGACTCGCGCGAAACGAAGATGAAATCGAACGTGCTACTCAATTGCTCGATGACCATTGGATAGGGACGCTTGCCGACTGGTCGCGCCTCAGCCTCGACCACAGGAAGGAAGTGGGTCTGCCCCTCCTTCTCTCCTCGTCTCTGGACGAGCTCGTGCTGGATCGCGAGCGGGAGACCAATACACATAAACGAACCCCTGCCTCTCTTCGTTCTCTACCTACCTGCGCCAGCGGTACTTCCATCTTCAATATTACTTTAAAATCTGCATCCTTTTGCCATTCCTTGCTGCTGCTTTACGTACGTACTAACGCACTAACCGCTGGCTGACTCAGGTGAGGACACCAACACCATGCTTGTGGCCTACTGTCTGGACCTGGGCTCCACGGTTTGCTGCGAAGTGGAGGGTCTCATGTTTGAGTTCGAGCCTGCTGGTTCGTTTTCTCACCTCAGTTCTTCGCTTTCATCGAGTGCTGACCTCCACTGCTGCTCGCAACACAGAGCCACTCAGCAAGTTGCTGCGTCACCTGGGTCAGGATGCGCGCTGCTTCGCTGACGAGCAGCGATCACGGCAGCTCCAGCCCTCCACATCCGTCAAGCGCGCACTCAGCCCGGGCCGCGTGCTTGTGGCTGCCCCGCACAGGCACTACCTCCTAAAGCCCTACGGCAGCGGCAAAGGTACAGCGGTGTCGTTCACATACATTCACGCACAACGTTCAAGCAGCTCAGGAAACTCACTATTCGCTTGGACGTGTTCTGCTGCCTCATACGCGTACAGCTGTCGATGAATGGCTGGCGAGTCTGGGCATGGACCACCACCGAGCGGCGTTCGAACGCAGCGGCGTGGACGACTTTTTGGTGTTGCCCTACCTCCGCCCAAACATCCTCGAGGACATCGGAGTCGCCTCGGCGAACGATCGCAACGCTATTATGCGCGCAGTCAAGCGGCTGCAGGACCTCAACGAGTTTCAGTGTACGCACTCTTTCTCCTCGTCATTAGCTAAACGGACCAGATGCCGAACTTGCTAATGTCTTTTTGGCACACATATTGGTGCTGGTGGCTGGCCGCAGTCGTGGGCCTATGGCTGCGATACCTGGGGTTGGGCGTGTACGAAGAGGCGTTCATGAAGCACAGGGTGGGCCTACGCACGATCGCGGTGCTCAGGGAAAGCGACTTTGTGCATATGGGCCTCAACCCTACCCGCACTGCCCACTTCTTCCACGCCACCAAGTACTACCGCGAGTTCTCCTCTGCCGAAGGTACCGCTCTCATCCTTGCGCGTGTCATGAGTGGCCTGTGGCGCTAACGACCCCTTCTTCTCGCCGGCAGCGACCTTCGCCTGGCTGCAATGGAGTGGCCTGGAACGATACGCCTACCAGTTTGCGCGGTTCGTATCTCGCACCTGTGACCGGTGGCCCTTTGCGTCCGCCCCTTGCGGTGGGGGGGGGTTATACGTGGCGCGCGTCTCTCGGGGGCCTGCCTGACCTGCTTGTCTCCTCGATGTCTACTCCCTCTAGATATGAGGTGCCGTTCTACGCCCTGCCGCTGGTCAACTTCTTCATCATCGACGAGATGGGGGTCACCAATCAAGACAAGGAGCTCCTCTCCGCCCTCCAGTCCCTCGAGTTCTCACCCTCGTACGCTGTCAAAGGTAACCAGAACTGTACATGGTGGGTCAGTTGCTACGGTGGTTCGGTCATGGTGCTGACTTGCGAAAACAACACCGCTTTTCTAATAGCCATGGCCTATTGGCTGAGAGACCTGGAGCTGGACGAGTACGCGCTGGTCTTCTCCAAGAACCTCATGGTGGACTTCATCGAGTCGCTCACCATCCTCAACGATCACACCATCAATCGCTTGATCGACTGCAACGCCGCTCGAGAGAAGATGAAGATTGCCGTACGTGGGGAGATGCCCTGCTCTTTGCTCTTTGAATCCGCAATCGTCGTTCACGCTCACCCAACATGCTTGTGAAATGACAACAGGTCCGTGAAATGAAGGAGGTGCAGTTCTACTATTCTGCGTCAGAGTCGCTGCTGCAGGATCTGGTCCTGCAGAAATATGCCGATGTGTTTGCCAAGCACAACATCTCCATCGACAGCCTTCCCCTGCTCGACGACAGCGGCCTGCTTGAGGTATAATCCTGCCGCCGCCCCATTCTCTACCATGACCGGATCTGACCACGGGCCGCCTCTTCTTTCTTTCTTCTTCTGCCGTCTGTACTAAAGATGGGGTTCACCGACGAGGCAGACCGAAGCGCCATCCTCGCAGCTGTGAAGAAGATTAAAGCTGAGCTGCCCTCCGGCGGTACTTACTTCACGATACTACTACACATAGCCATGTGTTCTGTGTGTGGTGGCTAAGCGTGGCGCGTGTGTATCGTAGCTCTGCGTCTCTTCTACTCGAATGAGCCGAACCTGTACCAGATCGACCACAAGGAGACGCCGATGCACCACTCCAGCGTCTCCCGCCCCAAGCTCGGTGAGCGGGGGCACCCGTCTTCGGTCGATGGCCACCGCCCCGGTATGTATGCCCGCTTTGCCGTACCCACCACCATGCGTGCGAACCATCGACATCGCCTTCTCGTGCCTTCTTACCTTTCACACTTACCCTCTGTACAGAGGACACGCGATCGGTGGCGGAGCTGCTGTCGTTCATCAATGGGGCCGACTTGCCCCTAGCGGCGTCGAAACACTTCGGCCCATCCACGCACTCTGCCGGCACCAACGCCTTCACCCGAAGCCCCCTCCACAGCTTTCCATCCTCTCCCTTATTTGGCATGGCCGGGTCGTCGGCAGCCTCGACCTTCTCGTCGTCGTCCTTCAACTACTCTCCGCCGTCGTCTTCGTCGCTGTCGGCCACCGAACACTCGGCGTGCTGCACGACGACGTCGGCAAGGGCTGCGAAGAAGGCCAGACACCGCGCGCGACGAAAGGCTGTCGCCGCCACCAGGTTGCCACGTGCAGCGGCCGCACCACCTCACTGCGCGCCACCTCCCCCGACTGCAGCCACGGGCGAGGCCAAGCCTGCACAGAAGGCGAAGGCAGAGGCAACGACGATGGGCAACGCGGGCAAGCCGCCGCCGACGCAGCCAGCGATGATCGATGAAGCGCCTTTGCCCCTCAAGAAAGCTTCATCAAGAAGTCGCCCAAGACCAAGCCGCCGCCGCCGCCGCCGACAACTGCGGCCAAGAAGAACAAGCAGTCGGCTACCAGCAAGAGTACTACGGCTCCGAGCACGACGGCAAGAGCGGCGCCATCAACGAAGAAGAGGAACAAGACGTCGAAGGCCGTGGACGTTGTGGTGGCGGAGGTGTTGGACCCGGCGCTAGAGGAGCAGCTCGACCGGGAGGTGGAGGAGTTCCGGCAGCGCCTCGAATTGCACAGCGCGGCGCTCGACGTCGTCCAGCGGCGGCCAGTCCGCGCCACCCCGTACCACTTCAACCCGCATCAGCTCAACATCAAGACGTCGGCCGAGTGAGGTGCGATGACTGACACCAGGTCTGTTCTTCTTCTTCTTCTCTTTTTCTTCAGCACTGTACATACACCTCCAAGATACCGTCACCATCATGATCATTGTCACTCCTCCTTCGCCTTCGCCAGCTCCTCGAGCGTCGTTGGGTGTTCAGGCTGCGGGTCGTTGCGGGCCTTCTTCATCTCGGGCGCACCACTACGCTCTCGCTGCGGCACCGTGGCCACGTAGCCCAGCAGCTGGTGGAGCTCGTGCAGCTCCCTCTACGCGAACGGTAAGCAAGAAAGAGGAAGGATGAGAAAGAGGAGAGTAATGAAGTCCGCCATCGAAGGGTGGTGGGGGTACCTCCAGGCTGTTGGGCAGAAGGGCGATATTGGGCAGGTGGAGCGGCTCGCCATCGAGGAAGACGAGCTCGGAGTGTTGGGGGTACTTCACTCTCTGCAGCATAGGGCGTTCGTTGGGCACGGCCGACAAGACTGGTTGGTGGCGCAAGCACACAACAACAGCAGCTGGTCGTGTCAGACGACGAAGCTCTGTTTAGTACGTCAACACCGAGGGGCGCACCGTTTAGCAGTTCGTAAGCGCGTCTGCTGTTGATGTTGAGCGCCTTCAGAAGGTCCTTTAGCTCCATGTGCCCGTCTGAACAAGTAGTGGGGTTCGTCTTGTACGATAAGCACACCTTTCGAGGAGTGAGGCGGGCGAGTAGGACGTACTTGCGGCCAGCTCCTGCACAATGGCGGTTGCAAGCTCTTCCAGAGGGACGGTGTTCTCACCCCTGGTTCTATTGTTGTGCTTCCTTTGGTTGCTACTGGTGTTGCCTTCTTCTTCCATTGCCAGCTCTTCCTTCTTCTTTGTTCTGCGCGCTACACAACATGTCCCGTTCAAAAAATTGTGAATTTCTTTTTATATTTGATTTATTTCCTTTTTCTTTCCTGTTTAAGATGGACGAGGAGACGATCACCGTGGTGGAGGGCGAGGAGGAGTGGCGCCTGCTCCTTGAGACTGCTGGCGATCGCCTCGTACCTCTCTGTTTTTGATTGCGCTGGATACATTTCCATCTCTAAATCAATGACAAACCTGTACGCAGGTGGTGGTCGACTTCCACGCCGTGTGGTGTGGGCCGTGTCGGGTGGTGGCGCCCGTGTTCGAGCGCCTCAGCCGCGAGTACGCCTCCGCTGCCGTCTTCCTCAAGGTCGACGTCGACCGCAACTCGGTACCCACCACCACCACTGCTCGTGTGCGTGCGGCCGTGCGTGCAGTTTGTTGACATCACACCGCTCGTGGCAGGGCATCAGCTCGGCGTGCGGAGTCACCGCCATGCCCACCTTCCAGGTACCACCGCACACGCACACGCACACGCACACGCGCCACCACCACACTCGCCATCGCACACGTACCACCGTACACTGAACTCTCCTTCTTCGTCAATCGTCGTCGTCGCCATTCCAATCGTCGTCTTCGTTCTTTCTTAAAGTTCTACAAGAACGTAGCGCTCGTGCAAGAACTGCGGGTAATCAGCCTTCTCCTCCAATCGTTGCCATCATCGTCGTCCTACTCGCATTCACTCGCGAAACTTCGTCGTCGGCGTGGTGGTGGTGGTTGGGTGGGGGGCGCAGGGCGCGAACGCAGCCGAGCTCGAGAGGCTGGTGAGCCTCCACGCGGGCGAGGCGGGACCTTCGACCGCCCCCGGCGTCGTCACGAAGCGATTCAAGTCCTTCCCACCGGTGCGTATTTACACAACAGCCACTGTCACCACACATGTGTGTGCGTGTGCGGTGGTGCGTGTGCGGTGTCGTGGGAGCTGACTGTGGGGTGGCCGCGACGACGGGCAGGACTTGTATGCCATCTTTGAAGGCGAGCGCAACATCGATTCGGTGTGGACCAAAATCCTCCAGTTCAATGGGCAGCTTCTCGGCAAGGTTCGCCTCCATAATCATCTTCGCCACACACACGACACACAGACACACACACACACACACTACGTACTCACGTTGTTTAGGTGGCTTGAATGGCGCAGGAGGGCCACATGACGGGTATAACCACCCTCGCGCAGCTCAAGTCGCTCTTCACGCTCACCCAGAACGCGCGCTACTTTGGTTCGTGTTTGGCTCGACCCCGCGCGTGCGTGCCGCACGCACTGACCACCCACCCTACAGGCACTGTGGTTCCCGAAGCGGGCCTCGCGCTTCTCGACCGCCTTCTCGCCTCGTGGCCCGCCTCCTCCGCATTCCCCCGTACATTCCTTCAGATTCTTCACGCATGCGCGGTCGATGGCTGACGATGTCGTGTGTGTGTTGTGTGTGTTGTGTGTGTGTGTTGTCATCCAAGTGCTGGACATCCTGCGTCGGGTGGTGCTGATCGAGTCGGCGGCCGAGCACTACGCCCGCATGGCGGCGGGCAGCGGCGGTAGCATGGAGCGAGTGCTGGGGCTGCTGGCCGACGGCAGCGGCTCGGGCCTGGGCGGCGTTCTCATGGGCGTGCGCTTCCTGGCCAACTGCTTCTACCACCGCTCCACCCGCAAGCTCCTGGCCGGCCACGTCACCGTACGTCAGCCCGCCACCTTACGCTTTCTGCCACCGCAATTGCACACATTAAATTAACCATTGGTCTTGGGGGTGGGTGATGCACAGGCCCTGGGGCTGGTGAAGCAGTTCAAAGCCCACGACAACAAGCAGGTTCGGCTCGCGGTGGCCACGTTCCTCCTCAAGTACGTGCGTGTGCGACACGACACGACCAACGACACGACACACACGCATGCGCGACACGGTACTCATGGTGGTGGCGTGCAACAGCTATGTGAAAGCGTCGGCGTGCGACAAGGAGGGATCCGGCGAGGAGCCCCAACACACCCTGGCGACTATCGCTTCGGTATGAAATGCACCGCACGCACCGCATTGCACGCAACGCAACGCAACAGCTGACGTGCGCGTGGGTACGTAGTGTTTGGCGGTGGAGTCAGAAGACGATGCCAAGCTGCGGTTTGCGCTGGCCCTCGGGTCGCTGGTGTCGGCCCAGCCCAGCCTCAAGGCCGCGGCCAAGAGCGAGCTGGCCTTCTTTGGCCTCCCCGCGGCGCCCACCGCCGCCACCCCGCTCGGCCTGGCCCTCTCCGAGCTGGCCCAGCTCCTCGCCGAAGACTGACTGAGTACCCCTTCCCCGCTTCAAAAAATAGAGAAATTTCAACACACCACAAGTCTGCTTCAGCCCTGATCTGTTTCTCTTTTGTTTTATTTACATCACCGCCAACGCAATCAAAGGAGATAAGAAAAGAATGAGGACCACATGGTTGACAGAAGCAAGCACCCATAGCACGGTGTGGAGATGGCCGCCCCACTGGCGTGCCAGTGGTCAGCCTCGCACGACAACACCCACTCGCTCTGCGTAAGCGTAGCGATGTCGCTGGGCACGCTCTTGCCTGCCAGTAGTTGACTGTGAACGTGGCCGCATCGCCCAGGTAGTGGCGGTACACCCTCGCCCGGGCCGAGCCGTCGAGGTTGTAGCGGTAGATGCCGCCGTCCTTCGCGCCACTCTTCGAGAAGTTGCGTCCGGCGGCCAGCAGGGTGATGGCGCTCCCCGCGCTGCGCTCCATAACGCCCCACCTGGCCCAGTTCCTGGTCAGCGTGGCCGGCGGCGACGTGGTCCACGACGCGCTGTTGCTCTCGGCCGGACCCTGGATGCGCGTGACCTGGCCCGTGGCGATGGTGACCAGGAACACGCCGGCCTCGTCCGACGGGCCGTCGATGGCAGCGGCGAACACCAGTTCGCCCATGCCCAGGAACACCGACGGCTGGCGGCTTTCATAGTAGTCGCTGTTGGGGTTCAGCGGGGCCGACAGCACCACGATGCCGCGACGCCAGTCGGTCACGAGCGCGCCGTCGGTGTCGGGCACCAGCGGGATCAAGTGGGTAATGCGCGCAGAGGGGTCGACGTCGGCGACATCAAAGCTGAACCAGGTGGTCGACGACGTGGCGAAGGTCCAGAAGGAGCCATCGCCGAGGTCGGAGAAGAGGCCGTCTATGAGGGTGGTGGAGGTGGACCTGAGGGTGATGTTGCTCGGGTCGGAGTTGCTCGTGACGTCGTCGCTCACGTAGTAGAGGCCCGTGGCGCCCACCACCAGTGGGCTGCGGTCATCCCCGAGGAGGTAGGGCTCTGACGCTGCAATGCCCTGCGCAAGACACACGAGGTATTGGAGAGGGACTTGACGCCGTAGCTCTTGGCCTCGCTCAACGCCACCGCCACCGCAAGGAGTAGCAGCAGCGCGGTGCTGGCAAGGGAGCACCATGTTCTTCGTGCCACACCACAAGTCACCATAAGACAAGACCTACCAAATAAAACAAAACAAAAAACGGTGAAGATGCTATTTTTCCTAAAATGGACAAAATGAAAATGGAAGAATAGTAGAGTTTTTCTCATTTTTCTTTTTGGGTTTTGTGTGGTGCCGGGCAGCTAGCTGGGGTGATGTGTTGGGTTGCGCGAGGGAGGCGACGACGTGGAGGTGGGCGACGAAGAGTTGGGAGACGAAGACGTCGGCGGTGGCGTGAAAAAGCGAGGCAGTGGCGGCGGTTGTTGCTGCTGCTGGAGGTGCTGCTGAAGGTGTTGAAACTGCTGTTGATGTTGAGGTAGGTGGTGATGCGGAGAAAAGTGGAGTGGAGGTGGAGGGTGGGCAGCAGCAGGCAACAGCGCGCGGTGGTCGACCAGCGGCGCCCACTGGTCCACCACCTCGCCCTCGCGGATGTGGCCGTCCTGCCACGACAGCGCGCACATGATCACGTGCTTGGCCTGGTGGTTGCACGCCAAGTCAATCCCAAGTCAAAAATCAAACCAGGTCAAGTCAAAGTCAAGAATCATCAGACGAGTGTGTGAGAGAGAGCGTTACGTTGCCGTCGTGGTCGAAGAAGAACTGCGTGTTGTCGATGATTCGCAGCAGCCGGCCGCTGCGCGTGCGGAACAGGTGGTTGAACCGATGCAGAGTGCTCTCCGACATGGGTGCCCTGTGCCAGGCGAACCACACACGTCAGGCCCATATAAAGGTGTGCAGTGTTGCGTGTGCGCGCGTGTGCGGTGGTGCGTGTCGTGCAGTACTTTTTCGTGAGAATGGGCGTCAGTTGGGGAAGCGCAGCTTCGTTGAACACTGCGATGGTGCTCATTGGCTTACCCAGGAGCTCATGCTGCGCAGAGCAGAAACATAAAAAAATATTTTATCCATTAGATAGGAACATATTGGTTGATTTAAGATTTGTTGAAATATTTCACTGACATCGCGTACCCAGGAGTATTGTGTGAGTTGCGCCATGGCCTGATTGACGAACACGATCACGGGCGGCTTGTTGTCGAACACCGACGACATGGTGCCCGCCACCATCGGATATCTGGCCATCATCACAGCCATACCACCGATTAGTCAAAACACATACACGCACGCACGCACGCACGCACAGACACAGACACACACACGACACACGACACACACGAACACACACGACACACACACACAACACGGTACCCGGGGCCGGGGACGGCGAACTCGTGCGCGAGGGCGTACTGCCGGAGGAAGGGCAGGTCCCGTCGCAGGTCCTCCAGCATGAGCTTCGCGACCGACGGTACGGTGGTCGTCGCGGGCGAAAACTCGCGAAACGCCGGCTCGTGCAGCTGCTCCCATTCTCGCCGCCACCGCTCGTCCATGAACAGTTGTTGTTGCTGATGTTGCTGCTGTAGTTGCTGATGCTGTTGTTGGTATTGCTGGTGCTGTTGCTTTTGGAGTTGATATTGATATTCGTGCTGCTGCGGTGGATAGTGGTGTTGTGGCGTATGTTGTTGTTGTTGTGGTGGTGGTGGTGGTGGTCGGTGATGTTGTTGCGTTGCCGTTGAAGACGTTGCCGATGATGTTGGTGATGAGGTTGAGGGTGATGTTGACGTAGGGGATGATGCTGTGAATGATGTGTTGGTTATATATGATGACGATGATGTCGACGTCTGAGTAGCGGCTGACGACGATGATGACGATGACGACGGCGCCGACCTTAAGGCGGCCATGGCGCGGTCGAGCTTGATCTGTCGGTCCTGCATGACCGCCATCTGGCTCCACAGCTGCTGGTTCTCGAGCCGCAGGTTCTTCACCTCGCTCGTCAGCATCTGCACCGCGCGCGCCAGCATCGCCACCGCGCTCTCCTCGCCGTCGCCACAGCCCTCTCCTCCGTCGCCCGCGCCTTCGGCCTCTTCGCTCTCGCCCTCGCCTTCGTCGCCCTCTTCGCTCTCGCCCTCCATGTCGTCGCCCTCCCTGTTGCCCAGGGCGACTTCGCCCTCGCTCCGGGCTCGCTTGCCCGGGCGACCGACGGTGGTCGGCACTGTCATCGACGGCTCGGCGGCGGCGCTGGCGGCCGGTGGCGCCGGGTTGCGCGGCCGACGGCTGCGCGTCCGCGCGGGTAAGTCCGAGCACTCGTCGGCCCGCCCGATGCGCACGCACCGGCGGCACGGGCGGGTTCTGCAGTGAAACCACACAGCACACAAAGGGGGGGTTACATCATCAACGCAGGGGTGACGCTACGGTTGCAACCCAAGTCTTTTAAGCGTTTGTTTTGTGTGTAGCGTTACTCATGTACTGGTGTCCACGTAGCGCGAGCTGAGGTGGTTGAAGGTGACGGTGGAGGTCATCTTGGTTGTGGAGTGGTGGCGTGGTGTGTGGTGTGGGTTTGTGGATTTGAGAGGGGGGGGGAAGGTACGAGTCGCAGGCGTTGTGTGCCTTGCGGCACAGGCTGCAGGCTCGCACTCGCTGCGGGCCTTTCGAATCGAAAGCGGCAGACGTCAAAGTAGGGGCGGAAGACGAAGCGGACGTAAAAGTAGATGATGAAGGAAAAACAGAAGAGGGGGCGACTGTCGAAGGAGAGGGCAAGAAGCTGGATGGCTCGATAACCAGCAGCGGGGGCATGTCCAGTCCATCCTGCTGCTGTGCCTGGCGTGCGCCGAGCGGACGACGCTGCTCCATCCCCTCGAGATTTGTTTTACCTTTTTTTCACTTTAGATCTTCGCTCTACGTTCTTCTCCTCCAGTTGAACTGACCAGTTGAAGAAGACTAAGCATGCCTCTTCCTTCTTCTGCTGTCGGCCGGCACGGTCAGCTCACGTCTGGTATTTATTTGATAAAACGTGGTCTTGCTTAGCGACCAAAAAAGCACAAAACGTGGCGACGACGCAGACACAAAAATGCAGTGAAGACAACGTGTTACCTATTTTTATTATAAGATATATATATATATAATATATAATATAATGCGAACACATCTCTTTCTCTTCTGAGAGGGCGCTTCAGGCCCGGAAGTCACGGTATTCTTCGGGCTTGTTCCTCAGCACCTTCTCGATTTCGTCGAGGACGGCGGGGGTGAGCTTGGGGAGCACGTCGAGGGCCTTGAAGTTCTCGTGGACCTGCTCGGCCCTGGAGGCGCCCGTGATCACCGTCGACACGTGCGGGTTCTTCGCACACTGTTGTCGTGCGTGGCGTGGCGTGCGATGTGAGTCACGAGGGAGGTCGCGTGAGTTTCTTTGACCATCATGAGAGAGACAAGACAGCCCTGTCCATCATGCACGAATGGCAAAGAACAGAAATAGTACCCAGGCGATGGCGAGCTGGGGCAGGGTGCAGCCCAGCTTCTCGGCGATCGGCTTCAGGTCGTCCACGATCTCCAGGATCCTGTCCAGATCTGATTGGCAGTGTCACCGCCCAGTGCTGATGTGGCAGCCGCCGTTGTTACCGTGGCAAGGGGCAGGGGCGCGTACCGGTGGTCTCCAGGCCGTTGAGGCCCTTGCCGGAGAGGAGGCCGTCGCGGAGGAACTTGGTCTTGCCCTCGAAGCTGCCGTCGGCCAGGCGCGAGCCCTCCGGGAACGCATCCTTGGTGTACTTGCCCGTCAGCAGGCCCGACGCCAGCGGCGACCAGATCGTCGTGCCCAGTCCGATCTCCGAGTACAGCTTACCGTACTCCCTGTTCATGTGTTGTATCGTGTTGCATGAGCGTGTGGCGTTTGTCATGGTGTGTGTGTGTCGTGTGTGTGTGTGTGTGTCGTGTTTGCGTTGCGGGCAGGGCGCAGGGCGGGGCGTACTTCTCGACGCGGGTGCGGTGGAGCATGTTGTACTGGGGCTGCTCCATGATAGGCGGGATGAGGTTCAACCGATGCGCGATGTGGTAGGCCTCCCTCAACTGCTCGGCCTGCTCACACGGAAAACCAACGAGACAGAGGCCCTTTAGATCATATGCGTGTCGTGTGCGGTATGTGCGCGTCTCATGTCGATTGTGTAGGCGAGTGTCATATTGTGTGCACGGTGCGAAGCAGGGCGGGAGTGGTTACCCTCCACTCAGACGTGCCCCAGTAGAAGGTCTTGCCCTGGTTGATGAGAAAGTTCATCGACCTCACAATCTCCTCAATAGGCGTGTGCTCGTCGGGGCCTGCACTCCCAAAACACCCTCAGCGCTCCACGCGCACACGACACACACACGACACACACACACAACACAGGAGGTGTAGCGCACGGTGGCAGAACAAGAGATCGACATAATCGAGCTGGAGACGCTTGAGCGAGGCATAGGTGCCCTCGATGATGTGCTTGCGCGACAGTCCGCGCTCGTTGACGCCTGATGAGTGTCGCGTGTGCGTCGTGTGCGTCGTGTGTTGTTTTAGTGACGCAATCAATCAATCATCACACTCGTCACAGAGAGGCTGAAGACTGTACCGGGGCCGCCCCAGAAGACCTTGGTGGAGATGACGAGCTCAGAGCGGGGCACGTTGAGGCGCTTGAGCACCTGGCCCATGCAGATCTCGGCCTCGCCGGCGCAGTACACCTCCGCATTGTCGAGGAAGTTGCAGCCAGCGTCCAACGCAGCCTTGGTACACTCGTACTACACGCACCGCAAGGCACACCACCACATACGAAGTATAAATAAATATATATAAACATGTGTGCACATGTTGTTGTTGTTGGTCATGTTGAAGAAGAGGTAGAGAAAGAGAGGCATGTACGGCGAGGTCTTCGGTCTTGGTGTTCCAGTTGACCCACGCGCCAAAGCTGAGGACCGACACGCGAAGGCCGCTGTTGCCCAAGTACCTGTACTCCATCTTCGCCTTCAATTCGCTGGGGCTCGACATCTTTTATCCATCACCACGAGATTGGCAGCATCATGATGTGAGACATCAACCACTGAATCAAGTGGAAAAAGATGTCGTTGGGGTGATGTCTCACAAATCTCCCATAATTAATCAAATTCGAGGCTGTGGCACCTTTGTAGATTTTGTTTAGTCTTCGAGGTGCCGGGTGGGGACTAGTGAACAAGGCAAGGGACGAGCGAACAAAGCGAAACGACGCTCCACAACTGCGTGACGCACCCTGATAACGCCGAAACAAAATACATAATATTTGCTTACATCACTGGCTCCTCGATTCGTTCCGCTCGCGGTGGCAAGCCGGCAGTCGAAGGCGAGCGCCAGGGCCTTGGGTCCGGCGAAGTCGGACACGCGGATGACCGTGTGGTTATTGGGCACGAACGTCATGTCTGTCGACGATCGGCAGCTCGCCGGCTTGGGACACATGGTTGAGCTTCTCCGTCACGTAGTCCGCACAGTTGGCGTTCTCCCCAGGCGCGCTGTTGTGCTCTGACATGTCAGAGATCTGGTCTTGCTGCAGCTTGTTGTCAGAGCGTAGTCAGCCCGCCTCAACCCGCTTGGGGCGAGCTGAGGATATTGCTGGTTTACGCTTGCGGCCTTGGCAGGTCTCCGTACATAGTCTGGCATTCACTGGACACCCCCGCGCCAAGATGATCATCACTTGACCGGCGCTGACGTCAGCATCAGGACCCTTTCGCTTTTTGTCCGGTTATTGTGTGGTTTGGCAAATAAGAAAATTCCAAAAATCGGTATTTTTATTGTTGTGCGCCAGGTGAAGAATTGCAAATGGAACCAACACCAGCACACACACACCTATGTGCACACAAGGAATGCACACACAGAAACTCTGATGGATCACACATCACATTCTCATCAGCAAGAGGAGTGCAATACCACAAGAAAAATACACACCAGCATCCATGCCCACCCAAGTGCTCCAGATGTGTACATTGGAAGGACAAGTGTACCAAGCTCAAGAAGAAGAAAGCACAGTGCATCCCATGTCAGCATGAGGGCTGCCCCCAGTGTTTGGGGTCAGTGAAGGCAAGGTGGGAGCATGAAAAGAAGGTAGGTGTAGCTGCTGTGTCTCTCACTGTATTTGTACTAACTTGTCTTGCAGGCAGCCCACAAATGCCCACTGGGCTGTGGGCACTGCAAAGTGCTGGCCAATCAAGCACAGGCACAGATACAAGAGGAGGAAGAGAGATTAGAGTGGTGTCAAGAGCTTGAGGAAGCATTTGAAGAGCTAGTGCAAACCAAGCAGGAGATCATGGAGTGGATGAAATGTCTACACCTACAAGCACAAGAAGAGTTCTGCTGGGATCTACCATCACAAGAGGAACATCTTTGCCACCTGGCTGAGACATTTCTGCTGGCCATGTACCAACAGCCAAAGGTAAGTGTCACACAGAACACAACACAGAGGTTAACATGTTTGAAATCAATAATGAACAATAGGAGGTCTGCAAGAGGTCCTGCAGTCAGATGTGTGGGCGATGCAGTACCTGGTGGACAAGCTCAAGTACTTCCAGAATCACCTCTCACTGCCCAGTGTGGAGGCCCTCCTTGCACTTAAGGACAATCTCTATATTCCTGATGATCAGTGGCATTACATTACATCCACCTTTCAGCTAGGGCCAGGGAGCAGCCTGCACTACATCAAGAAACATTGTCAGGCCCTAAACCAGCGTCTTACCTTCACCGTTGAGAAATTCAGAAACTACAGCCTTGAGAGCAAGCACTCCTGCAACAAAGCAGTGCTGTGTGAGATGATGAACCACTTCAAGATGGGTGAGGCAGCACTTGTTTGGCAGCAACTGCAAGTGAACATGCAACTGGAGGAGCACCAGTTCACACACACCCAGAATGGAGAGGAGCCAATGTGAAAGAAGCAGAGGACAATAAGGAGCTGGGCAGAGTGCACTTTAGCTGTTGTCCCTCAGTTGGCCCCATTTGTGGTGTCCTCCACCCATATCTAAGCAGTGGCAAGGGCAGCAAGACCAGCAGCAGCGAGGGCAGTGAGACCAGCAACAGTGAGGGCGGTGAGACCAGCAGCAGCAGCAAGGGTGGCAAGACCAGCAGCAGTGAGGGCAGCAAGACCAGCAGTGGCAGCAAGGGCGGTGGTGGTGGTGAGGGTGGCAAGACCAGCAGTGGTGGTGAGGGTGGTGAGACTGGCTGCAGCAATGGTGGCAGTGAGACCAGCAGCAGTGGTGAGGGCAGTGAGGGCAACAAGGGCGGCAAGACTGGCAGCAGTGAGGGCGGTGAGACTGGTGGTGGCAATGGCAGTGAGACTGGCAGTGAGGGTGAGGGTGGTGAGACCAGTGGCAATGAGGGTGGCAAGACTGGTGGCAGTGAGGGCAGCAAGACTGGCAGCAATGAGACCAGCAGTGGTGGCCATGGTGGCAAGACCAGCAGTGGCAAGGGCAATGAGGGTGGCAAGACTGGTGGTGGTGAGGGTGGTGATGAGGGCAATGATGGTGGGGAGACTGGCAGCAACAAGGGTGACTATGAAAAGGTGGCAGGAACAGCAGTGAGACCAATTATGAGGGTTATATGTGCTCCTCTCTCTTTACAGTGTGCTCCTCCTCCTCCTCCTCCTTCTCGACCTTGACCGATGCATCCATGTGATGGGAGAGACGTTAGAGAAAAAAAGCCATGAAAAACAATTTCCGTTGCTAGCGAAAGGATCCTGATGTCGACAGGGTTACCTCATGAACGGCGAAGGTAACCATAGGATACAGAAGGTTACGTAGTCCAAGCTGACACCGTTGGTCAAGTGTGCCCATGTGCGACTAACGGGAGCGCAGCAGCTCCATGAAGAACGGCTGAACGGTCGCATGAAGACCGGTGCGGATAAAAGCTGCACAACCTGTTCCGCAAAAGTCGCCACAGCTTTCTTAAGGCTTGGGTACCTCAGGTATCGCTCTCTGTTTGCTACAGAGCTTGCTTCCGCAACAAACTTCTCCGTTGCCAGCAAGAAAGGGAGGGTGATGCTTGATTGCAACTTTTGTGTTGTCTTCCAAATCCCCTGCGACAGGTTCACTCCTCCCCTTTTGCTTCGTTTCATTCTTTTTTTTTGTTGTTTTTTTTCCATTTTTTATTGATTTACAATCTACATCTAGGGGCCGGCCGTGTGGACACTGCATACGGAAGGGTTACTCACACCTGTGCTCCGATGCCCCACCACCACCTTCCTCCTCCACTACACCGCCCACAACCGCCGCAGCGTTGAGAAAGAGAAGACGAGAGCCCAGCAGCAGCAGCAGCAATAAGGCGGCGGTGGTGGACCAATGGAAGAACCAGCAGTTTGGAGACCTGCTGCAGGCCGTCGGGCTGCTCACGGCCGAGGTGCGAGATCTGGCCGCCGACAACAGGCAAATGAGAGCCGACCTGGAGGCCATGCGCGGCCAGCAGCACGCCACCAACCAGCTCACCTCCGTGCTCAAGCTCACCACAACCCCCACCATCTCATCCGCCACCTTAACCGTAACCCCTCCACCTTTGCCAACGTCGTCTACCATGTGGCCGTCGCGAGCATTGCTGGAGGCCATGCGCGAGCTTCCCTTCCTGCACGACTACCCCAGCCTGGCCGGCTTCGCCATTCCTGACTTTAGGCACGCAACTCTCGTTAAGGTGGCTGGTCGTGGTGGTTAAGGTGGCTGGTCGTGGTGGTTAAGGTGGCGGCTGACAAGTACACTACATGTGCAGATACCCGGTGCTGGCGTGCGTGTACCCGGGCAACACTATATTCGACCCAGTCCCGCCCACCATCCTGTTCGCCAACGCGGCCATGTGTCGGCTATCAGGCTACACTTTCGTACGCCTCCCCCGGCTGTAGATTGCTGAGGCGATAACCTTTTCACCGTATGGCCCGCCGTTGGATGTTGGTGTAGAGGGAATTGGTTGGCGCTCTGGTCACGAAGGTCGTCGTGATGCAAGAATCCGCGCGACTAAAGATGGGACCCTTTCTCTCCAACAAGTACGCCAGTTCTCCTCATCTCACCTCACTCACCACCGCACAACGAACAACACCCTCCCCCACGCAACTCACTTGCGTCTGCAGAGATCCGTTGTCGTTGAGTCCCGTGTACAGCTTCAACACCCTCATACGCTCCAGAAGCGGACGTCTGTGGCGCACCTTGGCCGACAGCACCCAATTCTTCTTCGGCCAAAACGGAACCGTGCGTTGCGTCCTCCTCCATCTGCCTGTCTCTTCCCTCGCACTCACTCTGAGAAACACAATTCACAACACGCCACACTCCACTACAACACGACACGCACGACACACCACAACACAGCCGAAGCACATCGTGGTCAACCTGACGCAGTGGGAAGAGGGTCACCTGCGCGAGGGGGAAGTTATCGACCACTGGGAGGGCATGACCTCGGGCCCCAGCTTCCGCTCGACCTGGACCGCCTCGCCTTCGCCCGCGCCCACGGCCGCTGCGGCCGACGAGCCACCTGCTCCACCAACGCTAGCGCCGGAGATACCCACAAGCTGTGGCCGGCACTGCCGGCCAGGGCGATCGCCGATGATGATGATGATGCTAATGGCGACGGCAGCTTCTCCTCCTCCTCGTCGTCATCATCATCGTCCCGGTCTTCGAGTCCGCCTTCGCCGCCGACGGAGGAGATGGCGCTGATTCTGCAGCTTCTGGACTCTAGCTATCTCTAAGCGTTCTGCCGCGGTCAATCAGCCCACACCCATTGCCACCACCACCACATCAGCCACTTAACAAGCACTGTCTTGGTGGAGCATCTGTTGTCATCGCCTAGGTCTTCGGCGTGACCACGTCGCAATCAACGCTGATGTAGGCGATGTGCAACGGGCTAGCCGATTGGTCATTTGAAATTTCTTCTGCACTTTCTTCTCCTGGCTCTGCTGACCATCAGCTTCCAGGCAACGGTGCGACATCGAGGCCCAATCAAAAGCTCCCGGCAACTCCGCAGCCACTGTGCTTTGCCCAAGCAGGTCCACTTATAGAGCGGTTTGGTGATCGGTCGAGATCGGGGAACATTTCGTGCTGCTGTGGGTTCCTGTGACCATTCCGCACCACCATGGCGACCACTTGCACTCAGTAAACCAGGCTTGCCTCGATCTTTTTATCTTCTTCTCCTATCACTTGTCCAGCTCGCACCTCAAAGACAACGCTTGCTTGCTCCTTGACCTGATCCTCAATAGAGGATTGTGTTGCATCCACTTTTCCAAAAAGGTATCGATCTTCGATTGAAAACAGAGAAGATGAACCACCCTCAAGCGGAGACGCACGTCGTTTATAGGTACCACCTTCTCTTCTTCTTCTTCTTCATCTTTTTTTCTCTTTGTCATCCTCCTCTCTTTCGCTCTCTTTCGCTCTTTTTTACCCGCGGCCAATTCAATTTCATTCTATTTTACCATCCCCTCACCATCTGCTTTATCATCATCTTCAGTGCTCCGGAGCCCACGACCAAGAAGCGAGCCCGGAGCGTGCGCAACGGGCCAGGCGACGTCCACCAGCGCCTGCCCAAGAAGTCGTTCCAGGCTCGCCCGCAAGTGCTGTGGTCGTCACCGCAAGCAGCTGAACATCATCATGAACACGACGACGACGATGGTGCACCGTCGATGGTGAGCGGCGCCGTGGCGATGGTGGTGAGCGCCGTCGAGGCGCTGGCGGCAGAGGTGCGGGCACTGCGCGACGACAACCGCCACATCCACGTGCAGCTCGACGCCATGAAGGCCCGGCAGCACGCCTGCGATAGTGCACTGGCTTCGCTGCTCCACGGCAACCATTACCAACAATCGACCGTTGGTTCCGCGCCGCGGAAAGTTCGGAAGGCGAGCGCGCGGTTGACGGGTAACCGGAGTTGTGAGAATGCCGAGGAGCGGCCCAGCGCAGCGGTGCTGGAGGCCATCAGGGAGCTGACGTTCCTAGACGACTACCCAAGCCTGACGGGCTTCGCCGTGCCGGACTTCCGGTTTCCTGTGCTGGCCTGCGCCTACGCCGGGGCGGGCTCGCGCCCGACCATTATCTACGCCAACGCCGCCGCGTGCCAGCTTACCGAGTACTCCTGGGTACGGCCCTGACTCACGCATTGATCTGTGGTTGCACGGCACCTGATTCGTGTTGTTTTTAACTCCGATTGCATAGGGTGAGCTGATTGGGGCGCCGCTGAGCACAGTCGTCGCAATGGCCGACCAGCTGTTGGTCCCATCTCAGAGTCCCGACCTGTACGTTTTTGTGTGACACGACACACGCGACACCCGCACACGAGCGCGCGACTCATTCTCGCGCGCAGAGGCCACGAGCGGCATCCGGCGATCAGTCCGGTGTACAACTTTCACCACGTGCTGCGGAGCAAGAGCGGCCGGCTGTGGCGCGCCTCGGCCGACAACACTCAGTTCTTCTTCAACGCCACCCAACCACACCACGTGCGCGAGTGCAGCGCAGAGCCGAGGCACGCCCTGATCAGCGTGACCCAGTGGGTCAGGCTCGCCGAGCCAGGCTCGGTCGTCCCCTCCACTTCTTCGATCGAAAGTGTTGTCGACAACCTCCTCGACTGGGTGGAAGCGACGACGCCCGCAGAAGAGAAGTCGCGGCTTCTCCAAACCTCACACTCTTTCTCTTCTTCTTTCTCTTCTTTTTCTACTTCTTTCTCTTCATCATCGACCTCGTCGTCATCGCCGCAGCCGCCAGCAACAATCCTCTTCTATCCGCCGCACCACACACCACCCAGCGAGCCGTCGTCTCCCTCGACCTCGTCGCCCGAGTTGGCGTCGGCACCAACAACGGCCGCCAACCACCAGCTGCAGCGGCATCCCATCAACCTGTCATCATCATCGTCGTCGTCATCACCCCACCGCCCGACTCGCTCGTGGCCCTTGCTCTAGTTCTTCCTTCGTCTTCTGTTACGATCAGTAAAGCACCCGTGTACAATATGTGCGGCGTTGTGTGTTGTGTGTTGTGTGTGTGTGTGGGCGATGGCTACAGCAGCGTCCAGTAGTCGCTGGGGCTGAGGCCCTCCAGCGTGAGGTCGCCCGGTGCTGACAGCCACGGAGGGAAGAGGTCTGGACCACCATCTGCTGGCGTCATGGGGTGGTGAGGCGTCGTGTGTGCGTGCGGCGTGTGCGGCTGCTGCATGTCGTGGCTGGAGATGAGGAGTTGCTTGCATAGCTCGCTCACGGGCGTCCATTGATCGAAGGCCTCGCTGCCCTCCAATTGTCCAGGCTCCCATCGAACTAGCGAATTGAGGACGTGCTTTGGCTGTGTGCCGTGAGTGCCGTGAGTGCCGTGAGTGGTGCGCCAGAGTCAGTGCGCGGCAAACAGCTAATATACAAGGGGGGAGGCACATACGTCGCCATGTTGATCGAAGAAGATGTGCAAGCTGCAGTCCGCCCGCCACAGCTGGCCGCTTCGGGCGCGGAAGAGCGATCTGATCGGTAGGGCCGGTCCCACATACAGCGGCGTCCTTGCGTGTGCGTGTGCGTGTGCGTGTGCGTGTGCGTGTGCGTGTGCGTGTGCGTGTGCGTGTGCGTGTGCGTGTGCGTGTGCGTGTGCGTGTGCATGAGACACACCGTAAGAACGCCCTGGAGAACCGGGCACGCACTTGCTGCGAGTTTTGGCGAAGCGGGCGGCCTTCTCACGGTCGAGGGCCACGAAGCTGGTGAGCGGCTGCCCTATGACCTCCGCCTTTCGAATGCCCCCCCCCCAACACGACTGAGCTCAGCCCCGCCACACACAGCTATAGACCACTGCCCAGGGGAGGGGTACCAGAGTGCAGCCGAACAGTTCGCACAAGGCGGAGTTGGCGAAGACGAACACCGGCGGCGCGGCGCCTCCTGTCGTCACCTGCGTGCACAGCACCGGACCCCTACAAACCGCCGTGATGTTCTCAATAAACTGTGTGCCGTGTGTGCCGTGTGTGCCGTGTGTGCCGTGTGTGTGTGCGTGTGCTGTGTGTGTGGCGTGTGTGGCGTGTGTGGCGTATGTGGCGCGTAGCATGTGGGTGGAGAGATGACGGACCGCAGGTCGGGAGGGACGAAGGTGTCGGGCAAGACGTAGGGGTCGAGGAACGGCATCAAGCGGCGCAGGTCCAACAACGACCTCCACGTCCCGGCCTCTCCTGCTTGGTGGTGTTGGAATGCCAACGATGCGCCGCCGCCGCCATGTACCTCGGCCTGGTGCGACCGCCTCGAGCGCTTGGCCGCCGGCTCGCCCGTCGTCGTGGTCGTGGTCGTGGTGGTATTCGTTGTCGATCGCTCAGTCAGCGCGCCCTCGGTGGCGGCTGCGAGCTGGGCGCGCAGGCGGCCGACGGTGGCGTCGGTGTCGAGCTGGCGAGCCGTCAAGGCCTGCAGGTCGGCCCGCAGCTGCGCGTTGTCGCGCTCGAGGAGATCCAGCTTGAGGCCCAGCTGCTCGACCAGGGCCAGCAGCGGCTGTTGAGGCCCGGCGTCGCAGGCCCAGCTGCCGGGGCCGTCGGCCGCGGCTCGAGCCAGGGGCGTGTGGCCGTAGTGGTGGAGGAGGTGGTGATGATGATGGTGGTAAGTGGGTGGTGGACTCTCACTGTCGAGGCTCTGCGGGGACGGCATGGATGAAGTTGATGAAGAAGACGAAGAAGAGAACGAGGGCGCGGTGTGAAGTTGCGGAGGTGGTTGAAGGTGGTGGCGTGCGGGTTGTTGTGCTTGGCTGATGAATTCAACATGTTCGGAGGAACACAGATGGGCGCACCCGGTCCGCACGCACCGCCCACAAGGCCGACACCTTGAGGGACATATTAATAAATAAAGTACCACAAATACAAATACGAAACAAATATAGGTACATATCGCAGGCGACTTGTGCGCCACGGCAGTTGCTGCAGTCGATGGGCTGCCGGTGGCTGCCGCTTGCTGCTCTCTTCTTGCTGCCGAGCTCCATGTTCTACTACGGGCGTTAAAACTGCATTTCAAGGTCACACGTTTAAACCTACCGCGATCACATGTTGCCCATTGGCTCCTTTTCTCTCCGTGTTTCTTCTGCTGAGAAAAGAAAATTCCCGCGCAGAACAAAATTACAAATTCCCGTGCGATAAGGTCAGGAGGCACTGGGGTCGGGGAGGTAAAGCGGAATGAACGAAGACGGCAATCCTGTCGAGGCCGACAACGAAGATGTCGACGATGCCGATGTCGATGATGATGATGATGATGACGAGGACGATGCAGAAGTTGATGTAGATGTGGCTGTCGATGCCTGCGTCGAGGAATAGGAAAAGGAGGAGAAGGATTGGCGCGGGGTCGAAGCGTCAAGGAGGGTCTTGAGCATCTCCTCGGTCGCCGGCGAATATATGACCGGGTGGTGGTGGTGGTGGTCCATCGCCGCGGCCGCTGCCGCGGTCGTGGTTGGGGCCATTGACTGCGGCGACGGCTGCGGCGGCGGGGGTTGGTGTCGACGGCTGGCCGGTTGTGGGAACGATGACGGCGACGCCGATGAAGAAGAAGATGACGATGATGGCGGTGCTGGCCCGGTCGACTCGGCCAACGGCGCCCAGTGGCCGAGCTCCTCGCCATCGCCCAGGTGTCCGGCTTCCCACTTGGCCACGCTGATCACCGTATGCTTGGCCTATCAGCCGGCGGCACGACAGTTAGGGATGACAAAATGTTAAACTCTGGGTCGTGCGTGTGTCGTGTGTCTTGTGTGTCGTACAGATCCGTGCTCGTCGAAGAAGAACTGAGTGTCATCAGCCAAGGCACGCCACAGCCGGCCGCTCTTGCTGCGTATCAGGTGGTGGAAGTGGAACACCGTGCCAAGCGAGCCTGGCTCCCTGCAACATTCAGTTTTTTTTTTAAAAAAAATAAGAGGTAACGAAACAACAAAAATAATCAATTATTATTATAATAATTATTATAATATTTCTTTAGGTGGGAAGGCGTACTGTCGGGTGATGTACGGCCCCAAGACCCTGCGGTGGGTTTCTTGCAGGACAATCAGTGCTGTGACCGGCGCTCCTATCAATTGAGCCTGGACCCAAGCCGTCATTCATCATGCCGTACAAGGCACGTAAAAAAGCGCCAACGAAGTAGAAGAACGAAAGCGAAAGCGAAAGCGAGAAAGAGAAGGAGGGATGGTGAAGAACTGGCGGCGTACCAAGGAGTACTCGCTGAGCCGGCACATGGCTGCGTTGGCGTAGATGATCGTAGGCGGCCGATGGTCAAACACCGACGCGAACTCGACCACAATGACCGGGAATCTGCCCACCATACACATAACCCATATCATCATCGTGCGTGTGCGTGATGACGTCTTGTGCCATGTTGTGTCGTGTGCGCCGCGTACCTGAAATCGGGAACGGCGAAGCCGGTGAGCATAGGGTAGTCGCGCAGGAAAGGCAGTTCGTGCATGGCCTCCACCAGTGCCACCGCCGGCATCGTGCTCGACGCCGATGATCTGAACAGCGCCATCGGCGGCAGGCGCTGTGCCGATTGCGGTCGCGGCTGTTTTTCTCGTTCTCCTTGCTGTTGCTTTGGCTGTGGCTGCTGCTGCTGTTGTTGTTGATGTCGTTGTTGTTTATGTGGTTGTTGTTGTTGTTGTTGTTGTTGTTGTTGTTGTTGTTGTTGTTGTTGTTGTTGTTGTTCTCGTTGTTGCAGTGTCGCGAGAACGCGGCTGGTGGTGCCCTGGTGGGCCATCATCGTGGTCATTTGGTCGCGCAGCCGCTGGTTCTCGTCGCGCAGGCTCCGCACCTCGGCCCGCAGCATCTCGAGCGTCTGCCCCACCAGCGCCAGCGTCGAGTCGCCGCTGCCGCCTCGTCGCCGGTCGGCATCACGTGGCGCCTGCTGCGGCCGGGCCAGCTGGTTCGTCGCGGGCAGTGGTGGTCGCCGGTATTGTCGGTGCTGCTGACCAGCTTCTTCTACGTCGTCGGCGCTTCGTCTTCGCTTCTTCTTGTACGGCGAGAGCGTCGTCAACGCTGGCGAAGATGATGAGTTTGAAGTGGTCGACCAACTAGTTGGTGTGGGAGTGCTGCCGAACAAGCGCGGCTTGGCCATCGATGACGCAGTGGGACCTGAGCACAGGTGTGGGTGTCCCTTGCTCACACAGCGCCTACACGGCTTTCCCCTACACACGCCGAAAAGGAAAGTTTACGTTTAGAGAAAATAAAGGGGCAAATGGGAAAAAGGGAAGAACTCAAAAAATAGATAAAAAGACAGGCTTTGATGGTTTCGGTTTGGAGAAGAAACGGAACGGAAGTAGAGAGTTCTCCACGAAACCGAAAAGGCCACGCCAATTCCACGTTCTTTCCGGCCAGGGGCCACCACCAGACGAGTGAAGGGGGGGTGGAAGAGCGAAAGCGAAAGGCGAAGAGAACGAAAAAGAGGGGGGGGGCAAGACGAATCACGCACCCATCACATGGAGAGCTGGAGACTGCACAAAAGCTGCAGCCTTCCATGGTGGGAGAGTCCCCGTTTCGCTTCTCTGGCCGCCTGGTGCTGTGCATCGAGCCTTTCTATCTTCCTCTTGCAAGTTGTGCGCGATGTTCTGTCAAGCACAAACTGGCACTTGCAGTACGCCGCTCGCCTTTTTGTTAGTTTGCTGTGCAACAAGACAAACTATTCCAACAATGCTACAACAAGTATCATAGCCCACGTGCAAGTTACACACTCAACCTCAATAAGAGTTGTCTCAAGACAATGGTGTTGATGAAGACCTCCGTTTCACACAGAGGGCCACGACTCGCTGGGGTAAGGGGAGGCCATCAGCCACCCCGCCATCTCCGCATCGCTCTGCACCGCGTTGGGGTGTGGTGGCGGCCGATGCTGTTGCTGTTGCTGATGAAGCTGTGGATGTGTTTGATGTGGATGCTGATGCTGGTTCTGCAGATGATTGAGCGGATATGCAGGTGGAGGATGTTGTTGTCGTAGGGCTGGATGATGGTGATGGTGATGGTCATGTTGTTGTTGTTCATGGGCAGGGTAGATAAGCTGTGGTTGCTGGTGGGGTGGCGGGAGCAGCGGCGGCATCAGCTCCAGGGACAGGGGCAGCGACATCGTCGGCACCGGCGGCGGCTGCAGCTGAGGCTGGAGTGGAGGTGGCGGCTCGGGCGCAGCGGCTGCGCCGTCGGCGGTGATGCCGATGGCGGAGGGAGGCAGCCACTGGCCGAGTATCTCGGTCTCCCCGAGCCGGCCCTCGTCCCAGTCGGTGATGCACAGCAGCGAATACCGCAACTGTTATTTGTTTGAAAGTGAGCGCACGACACGCACGACACGCACACGACATGACACACAGAACGAGGGCCAGGCGTTACCTTGCCGCTCTCGTCGCAGAAGAATTGATGGTTCTGGTCGACCCGGAGGAGGCACCCATCGCAGCGGAGCAGCGACTGGTATTTGTACACTTCCGTCACGCCGAACGGAGGTCTGTGTTGTGTGAGCGTGTTGCATGATTGGCGTGAGCGTCGTTGTGTGTTGCGTGCGATGAATGGTAATGAGACCAGGTACCTGTTGTTACCGATGACCATGGCCTGTTTGTAGTGCTGGAGATTGATCACATAGGTGAAGTGGTACGGCGTCCCCAGCAGCCGCTCCTATAGGGCGCCCGACCACACGCACGCACACACGACACACGCACACACGCACAGACACACACACACGTGCCACGTCAGCTGACACGCTCTCGTGGTAGAATGTGTTGGAATGCGGGGAGTGAATGTACCAGGGGGTAGTTGGTGAGGTGGCAGAAGGCCGCGTTGGCGTAGACCAGCACCGGCGGAGCGTCGGTGAATCCACCGGGGCCGGGTAGCTCAAACGAACACACCGGATAACTGACGATCGATTGCAACTATCAACCAGGCGCGTGCGGTTGTGTGTGTGGCGGTGTGCGGTGTGTGCGGTGGTGTGTGCAGTATACCTGAAATTGATGATGGCAGAAGCGCGAATGTCGTAGTGGCGCAGGAACGGCATCCGCCGGTGAATCTCGCTCTGCAGTCCGCCAATGGCCGCATTTGCGCTGACCGGCACCGCCAGCGGCGATGACGTGGACGATGGCGACGGGCTCGATGACGATGACGATGACGATGAAGTGATGGAATGCGAAGAAGCTCCAGTGATGGAGGTCGACGTGGTCGGCTTCGTGGCGGCGAGCGCCAGGCGCTCCTCGACCTTGCGCCGCTTCCGCGCGTGCTCCTGTTCGGCCTCGCGCTGGCGCTCGCGCAGCTCCTCCACGAGCTGGCGCGACTCGCTGTGGGCCGCCTTGCGCCGGGCGAGCTTAGTCTCGAGCCGGGCCGTCGTCTGGCGCAGCTGCCGGATCTCCTCCGCCTGCATCTCCACCACCTGCGACATCACCTCGATCCGCCCCACCAGGCTCTCCACCGTCATATTCCCCGACCCACCGCCGCCGGCGCCGCCGGTCTCGAACTTGGTCGCCGCAGACGCCGACGCCGGCGTTGTCGCTGTCGCTTTTGGTGTCGACACATTGGTGTGCGGCGTGCGGGGCAGTGGCTGAGGAATGTATCCTGGATTGTTGGTGCCGCCGCGGGCGGAGCTGAGTACGACTGGCGGCGGCAGAGGTGGTGGGTGGTGGCGGTGGCCGGGCTGCAGAAAGGGGATGCCGGCGACGTGGTGGTGGTGGTGGAGAAGAAGACCGGGAGAGGTGGCGGCGGTTGTGGTGGTTGTGGTGGGGAGTGGCAGCTTGGCGTAGGAGGGAGTGGTGGTCGAGGAGGAAGATGAAGAGTAGGCAGAGGAGGAGGAGAGTGAGGCTAATGGGATGGAGTCGCGAAGTGCGCGTCGGCCGCGCTTGCGAGGCGGCGGGTCAGCGCACAGGCGGGCTCGCCCAGTCCGCACGCACCGCCCACACGGCCGGTTCCTGATGGATGGGCGGTTTGGTATGTTATTATTATTTCATCATAAATAACTACTCCATTATTTAAAGATATTAGTTCAAAATAAATAAATATAAATATATCATGGAACAAAAAATGGAGATTGAAGAAGGAAAGCGAAGCCAAAGAATGAAACGATTGATTTGATGGAGTTTCATATTTTTGTCAGGAGGGGGCAGGATACGGATCGCATGCAGTGTGCGCTTTGCGGCAGAAGTTACACGCTGGTACTGGTGCCGGTGCTGGTGGACCAGTGCCAGCCGAGGAGGAAGGTGACGGCGCAGGCGCAGAGCTAGCTGCCTCCATCAGCGGAACACATAAAATGAAATAAAAGATAGAGAGCAAGACGCGGCCGTTCGGTTGCTAGGTTCCCCGATCAATGCAGTGAAAAAGGACGGAAAGTCATTAAAAATTCAATTGTCAGTTCTTTCTTCTTTGATAGGCCGCCACTGCTCGAGTCTCTCGTCGGCTTGCAGCTGGCCTTCCTTCCACGAGAGCAGACACAGTATCGCATGCTTGACCTAATGTACGACCACAGAAACACATATAAGCACCACCACTTCTACAACAGCTTGGCGCGAGCTTACACCACAACAAGAGGTGGCAGCCTGTACGTTGCCCTGCTCGTCGAAGAAGAACTGCGTCTTGTCTTGGGTGCGCAGGAGCCGCCCACTCCGACACCGGACGAGACAGTTGATCTCGAACACCGGACTCACCGACATCGGAGCTCTGCCATCAAAAAATGTCAGCGTGTTTCATGGATGGCACACATACTGCCCGCACCCGGCGAGCACGCCGGCCCTCCCCTATTGGTGGCGACGCGGTGGGGGTCAACAACGTACTTGTTGGTCAGATGGGCGGACATGTGCTGGCGCGAATTCTCGCCAGTCACCCTCACTTTTGTGATTGGGGCGCCCAGCAGCTCGTGCTGTGCGTGTGTGGATCGATCGGTCAGTCACCGGGGCACGTTTAGGGATCTGGACCACCAACCACCACCAACCACCCCAAGAAACCAACGAGAGCAGAGTGGGTTGGGTTGCGGTTGACCTACCAAGCGAAACTCAGTCAGCTTGCAAAACTCGGTGTTGGCGAACACGATCGTGGGCGGTCCCAGGCCAAACACGGACTCGAACGTGCAGCCCATCACCGGGTACCTGAGTCGCGTACACTTAGCGCGCACGACACGACCAACGACACACGACACACGACACACGACACACACCACACACACACGCGCAGAGAATGTGGCAGAGCAAGAACCTAAAATCAGGTACGGCGAAATTCGAGGGCAGGATGTAGGGTCCCACGAAGGAGATCAGCCGACGGGCCTCGAACAGTGGCGACGGCGAGCCCAGCGTCGAAGGCATCGGCGGCTGCGGTGAAGATGAAGATGATGAAGACGATGAAGGCGATGATATCGGCGACGAGGTGGGTGGCCGTGGTCGCTTGCGTTCTGGCTCGCCATCTTGGCCTGCACCGGTGGCCAGCAGCTGGGCCACCTTCTGGTCGGCCGCGTGTTGCTGGAGCTGGAGCGCCTCGAGGTCCTGGTGCAGCTTCTCGTTATTGCGCTTGAGCCCGCGCACCTCGGCCATCAGCGACTCCACGCTCCGCACCAATCGGGCCAGCAGTTCGCCCGAGCTACCGCCATAGCCATCGTCGTCATCATCATCTTCTTCTTCTGCTTCACCACCACCGTCATCGATCTCACCATCACGCTCGGCGAACGTCGGTTGATGACGATGTTGATTCTGAAGATGGTGATGATGACGACGATGCGAGTTGCGGTCGCGTAGAGGAAGACAATGTTGATGGGGTTGCCAGGGAGATGGCGGAGACGGCAAAGATGTCGAAGGGGACGAAGATGGCGACGTTGACGATGATGTCGTGGTTGTGGTCGTCGTCGGTGGCGACATGGTGGAGAAAAGGGGCGTTTTGGGCATGGTCGACGTGGGCGATGTCGATGTCGGCGAGCCGCCCTCAGGTCGTGGATTAGGGCGGCGGCCTCGCTTGCGCGGTGGAAGATCGGAGCAGAGATGAGCTCGGCCGGTCCGCACGCAGCGGCGACAAGGCCTCGTGCTGTCGTTGTTGCGTGTCGCGTCGGTATCGTTTGGAACGCGGTGCGTTGCGTTGCGTTGGATTGGGTCGTACAACACAAGGGATGCCACATATAACCCACAAAAGAGCGTAAGTGAGCGCGGCGGTTTCGTCTTTTTACGTAAAAAGTTGAAACCGGATCAAGAGTGTAGGAAGATGGATGGATGAAGGGATGAAGGGATGGAGGGATGAAGGGATTCACGTACGGGTCACAGGCCGAGTGTGCCTCTCGGCAACAATTGCACGCGCGAACGCGAGGCGCCGTGATTCTTGAAGTAGTAGTAGAAGATGATGATGTAGATGAAGAAAAGAGAAAAGAGGGCGACGACGGCGTGGACGACATCTCTTGCTCTTGCTCTCGCCTGGTCTTGCTTTCTGTGTGACGAACGCGCTTTCTCGGTTTGCTTCGGTTGAGGTAACATTCACCCCGTGACGGCCCCATGGGGAACGAGAGTATTCTTGGCTGCTCGGGTAAAATGTTCAAATTTAACCGCGGAATGCCCGACGGGCTGTTTGAAGCGGGCCTATGGTGATTGGCTCCTTCGACACGTCATTCAGGCCGCAAACATGTTCTCTCGCCGGCAAACCATTAAATGCCCCAATTGCGTCTACGTGCCGGGGTCCAACAACCGTAGGCAGAAGAAAGATCAAAACCTCAAGTCAAAAAAAATAGCGACGCAGCTTTTGCACAGGGCGCAGCGCGACATGTCCGCGGAGGTCCCTACCCCCACCGACGCCTTGGCGCCACCGGCGCCGGTCCCGGCCTGCAACTACTGCCGCAAGGGCCACACCGCGTGCGACATGTACCGCTCCCCCCCCGTGTTTTAACTCCTTTTTTTAAGTGGTGGCACATTAACATTCCTACACGTATATCACGAAGTATAATATAATAATGATAAGCGCATCGCTCTTACGCTCATTTATTTATTTTATGTTCTCTTTTTTTTAATAACACATTTTTTTTTAACAGTAAGCGACCATGTGACCGCTGTGTGCGGACGGGACGCGGGCACCTCTGCGCCGATCCGCCGCCGCGCAGGCGAGGCCGACCCCCTCGCCGCACTCCCCTCCCCTTGGACGACCAACAACAACAAAAAGAACGAAACGCGAAGCCGCTTCGCACAGCGGCCGCTGCCAAGCCGCCGCAGCCTCAGCCACCGCCCGTTGACGCAGCAGCCCAGGAGGAGCCGGCCGGAGGTCAGCAGGCCCTCATGGCCCAGGTGGTGGAGCTGCAGGCGGCCGAGATCCGGCAGCTCCGCGAGGCCAACGCCGAACTCGAGCTCCGGCTCGCGCTGCGGAAGGAGTCGCACCGAGCCGCGGCCCGGCAGGTGGCCAAACTCGAGCACCACCTGCTTCGGAGCGAGCAGGCAGCAGCCGCTCTTCGTGCACAAATCGAGCACGAGCACGAGCACCAGCGGCGCAAGCGGCGCAAGATCGCGGATGTAGTGGGGTCGCCGGCCCAGCAGCAGCCCGGCGCTGAGGCCAACGCCGACGTGTCGCCGTCGTCGGTGCGGTCGTTTGCGTCGTCACCGCCGCCACCGCTGCCGCCGACGACGTACGGCGGAGGAGTGCTGGGCGAGGCGCGCTCGCTGATGCCGTTCCTGCGAGACTACGACATCCGCTCGTCCTTGGCCGTCGTCGATTTCAGGTTCGTTGTGTGCGGCGTGCGTGTGTCGAGTGTGTGTCGAGTGTGTGTCGTGTGTGTCGTGTGTGTGCGTGTGCGTATGTCGAGTGTTGTGGTTGACTTTTTGGTTGGGCAGCTATCCGGTGTGCGCGTTCAAGTGCTCGAGCACAGACGCCACCCCGCCGGCGATGATCTACGCCAATGCCGCCTTCTGCAGCCTTACCAACTTCTCCCTGGTGCTACACCCGCGCTCTCCCTAACAAATCGCCTATTCGCCAGCTGACCTTACGTGTGTGTGTCGTGCCATGGTGCTGTGTGCGTGTGTCGTGCGTTTGGCGTGTGCCCCAGGACCAATTACTTGGAACGCCGTTCCAGTTCTCGTTTGTAGTGAACGTCCACCAGTATAAGCAGGCGGTCACCCTCACCACCAACCGGTACTTTTTTCGTTATAAAAATTTGTTTTAATTTCATGTTTCCACCGAAGACCATGGTTGGCTGATCGATCGCTCCCGCGGTGCAGGCCACCACTGCACGTGACTGACGTGTATCGGTACCACTCGCTGCTACGTTCCAGCTACGGTCCGCTCCTGCGAGTCTCCCAGAACGTGCAGTTCTTCTGCAACGAGGCAGGCAATGTACGTACATTGAGTGTTGAGCACTCACACATGCTCACGACATACACGACACACATCTATGACACGCACACATGACACGCGTCATGACACACATGACACACGACACGCACCACAGATGCGATATTCGCTACACTGCATCTTGGACTGGGAGGAGGGCAGCTTGGAGGAGACCGAGGAGCCCGGCCGGTGGATTCCATTCAGCAACATTGAACGTGCCACCAACCCATCGTGGCCACCAGCACCACCAGCGCTCTTTTCCACTTCATCAACCGTGCCACCACCGCCCGTTCCATTGCAACACATCATCCACCACCCTTACCACCATCCACCACATCAACAACCACCCCATCATGCTCCTCCATCCTGGCTCATGATGGATGAGTACCCCTTTGGTTCAATAGACAAGCCAGCCCTTTGGTAACCTCTTGGGTTGTGCAAATGAGCATTGTGTGAGGGATGACGCCCTTGAGGCTTGAAAAATTGTTTCATTTTCCTTTCCATTTTCATTTTCTCTTTTTTTTCGCTTTTTGTGTGTAAAAAGCGAAACGAATGGAGAAAGGGGAGGGGGTGCAGCGAGAAGCTGTGGGCGCAGCTCTGCAGGAGCTCCGCACGCATGCCGAGCACAAAGACGACAAAGCCACGGTCCGTGCCATGAAAAGGCACACACCACCCTTCCCTCGTTAAGCCATCTTTCACCTCTCACCACCGCCCCTCAAGGCTGTGCTACCGCTTGTTCATGCCTTGGGAGAACCCATCCAAAGGTGCAAACACCCTAACATATGTTGCGTGTAGTGTGCTATATTACAAGAATATGATAATTGATTAATTATATTAAATTTGTTTTAACATAACAAAAAAAACAGTGGCCAATGCGCAGTACTTTGCCGAGCAGGAGGGAGCCCTGGCGCTGCTGGTGAGCTTCGTGGACAGCGAAACATCATCGATCCCGATCATCGACGGCGCTCTCAGTTGCCTGTGGAACCTGGCCTCCACAGGTTGGCCTTCCCTTCTCTTCTTGGCCACAAGCGCGTCTCCTTCGCTCACGACACACACGACACACACGACACACACGACACACACGACACGCAGTGGAGCTTGCCCGGGCTTCGTGTCGCCATGGCACGCTCGAGGTGGTGATCGAGCAGCTGCAGTCGAGCAACCTGGACGTCGTCAACTCGGCCCTCGGCTGCCTGACGTCCTACCTCGAACTCGGTATCGTCTCTCCCAAATCTGGCGGCGTCGGCGGCGGCGGCTGGTGGCTGGTGGGCTGGTGGCTGGCTGGTGGGTGACACTGGTGCTGCACCAGACGATGTGCGGGGGCAGGCAGCCGAGCTGGGCATCGGCAAGATCTTCGTCGGCTTGCTGCACCGCTTTGAGACGCTCAACGACGACGCGGAAGTGGAGATCTTCATGAACTGCGTCTTGACCTTGATGTTCCATCGTACACGTTATCCAACGCTCCTCTCTCCTCTCTTCCGCATTCATTCACACACCGCACACACCGCACACACCGCTCACACACCACACACACACGGCACACCGCACACCGATAATGCAGCCAAGGTTCGGAAACAGATGGCGAGCAGCGAGGTGGTGGAGAGTGTCATCAAGGTCATGGAGGCCTATTCCAGTGCCTTTCCCGAGGTGCGCTTCCTCTGCATCGGCACGCTTGCCTTCCTCGCGCTCGACAGCGCGTTGGCGACCTGCGACGTGCTCCACATCATCGGCCAGTACACCGACGAAATGGACCCCCAGGTATGACCTACGTTGCACGGCACGACACTCAACACTGACCACACACACACACACACACACGCACACACACGCACACACACACGCGCACACACGCACACACACACGACACACACAACTGGAACGCAGGCAATCGCGAAAGAGAGTGACGAGTGCGGCACGGTGTGGACCTTCATCCGGCCGTTCTTTGAGCTCATGTCATCGACGCACGCCACGATCCGGCGGCTGTGCGGCCTCATCTACGCCTCCTTTGCCCTCACCAGTACACTCAACATTCCCACATTCAACACATTCAACACATCCTCACATTCCACACGCACAGGCGCGCACCAGGACCAGTTCAAGCGCGAGGCGCTGGTGAGCGAGCTGCTGGCCGTTCGGTGGAGTACCGGCGACGCCAGGCTCGCGGCCTATCTCGACTGCGCGCTGGCCGCCCAGGGGCCGGCCCTGCGGGGCGGCGTGGACGCGCCGTCGCTGGTCCAGCTGTGCGCGTACCGTGTGCGCAGCGCGGGCCTCCTTGGCGCCGCACCTCCTCTTGCGTTTGGCGCAGATCCAGCCGAAGACGACGAACGACGACCAACGCGACGACCACCGAGCGATCATCATCAGCTTCATCAACACCGGCTGGTGCCCCAGGAACTCCAAGAACGGTTCGCCTTGACCACACCACTCTAGCGTATTCCCTTGCGTTGTGGGCAAAAAAAGTAGATGCTGTGATGTCTCGCGCTCGATTGTTTTGTTGGTGGACGTTTCAGTAGCCTCGCGGGACCGACTTGGGACACCACAGCTGCAGACGGAGAAGCGAGAGAGGACCCACGCGCGTTAGTTCTGTGCGCCGAACTGTGGCAAGCGAGCGAGCGAGCGAGAAGAGGGGTGCGACGTACTTTGATGCTGTGGTCGGCAGAGGCCGAAGCGAGCAGGGGCTCCGACGGGTGGAAGTTGACGGCGTACACGCGCCCGGTGTGCCCCTCCAGCTTCTGCACCAGCTCTCCCGTCACCTGCCAACACACCGCACACGCACCACCGCACACGCGCGTGACGCGGGTCAAGATCAAGCGCGGAGTCGAGAGAGAGGGCTCTTGGGGTGGTGTGGGACCGACCTCGTTGTGCAGCCCCAGATCGAAGAGGTAGGCGTGGTTGTCAGCGCTGCCGGTGGCCAACATGAGGCGGTCCGTCACGCTTTTCTCCCTCTGCGAATGCCTGGATTCGTTTGCGTCGTTTCGCAACGTCAGTCGCACGACACACGACACACACACACACACACACACGACACACAGGACGAGGAGTACTTCTTGTCGCTGGGATCCTCGCTCGCTTCGGTGGTCGGGATGCCATAGTCGGAGGCGGGCTTGAACGGCGTCCGACCATCTGCAACCTCGCGCGTCAGACGATAAACGACCACCACCAGGGTCGGGTTAAAGGTGGAGCGTACAGTCCTTGCCGACGTGGAAGGCGCTCTTGATGGGCCAGTTGTGGTTCTTGTGGCCCGTCAGCGATGAGACCAGCTTGAGCTTGCTGCCGAGCGGTCGCTCTGCCGCTTCCTTCCCGCCGCCGATGATGCCGCTCCCGCGATCGTAGACTCGAAGCACTGCATCACACAACACACACACACACACGGCAAGCGCGCACGGAGAATGAGCAAAAAAGAACGAAAACGAAGACAAAGAACGAAGAAAGTACCGTTGTCGAAGCTGTTGACGGCGAGGTAGTGGCCTTCCTCCTCCTCCGATGCGTGCGTGCTCGAGAGGTGGATGTGCGAGATGGGCTTGTGGCCTTCTTCGTTCTCCACCTTGTCGAGCGGTGCGCCGGGCGACTTGGTGTCCCAGAGCTTGATGTTGCCCTCGCTGTCGCCCGACAAGAAGAACTCGCCGTCCTTGTACACGTGGCTACCAACCAATCGCACCTCGGCAGGTGAGCACATATACGTACATGCCTTACATTCCACAGCGTATATATATATATGTTGTTATATAGTGGTGGTGGGCGGTGGGGATGGGTACATGGTGTTGACCATCGCGTCGTTGGCGAAGGTGAGGACGGGTTCGTTCTGGCGCCTGTCAAAGACCAGGACCTGCTTGCTGGTGCTGCCCACGAACACCAGGTTTCTGTCGGCCGGGCTGAACTGCACCGCCTGCAGGAAGCCGGTAGCCGCAAACGTCCTGCGCGCACACGACACGTGGCGAGGTCAGGGTACGGTGGCGTGAGTGAAGAGCACCGGGTTGTACCGAATGGACTCGGCTCGGTTGACGTCCCAGAGCTTGGCGACGCTGTCGAAGCCCGCCGACAGCAGCTCGGTGCTGTCGCCGGCCCACGCCAGGTCGGACACATTGAGCTGGTGCTCGGCCAGGCAGGCCACCTACACTCCGGAGGGGGATCGACCGACCAATGAGTGAGAAGTGCGGAGAAGTGCGCTCGAGCGTTTTTCGATCGAACGGCAGCGATCCACTGTAGTGCTAGCGCGAGAGTGGCGAGGGTGAGTGCGCACCTCCTTCTGCTGGGTGAGGTCCCACAGACGAACGCTCTTGTCGAAGGAGCCCGAGGCCAGCAGACGGCCCGAAGGCGCGAAGCCCACGCAGTACACGGCGCCCGTGTGGCCCTGCCCACCACACACACACACACCACACACCACACACACTGATGAGCTTGCTGTTGTGTGTCGTTGGTCGTGTCGTTGGTCGTGTCGTGTCGTTGGTCGTGTCGTGTCGTGTCGTCGCTTGTACCTTGAAGGTGTGCTTGCTGTGAAACCGACGAAGGTCTTCCCTTCCCCTGCCTGAGTAGAGAAAGCATAAGAATCAAAAAGATGGATTTGGCTGTGCACGTAGAGAGATGGTGGAAGGATGAAGAAGGAGATGCACTGGCACGTACCCTTGCGCTCGCTGGGTGCATCGTCGGCAAGGTGGTGCTTGATGGCGGCAGATGCGGACGTGGGCGCAGGTGTGGGATGCGGGTGCTCGGTTGTGAGGGTGGGCGAATCGAGTGGTGAATCGGGAAGTAGCGCCTGGTCGACATTGAACGGCTTAGGCCGCACGTGGTTGTGATGATGCGTCGCCCCGGGATGGCCACTGCCTGGCAAGGCCGTGGCCATGTGGTACCTGCCGTACGCGGCTAAGATTCCCTATTTAAATGGCCCGAATTGGGGGAGAGGAGGCGCACTTCATGGTGAGATCATAAATCGATTTCTTGAGATCTCTGTTTTCGCGTTCGATTTTATCCAGCTTCTGCTTTAGCTGCTTGTTTTCCTTGCCCAAGTTGTCCAAATGGCTCTTGTAGTAGTTCGAAGATGAAGTTGCCATCTTGCAAGAGCCCAGATTAGATTAATAGTCTTTGGAACGTTTTAATTTTTTTGTATTTTGACAAATTGTCGAAAAGAAGGGAGTCACGGCCCGACGGGGACGCAGCTGCCTCTTCTTCGGTTCCCAGGGCGGTGCTAAAGGGAGGCCAAAAAAACGTCCTTGGAAGGCCAGTTGTAGGGATCGAGTCGCTCGACCAACTCCTCCACTGGCATTATGTCGCTGTCTGCGGCACTGGTGGAAGTCTGAGGTGCGCAGGAGAATCATGGCACCTTCTCTGATTTGTGCTTCAGCCACCCTGGTTGAGTTGATAGAAGAACAACAATGACAAGAATGAGAATTGAGATGATGATTGCCTTCTAGTATTGTTCCTCTTCTGGGGTGGGTAGTCTTACCAACAAGCTCAGTGAGTTCAGGCCCTGGATGTGGAAATGTGTGTGTCTCCAAGTACCTCTGGCACATCTTGTTCAACACAAGTGCACTGGGCTGTTGGACAAATAGCACCATCATGTGAGTGAAGAATGGGCCACCTGGGGGCTGTTCTAGAATATGCTTACCTCAGACAAGAAGCAGAGCAAGAACAACATAGGACACCCAGCAGTGGTGGTCAACTTTTTGGCTTTCTCCTCAAGGATCATCCAAACATGAGAAGCCACCATGACCATCACCATGAGCTGTACTCCATTGCAAGTCACCTGACACATACCATCCATTCCACCCCACATTGCTCCCACCAAAAGTTGAGTGAGCATACTGAGAATCTGGATCTAGGTCCAGGTGGACCTTGGAAGGTGGTGGTAACATGACAACTCCTCATTCTCTTTCTTCTCTTCCTTCGCTTCCTTGTTTGCTACATTCACTTCTTTCCTTGTTTGATGCATTGTCTTCATTTGCTTCATTTGCTACGTTCTCTTCCACAGGAGAGGATTGGTAGAGGTACTCTGATGCTGGGTTCTCCATCCCAGCATTCTGGTTCCTTTTGGTTGTGCGCGAGCGGAGCCTTTTACATGCGGAAGACGCCGAACTGGGTCTGCGGGATGGGAGCGTTGCGGCAGGCGGCGAGGGTGAGGCCCAGCACGTTGCGGGTCTCGGCCGGGTCGATGATGCCGTCGTCCCACAGCCGCGCCGATGCGTAGTACGGGTGGCCCTCCTTGTCGTACCTGAACACGACACGCACGACACGACACACGGTGAGAAAACGACGACACACAGATGGAGGCGGTGAGGGGGCGAACGCACTTGGCGAGCATGGTCTGGCGGAAGGCCTCCTCCTCCTCGGCCGACCACTGATGCGAGGACTTGGACTTGACCATGGCCTCGCGCTTGATCTGGGTGAGCACCGACGCCGCCTGCTCGCCGCCCATGACCGAGATTCGCGAGTTGGGCCACATGAACATGAACCGCGGGTTGTACGCCCTCCCACACCTGTGCGCACGCACACGTTTCGTCAGCCGAACGCACACGCACACGCACACGCACACGCACACGAGAACAGGGGAGAGGGGTACATGGCGTAGTTGCCGGCACCGAAGGAGCCGCCGACGACAACGGTGATCTTGGGCACCTGCGCGCAGGCGACGGCGGTCACCATCTTGGCGCCGTCCTTGGCGATACCGCCGGCCTCGTAGGACCGACCCACCATGAAGCCCGTGATGTTCTGCAGGAACAGCAGCGGCACTCCTCGCTGCGCGCACAGCTCCACAAAGTGCGCACCCTGTCGTGTGTGCGTGTGCGGCCGTGCGCGTGCATGTGCGATCGTGCGTGTGCGACAATGCTAAGTTACGGCAAGGCACGCAGCAAGCGACACGCGTGCATTTTTGGCATACCTTGCGAGCGGACTCGGAGAAGAGAATGCCGTTGTTGGCGACGACGCCCACCGGGTGGCCGTGGATGCGGCCGAAGCCGGTGACGAGCGTCGGCCCGTAGAGGGCCTTGAACTCGTCGAATCGCGAGTCGTCGAGCACGCGCGCCAGGATCTTGCGCATGTCGAACGGCTTGCGCGCGTCGGACGGGATGAGGTTGTACAGGTCGGTCTGCGGGTAGCGCGGCTCGATGACCGGCTCGGGCTCCCAGGACGCCTTGCGCTGCTTGGTGTGCGACGGGTTGAGGTTGGCCACGATGCGCCGGGCCAGGGCCAGGGCGTGCTCCTCGTCGTGCGCGTAGTGGTCGGTCACACCCGAAGTCTGGCAGTGCAGGTCGGCGCCGCCCAGCTCCTCCGCGGTGACGACCTCGCCCGTGGCGGCCTTGACCAGCGGCGGCCCGCCGAGGAAGATGGTGCCGTTGCCCTTCACGATCACGCACTCGTCGGCCATCGCCGGCACGTACGCGCCGCCGGCAGTGCACGAACCGAGCACCACAGCCACCTAAATGAAACAAAAAAGTCAACGGTCTATGTGAGTGTCGTGTGTGCCGTGTGCAGTGTGTGTCGTGTGTGTGCCGTGTGTGTTGACCTGGGGGATGCCCTGGGCCGACATGTTGGCCTGGTTGTAGAAGATGCGACCGAAGTGCTCCTTGTCGGGGAAGACCTCGTCCTGGCGGGGCAGGTTGGCGCCGCCCGAGTCGACGAGGTAGATGCACGGGAGCCGGTTCTGCTGGGCCACCTCCTGTGCCCGCAGGTGCTTCTTGACAGTGATTGGGTAGTACGTGCCGCCCTTCACCGTCGCATCGTTGGCCACGATCATACACTCCTGTCTGCATTTACCGACCACACGCGACCACACGACACACACACACACACACACACACACGACACAGCACGATACGACCAACGACACGACACACACGAAACGATCAGTTGCAGCACAGCAAGAGACGAAACGGAGGTGGTGGTATACCCCTGGACACGGCCGATGCCGGTGATGATGCCGCCGGCAGGGACGTGGTCCTCGTAGAGGCCGTGGCCCGCCAGTTGAGACAACTCGAGGAAGGGCGACCTGTGCAGGGTGTCAGCTGACATCAAACGTGGTCATGTAGTCATGGCCCAGGTCGCCTTGAAGGCCCAGCCCGGCCGCAATAGATGAGGAGTGGGTACGAGGGATCGAGAAGGCGGAGGATGCGGTCGCGAGGCAGCAGCTTGCCCTTGGCCACGTGACGGTTGCGTGCACTCTCACCGCCGCCTGTTCAAGAAATTTGTTTTGTTCCATTTAATTGAATTAAATCAAATGTAAAGAGTAAAAAATGACAATCACCACCAATGATTGGATTATTTATAAATCTAAGAGTGGGGGCGCACCAGCCTTGACGGTGGCAACTTCGTGCTTCAGCTTGTTGACGAGGTCCAGCATGACGCGACCATTCTCGCGCCATTCGTCCTGGCTCATCTCCACCGATCCGTCCACTACGTTGAAGTCCCTCTCTGCGTGGTACTCGCGTCCCACCAGCACCGTCGGCAGGGCGGCACGGCCGTCAAATCCGATCGATGTCGCGCGGCCGAATCGAGTAGCGGCACAACGCAACGTCGTCGGTGCACAACCACCCCTTCGCATCACAAGCCCTCCTCGCTGCAGCATTCTTCCTTTTGTGATTCGAATCGAAACGGGTCACGATGCAGCGCGGACGATTCCGATCAATTGACAAAGCCAAAGGCTTCGTCGCTTTGCTTGCGTGACTTCTGTCGCTACCCCCCCCCCGCGATCCGGTGTGATCGAGCCTGTCGACACAAACACCACCTTGGTGCGGGTGGTACCACCAACGTCTTGGCCACCACTTACGGGCTTGATGGCCAGTTCGTGGCCTGCCCCACACCAGAGCGCCAGCCAGGACTACAGTGATGTGAGTTGCACTGCAACACTGGCATTGTGTGTGTTATTTATGCAGACAATTCCTTGTCGGCGGCGTTGGTGGCGTCGGCGGCGGCGGGGTCGGTGGCAGTCGCGGGCTTCTTGTTGAGGATCTTCTCCTTGTAGAGGTCCCAGAGCTCGACCTGCTTGGTGGTGACGACGAGCCTCGGCACGCCCATCTCCTTCGCGACTCTGTCCCGCTTCTCCTCCCACACCTTCCGCTGCTCGCTGTTGACTCCCCTGACGAACTTGCCCAGCTGCTTCTCTCCCTCCTGTTGCGTGATCGATCAAGGAATGTAGAAGGAGGAGGAGGAGAAGAAAGTGTGAATTTGTGCACTGTTCCATCTTGAGAGTGCTGATGGAGGAGCGATCGCGCACCTTGAAGGGCACCTCCTTGAGCTTGACGGTGAGGTGCACCCTGCGCGCAAGGAGAAAAGAGACGAACGAGAGTGGGTCAGCTGCCTTCACTTCAAGTGACAGTGGATGGGGAAGAGCGAGCGTTACCTCTTGCGCCTCATGATACCGATGCGCGCCTTGGCGTGGTAGTAGATCTGAGGATTTCCGTACTGGCCCTTGGTGGCGTAGATTTCATCTGCACCATGTGCACGTTAATGAGAATCGAGTAGCGATTGATCAATCTACACGGAAATGATCCATTCCATGAGAAGAGGGATTTACCGAGAATGAGGCGTTCGGGATCAAGGCCAAACTTGAGCTCGGCCTTTTGGCGAGCCTTCTCGATGGTAGCAATAACCTTGGGGGCGACTCGCTTCTGGCTGAATTTGAGCTGGGTGATGGCTTCCTTGTAGCTGAGCCTCCGAATCTGCCGAAGGAGGTGATCTATTCTCTTCATGCTGGCCGGAAGATTTTTCGAATCGGCCTTGGCCTCGGTGATTCTGACTCGCTCACCAGTTTCCTCTTCCTTCTGCTTCACCTGCTCGTATGCCTTCGTGAAGATGTCGTCTCCCAGCAGACTGGGGGACGCATACGATCGAGCAGCGCCAAATGATTGAATGGCGGGAAGATAGCGGTGAGTAGAGAGGATGGTGCGCTGCAGCGCGCCGGCGGTGAAAGAAGACGAAGTGCTAGAAGAAGCAACCAGCAGCCTGCGGCCACACCCGCTCATCGCCGCAGTACCCCGTCGCATGTTGTCAATTGCAATTCGAAATGGCTGCCAATCAACAAAAAAGATGGAGAAAAAGAAAAAGAAAACGAGGTTGAACGGCTGCTTTGCCATCTCTCCACGGAAGACGGTAATCGTCGGCGTCCAGCACGTTGGAGCATCTAACGACACTCTCACAGTGATCATTCACAACAGTGAGCGAAAAGATGATGGGAGATCAGCACGATCGTGGTGACCACGAGGGCCACAACTACATCCATGCCATCGATGACACCAACTTCATGCGCTTCGACTCGCTGGCGGTGCGCGCCCTGGGTGCCGGGCTCAGCTGGCGCGACGAAGACGCCATCGAGGACGACATCTTTCAGTGTGCGGTGATGGGCCGGCACGAGCGCGTACGGTACCTCGTAGAGGTGAAGCGCGTGCAGGTGAATCAGCGCGACAAGTGGGACTCTACGCCGCTCTATTACGCCTGCTTGGCGGGCCACGAACCCCTCGTCCGCTACCTGCTTGAACAAGGTGCAGATCTCTCCTCCTTGATGCATCTCCGTTTAGATGTATTTTATGTATTTTTTATATATTTTTATTATTATTAATAAAAATATATAAAAATGGATCATATTCTTTTTGTGGTGCAGGAGCGCGTTGTGAGGAGAACACGTTCGATGGCGAGCGCTGCTTCCACGCCGCGCTGACGAACGACATCAGGCGCATGCTCCGCGAGTACAAAGCGGTCTCGCGCACGCATGACCCGTTCTCTGACTTCCTCCGCAACTCCTTCTACTACCACATGTACGACGTATCTGTCTTGTCATGCCATCCATCAACGCCAGCGTGCGCCTGCACTGTGTCACTCACGGTCATTCCTCCACATGTGCGACGGCCAACAGGGACGACTTGTCTGAGCGCCCGGACGACGAGCGTCCGCCGCACAGCGATGTACACTTCATCGTCAACGGAGTGCACACGTGGGCGCACAGGTAATCAATCACTCGCCGCACATGCCATGAATCCACAACGCACGACGCACGACGCACGCGCACGCGCACGCGCACACGACACGACACGACACACAGCTGATCTGGCCTTGTGTCGGTGCGCGCGCGACAGGGTGGTGTTGGCCTCGCGTTCGGCGTACTTCAAGCAAATGTTCCGCACGCGGTGGCAGGGCAAGCGGCGGGTGCTGCTCGCGCACCCCAAGCTCGACGCCGACGCGTTCAAGGCCGTGGTGCACTACCTCTACAACGAGCGGCTGCAGGTGCCCCGCATTCTGCTCGACGAGACCGAGGCCATGGTCAAGCAGTGCAAGCTGTGGGACCTCCACGGCGTGCTCCAGCGCGAGATCAAGAAACAGAACGTGGTACGCACTAGGCGCCTTTTTTTATATTATTCTTTTATTATGATATATCTTTTAATATTTATTTATTGGTGTTTTCTATTTTTTTAAAACTTAAATATCAAATACTGTGGCATGCCAGGGTCTGCCGCTACCGGAGCGTGTAGTGATCGAGCTGGCGGATATTTACCGAAGCACCGAAACGCAACGCACCGGCCCGACGCCTCTGCAGTCCGCCTTTGGTGCGTTCCTCGGCCCGTTCGTGACGGCCTTCCACTGCATTCACTCCTCAAGCGGCGCTAATCCTCTTGTGCGGTGTTTTATCTGTGTCGCCTGCAGGCCAGGTGGCCATGCGATCGATTCGCAACGCGTTCAACGAGAGCGGCGACTGTGATGATGATGACGACGATGACGACATGTTCGAGGACATCGTGTTCAAGGTCGAGGGCAAGCGCTTCAAATGCCACAAGTTCTTCTTCTGCGGCCGATCCGAATATTTCCAGGCCCTGGTGATGGGCAACTTCAGGGAGGGCGAGGGTAACGCCGCCGGCGACAACACCCCCGGCAGCGACCGCGAAGACGACGCCGACGTCAGCGTCGACCACGACTCGCCCGCGACGCGCGTCACCCGGGAGCTCGAGCTGAGCGACGTCTCGGCCGACGCGTTCGCGTTCATCGTCGACTTCATGTACACCGACAACGTCACCAACGCACTGCCCTTCGTGCAAGAGCTCCGGCGGCGCAGGGCGACCACTACTATGACGGAGAAGAACGAAGACGAAGGGAACGAAGAAGAAAACGAAAGCGAAAGCGAGAAGGAGTGGCATCTCGTCTACGAGGTGCTGCAGCTGTCGGACATGTACATGCTACCGGTGCTGCGCAATTTGTGCTCGATGCTGCTGTCCCAGTACATCGACCTGGGCAACCTGTTCGACCTGGCCGACCTGGCGCAGCTGATGGGCCTGGACCGCCTCGAGGAGCCCATCATCCAGTTCATGGCGCTCAACCTCGAGGAGCTCGTGCGCCAACGCAAAGACACCTTCTCCGAGATGATCAGGTTCGTCGTGCTCTGTACGCGTGTGCGGTGCGTGCGTGTGTGTGTGCGGCTCGCTGACGGCGCACACAGGGAGAGTGCCTATTCGATCGCCAATCGGCAGGCGACGGACAGTATTCCGATCGTGGACGACATTCGCTCGGCGCTCGACCGCATGTTCCCCACCGACGACCTGGAGGCCGCCCAGACCTATGAAGAAGATGACGACTGGGAGGATTGGGAAGAGGACAACCCCGACGGCGACGACGACCGTGACGCTGGCGACGACGGCGAAGAAGAAGAAGAAGTGAGCATGAAATCGAGAGTCAAGGCGAGGGTGAGGAGAAACGACAGGATGGTGCAAGAAGAAGAAGGTGACGAAGGTGAAGACGGGGAACGAAGCGCTGGCAAGGTACCGGACGAGAGGAGCAACGCTGCGTGGACGCGGTACCAGTACGTGGTGGCAGCCAAGAACCGCAAGCTCGAACTGCTGGACCGGCTCATCGAGGAGCTCGGCCTAAGCGGCTGATTGATGCACACTACCACGCTGTGTTATATGACATGTCAGTCACGGCATCAACAAGAACGGGAGCCAAACACAACACATTGTCAATACTACAGGACAACATGTTGTACCACGCGGTGGTGGCAACGTAAACTTGTTTCCGACGAAATCGCCGTCAAAGCATCAAAACGTTGGAAGAAGGCAACAAGCGAGACAGGTGCTGTATGATTTAGATTAGAAAGGACCGAAGAAGAGGGCGACTTGATTGCAGCCCCCTCCCCATCTTTCGCCACTTCAAGCACGCCTCGCTCGAGCAACACATCATTATACCGAAAATCGATTTTCCTGCGCAATTTCGTTCCATTCCATTTCGTTGTGATTGGAATAGAAACGAGGAAGACGCAGGAGCCGAATGGGCAACATCGCGTCTTCAAATGACGAGGACTTCTCGAAGACGATAGACTTCTGCAAACAGCTTCGACTGCTGCACTTCGTCGTCAACGAACCGAAGACCTACTCCGAAACCTACTCCCAATTCCAGGCATGCATCGGAGGGGACGAGGGCGAGGGCGATGAGGCGGGTGCCCTGAAGAGCCAGCACAAGGAGCTGGCCAGGCGCATCGAGGAGATCGACTTCGATGAATACCGCCTCATGTTCTCCATTCGACGCATCCTCTTCTCGGCGCCCTTCCGCGGGTCCATAATCGGCTACGACCTCGTGCCCGTCGATGTAGACAGCAAATCGCGGCGGGTCAAGTACGTCATAAGCTTCGACACGCACGAGCACAGGCCTCCATCTTCATCTGCCCCCTCGCCCTGCCCCACCGAAAGCGAGACTGGAGGCGCCAGTGGCGGCATCAAGAGCTACCGCACGAAGCGCAGCTACAACGAATTCTTGCAGCTCGATGAACGCATTCGCAACCTCTTCAGCACGGCCAAGGAGCGCCAGGACAAGCGGCAGCTCGAGGAAGAGCTCGATCGACGCGATCGCTTCATGCGGCAGCTCGAGAAGTCAGGCTCTTCCTCTTCCTCTTCCTCTGCCACAACACAAACATCGACGAAAGAGGATGCATCGAGCGTCGAAGAAAGAAGGCCCAGCATGGAGGAGGTCCAATTGGAGGACGATTTTTGGATCTACGTCAAGCCGAAGCATCTGCAAAAGCGAAGCAGCAAGGAGATGAGCGTTGAAGAGGACAAAGAGAAAGAGAAGGACGAGGACAAGGGGGAGGAAGAGGAAGAGGAAGACGGCTACGACGGACTCAAACTGCCGCCTCTGCCGCCGAAGCAGTTCTGCTGGGACGACGCGAGCCGGCTGGCCGTCGCCGAGACCCGCATGCCGCTCCTCGAGGCCTATCTCCAGGCCGTCTTCGGTATCCACCACCACCACCACCACCACCACCACCACCACCACCACCACCACCACCACCACCACCACCACCACCACCACCACGAACTACTTCATCGTAGATGTAAAGCTGACCTTCTTCTTTATCATCTTCTTCGTGTGATGGTGGCGCGCTGCAGCAAACGCCTATCTGACCAACCACGAGGTCTTCCTGCGCTTCCTGTTCTCGCCGGACTCGTTCGGGGACGACATCGAAGTCGACGACGAGAACGCTGAGGTCGATGGCGCCGGACAGCAGAAGAAGCGGAAGACCAGCGGCGCCGAGGCTGCGGACGCCGCCGAGGCCGTGCTGACCCCGAAGACGCGGCAGCGCAGCGACTACGAGGGCGCCGCCATCGTCGACGACTATGAGACGCCGGCGGCGAGATCGTCGACAGCTGTCGACATACGAGACCACCCGGCAAGCGGCAAGGCGCGTCAGACCAGCCCTCGGCTGCCGAAGCTGAGCGGCGAGCTGGTGATCATCGATGACTGGGAGCGTGCCGAGGAGGAGCAACAGGAGGAGCAGGAGGAGAAGGCGAACCCGACGACAGCCAGCGCCACCGAGCCTCCAGCCGCGATACTGCAGGAGAGCGTCGAGGAGCTGTTCGGCTCGTCGCCGTTCTTCTCGCTCATGGACACGATCAAGGACCCAGCCCGAGGCATCATCGGCGACGAGGCCGAACAGCAGCAGCAGCAGGACCCTGCGAAGGAGCAGGACCCGGAGCTGCTGCCGCCTCGCGACCTGCGAGACGACTGGTCATTTCTGTGCGTGGAGCTGGCCGTCTGCAAGCGCCGACATTCGCGACGGCGCGGCGGCAAGAAGGCGGCCGAGGCGGCGCACGGGAAGGAGGGGGAGGAGGAGGAGCGGCTCGAGGCCGACGACCGCGAAACGCAGCGCCTCATCGAGCGCACCCGCACGCTCGAGCTCAAGGCCCAGGCGCGGACCAAGCAGCAGCAGCAGCAGCGGCCCCGCGTGAGAGTTTCCTGCGACGGCCTCCCCGACGGCTCGCAGCAGCGCAACCTGCGGGGGCGCGAATTGAGCGGCAGCGCCGATGGCGAGCAGGCGGACAAGACGCGAGAGCGGAGGCGGCGGCTGGTGGCCGAGGACGACTACGAGGCTGAGGATGAGATCGAGGAGCGCGAGCGGCACAAGCGGGTGATGAGCCGCCTCCACGAGGCCGAGGAGTGGGTGAACCGGCTCGACGGCGGCCGGCGCCGCAGCGGAGGCAAGAAGCAGCGGCGGAGGTGGCGCGTCACCAGCGTCGAGAGCTTCGTCCTCTCCACCGGTACGCACCCAGCACTACCTTGAACTGATTGTTCGACGCGTGCGATTGACGGTGGCTTTGTCTCGGCTGCTGCTGCTGGTGGTGGTGGTGGTGGCAGGAACGGGCGAGCTGCCGTCGGCGCTGCGCAAGTGTCTGGAGAAGCAGGCCAAGACGCTCATGGTGGCCCATGGCCTCGCTGTACCGCGCCCCTTTTGCCCTTGCGCCTCCCCTCGCACGTCCCGCTGATCTATCTCTTCCCCCCCCCCAAACGTCAGAGTGGCAAGACGGGCGCCATCATCGCCAGCAAGAAGGGCGCGGCCACGCTCCTCCAGAAGTCGCTGGCCATACTCGGCGTCACGACGTCGCGCGAGGTGAACCTGATGATGGCGGCGTGCCTGCAGCTGGCGCTCTCGCGCGTGCTCCTCTTCCTGCGCCTCAACTCGCTCGAGGCCTACCTCTCCTCGCGCTTCTTCATCCACTCCTCCACCTACCTCGGCCGAGTACGCGCCCCCAACCACCACCCATACATCGATTTAAGGTGGCTCGTGACCTCACGCTTAACCTCTTTATTCTATTCTGTTGTTGTCGATGATGATGTTAAGGTGGCGTCGATGTCAGCGATCAACTCGGCGCAGCTGATCGCCAAGGCCAGCATCCTGGGCGCGTTGGTGGCGTTCCTGGTCGAGGAGATCCACCTGTTCGTCCTCTTCCTGCGCGTGTGGAAGGTCAACGGCGAGAAGGGCCTCGACCTCCGCCAGTTCATCAAGTACAGCCCCCCCCAAGCTCTGCGGTGTCGTCGACTGGCCGGCTCACGCGTGATTGTGTGTTGCGTGTTTGCCACAGGGGCACGGTGGTCAATCTCGCTTCGAACACGTCTGCCTACGCGGGAGCGATCGCTGGCGGCACCATCGGCACGATGATCGAGCCGGGCGGCGGCACGATCATCGGCTCGCTCATCGGCGGCATCCTCTGCGGCCTCCTGGTGTCCTTCGGCAGCGACTACGTCTACTCCAAGTGCGCTCCCTCCCTCCCTGGCTCTTCAGCGCCCTTCGTGTCATTCGGCTCACTGGTGTGTCGTGTCGTGTGTGTCGTGTGTCGTGCGTGCAGGTACTACGGAGAGGAGGACGAGGAGGATGCGGTGGAGATGGAGGACTTCAACCGCGCGCTCAGCGCCGAGGAGGAGATGGAGGCCGAGGACGAGCAGTGGGAGCAGCTCCACCTCAACGCCGACCTTTGGGAGGATCTCGTGGCCGAGTTCGAACAGCTCGACGGCAACGAGTACGAGGCCGACACCATCGACGACATCCGGCGAGAACACGAAGAGGCGAGTGCGCAGACGAGGCCGCAGAAGAAGGGCGGCAGCGGAAGGAAGAAGCGAAGAAGCGGGTCCGACGCGAAGCCGTCGTCGTTGGCGACGAAGTGGGGCCGAGTGATGAGCGCAGCGCGGAGACGGAGGAGACCGTCCAAGGCCAACACGCGCGAGGGAACGCGAGCACAGGGCGAGTCCAGTCAGAGCCCGCACTAAACACACAGAACTCGAATGAACACGAATGCATGTGCCAGCGCCTCGTGGGTCCATCGCCTCAGCGGCAAGCAACCACTGCGCTTCACTTCCCGGTCACTACACCACGAGCTTGGCGGTGAAAGAAGATGCGCTGCGCCCGTAGCCTAATGGAAAGGCGCTTGACTTCTAATCAAGAGATTGTGGGTTCGACCCCCACCGGGCGCGATAAAAACTTTTTGCCTGGTGAAAACATGATTGTGGAAGGCATTTCAGGCCTGTACGCCCGGGAGGAAGAGAGGAGAGGAAGAAGCTTCGATGAAAAGAAGACCCAAGAGCGCGTTGGTGCCTACAACACCGGCGGGATGTGATAGACACCGGCGGGATCTGACAGTAGGACAGCAGTGGGAGTCTGAAGAGGTGGTGGGTGGGAGTACCGTCTGCGAAGCGGTGCCTGCCGCCCTCCTTCGGCTGGGCATGCTTTGCTGTTGTGATTGGCTAGATATGCCAGGAATGTGCAGGCCACCGACGGGGCAGTAACGCCCTCGTCTGTCCTGTTGACCGTACGTCGCTTCAAGAAAGAAGAAGAGCCGGATCACAACCACAGGCACCTGCACTTCAAACCAGTACTCCAAGGCGCTTCCAAAAGCACCCAAAGAGTGTGTCATCTGCCACTCCTCCCTGTAGAGATGGTAGTGGTGAAGAACGTAGTAAATCTCCAGTAGGCGGGAGTGTATTCATTCCAGGCGCAGTGTTGAGGCTCATGGTTGGCGGTGTCACATCTCCATCTCTCTCTCTCTCTCTCTGTGCATGCGTGTGTGCGTGTGTGTGAGGTGTTGCTTTTCTTGACTGAGCCGGCCATACAGGTACCTGGCAACTATGCTGAAGGAGACAGCGGCCGGGGGAGCAAGGTACGCCACATGTTCTACTGTCCAGCGTCATCGCCTCCCATGTACTCGTGGGGCTTCAGTTTGTGTTCGTGACAATCCACGCGCTGCCCTCGTTCACGGTACGTTCACGTCAACTCAGAGAGGGACTGATGGTTGGTGGTGCCGAAGAAGCTGAGGTAATGGTGGTGTGCAGACCGTCAAGTGGCGTCTGCGCCTGTGGTGGCCCATGATGGTCACCTCCGCATTCGCCGCTATGACGACCACAGCTTCCTGGGTGCTTCTCTATCTCCACCCACTGGCCATTGCTGCTGACTACGGCAACGGCGCCTGCGAGCAAGAGGAAGCTTACTACTGTGACTTCAATGGTACGCTTCAACTCGAATCTTCATCCGTCTCTTCTGGTTTCATCACTAAATACTGTTTGTGCTTGCAGGACTCTCTTTCGGTCCCAGCTCTGGTTGGACACTGTTTATGCTGGCCAGCTGGCCAGTGGTTGTTGCAGGGTTGGCCGTGCCCTTCTTTCAGCCTGAGTCCCCGCGGCCAGTGAGATCCTGCACACCGTTAATCTGAACCAAAGAGCAGCTCCTTTTGAAGCAACTACTTCGTTTCATGTCCAATTTTGTGTCAAGAGGGACAGGCTTGCAGCGAGTAGGAGGTGTTGGTCCAGTCGAGGGCGGCCATCAGCGCCGACTTGATGGCGTCGCGAGGGCTCACACGCCGCACGAGCCGGTAGCCCGCAGCGGCCAGCTCATACCGCCGCGTGGCGTTGGCCACCAGGCGCACCGCAGCGTCGGCCAGTTGGTCGTAGGGCACAAACTCCACCCCGTCGGCCCAGTAGGCCTTGCCCGCCTGGTCGGTCGAGTCCTCCGACAGAACGCTGACGCCAAGCGAGAGCAGGAAGATCAGGCGCGGGGCCTCGATGGGACCCGACGCGGCGTCGAACTGGTGCACGTTGAGCAGCAGAGCGGCGCTCCGCACGAGGGCCACGCGCTCGCGACCCCAGCCCGCACGCGAGTTGTATGGGGGGTAGAACACGGTGAGGTTGCGCTGCAGCAGGGCATTGACCATGGCCAGGCGCCGAGGATTCATGCCCATGAGCAGCACCACGTCGTACGTGTAGGGCTCGTCGAACCGCTTGCGCTCAGGTGGGCGGTGGTCGTCGGCCGGGTCGCCCGAGATGCCCGGGTAGGAGGTGAGGTTGACCACTGCCGGTCGCGCCCAAGCACCGGGTAGGGAAGAAAGCGGGCCGGTCTGGGCCAGGGCGGCCACGTTGGCGGCGCTGTAGTCCCACACGGCGGCCAGGCGCCACAGGGGCAGGAAGCTGGGGTCGTCGAAGCACGGCCGCGGCATGCCGCCCACCACCTCGAGCTGGAAATGGACCACCGACGTGTCGTGGCCGGCCAGCACCGTGCGCAGGATCGCCTCGGCAGTCATATCATTCGTGCAGGCGAAGGTGGTCACGCAAGTGCGCCCGAGACAGCTCTCCGGGTAGTTGCGGGGGTGGTCGAGGCAGCTGGGCCACTTGGGCGTGTTGACGTCGACACCGTGCCCGCGCAGGCCGTGTACCACCCAGTCCTGCACCTCCACGAAATACTGGTTGACTCGCTCGTTTTCGTAGCGAAGCACGGAGAACTGGCGGGCCGTCGAGACGCACATCGCGGGCGGGTAAGGTGGGTGTTGGTCTTCTTCTGCTTCCATATAGGGCATGAGCTGACCCCAGGGGGAGAAGAGACCCATCAATGCACACGCCCACGCGCCAAATAGAGCGAGAACCAGGCCAAGGGTGCCCCTGCCCCTCGGTGCCATCCTTGCGCGGGAAGCCACCACAACCAGCCGTACTGGTACAAAAACAAAAAAACAAAAACAATCCAAAAAAACAACTTACCAAAAAAGGATCTATCAAGAAACACACAAAGAAACAAAGAGAAACAAAGAGAAACAATATCACAACGCACAAGATGCACGAGCTGGATGTGGCAGGGGACATCACTGCAGCGAAGGAGATACGAGTGGCGCTGGTGCCCATCGGAAACATTTCCGAACGCAAGTTCGTGCAGTTCGCCAACCTCATCAAGACCTTCTCCGTCATCGAACTCGGCCTCACCCCCACCCCACCCACCAAAGGCACTCGCCCCTTCATTTAATAAATTCTCATTATTATCATTATTGGATATTTATGAACACTTGATCAATCTTGTATTCATTAATATTATTTATATATCAATATTAACCAACAAAAAAATAATAATAATATCGTCGGGCAGGAACGATGACGAGGAGCGGATCGACGCAGAGGTGGTGGCAGGGCGGACGGGTCTATCCGCGCTTCGTCGACAGCCGCACCACCCACCGCAGCGATTGGGAGGACTTCCAGGTCCACCGCAAGACTCTCGGCGTATGCTCCTCTCACCGCACACACCGCACACATGATAACAGTGATGTGGCACATGGGCTCGCGCGGTCTGCAGGTGGTGGGGATCATCCACTGCGCGCAATGGAGGGACCTGTCGGATGCCTACACCGAGTTCGAGCGATTGCGCCGACAGCACCCGACCGCCGTCGCCGTCACCTGCTTCGCCTTCGAGCCGCGCGACGACCAACCTGGTGCCTATTATTTATATATTATAAATTATTATTTATATTTATTTATTATTCGAGCCGCGCGTGAGCTATTTATTTATTTATCTTTCTTTATTTGTTGTGTGTGCAGACTTTGCCAAGGACAACCTGGTGATGATTCCCAACGGCGACCAAAAGCGGCTGTTGTTCTATCTCAACACGCTCCTGCTCGACTTCATGGCCACCATCCTCAAGGAGCTCGAGACCCTCGTACCCACCCGCTCTCTATGCGTTGTCGCGTGTCGTGTGCGTCGTGTGTCGTGTGAGCTCACGGTGGTGGTTTTGTGGCGCAGTTTGAGAATGAGCAGGCGTGGTCGAGCGCCTACATCTCGACCCCGCTCGACCCGCACAACCCGTCGGCCGACAAGGTGAATCGCCTCAAGAAGCGCAAGGCCGGACGCGTGAACAAGACCAAGGGCGACTACTGCCTTCTCGCCGGCGACCCTCACGACGCCCTGCTCCAGTTACCACACACACACACACACACACCCTTCGCCTGACCACTCACTTTTCGCACACGACACGCACCACCGCACACGCCAACCGCACACACCGCACACGCACACGCACACGCACACGCAGTTACCAGGCGGCGGAGGAGCAAGCGCGGCAGAATGCGGACATGGTGTGGCTGGCCGGCGCGCTGGAGGGCCAAGCGGCGGCGATGATCATGTCGGCCAGCACCACCGAGGCGTGGGCCGACGTGCCCGCGGTCGACGAGAAATACGCCGAGGCGCTCGGGCTCTACGCCAAGTCCCACGCCGTCACACTCGAGCTCGAGGCCTCCCTCAAGCTCGCTGGTACACACCACCTTGCAAGCTTCGTTTGACTGACCGTGCACCATTGACGGATGGTTGACCGGGTCTCTCTCTTTCTCTCTGTTGACGTGCGTTGACTGACTGACCGGAGGATTTGTTGGTCGACCCCAGGGTACCACGCCTGGTTTGGGCGCAAGGTGCAGGCCTTGGAGCTGTTGATGCACGCCCACGCGCTGTCATCGGAGTGCTCGACCCAGGAGAGGGTACGTGGTGCTCATCCAATGTCTGGCTTGGTTGCAAGGCCGCATTAACTGGTTAATGCTGTGGGGAACAACAACAACAATAACAACAACCAACAACAACTGATTGGTCGATGGTTTGGGGGTTCGGCGCAGATCCTGGTGTGCAGTGCCATCGCCGGTCTCTGCCGTCGTCTGGGCTTCAACCGAAAATTTGCATTCTTCATTCGCGAAGCTGCGGCTCTCCACCACAAACTATTCATGGTATGATCGCCCTACATATCGTACATTCCTTCAACACTACCTCGCACGACGCCCTATACCACACGCACAACTCATACACACACACGGAAATGTACACACACACGACACACACACGACACACACACTCACACGACACACACGATACTATGGTACGACACACTATCCTGAATGTTGTCGTGTGGCAGATGTCGACTGCGCACAGTTTGTACCTGGTGACGGCACCCCACTACCAGCTGCAATCGCTGCAGCCCTCGCATTCCCAGAAGCTCGACAATGTCCAGAGCTGGCTTCACCTCCAGCGCTCCCTCCTTCGGTACACAGAGTAGCCGCGTCATTTTTCTTTACTGCCAATAATATTGATAACATTCTTTTTTCGTGTAGAGCGCTCATTGCCACCTCACGAGCGCTCAACGATGCCACGGCCAGCGCTGCCTACGCTCTCGCGCTCCTCCGGACGTACGTGAACTGTTTTATGTTTTATTAAACATATATTCTGTTTTGTTTGTTTTTGTTTGTTTTTTAATTTTATTTCAAAAATTGAAACAGGTTCAAGGGCGACAAGGAGCACGGCGAGGAGCAGGTGGAGCTGGCCACCGAGCTTGCCCGGCTCACCAAGTACACGCCGGCCTCGCCCCACATCGACCCGCGTGGCGCCCTGCCCCAGGTGCTTGGCATCCTGCCCTTGCGCCCCTCCGACGACTTGGGTACCGCTATCATCACAGCGTGTGCCGTGTGTGCCGTGTGTACCGTGTGCGTGTGTCATGTGTCGTGTGTCGTGTGTGCAGTCGCTAACAAAGCGTTGACCACGTTCTGTTAGTTCCGCTGGAGATGCCCAAGACGAAGCCCGCGGTGGCGGTCGACAACGACAATCCGTTCATTTTCACGCCCATGCGGTTCCAGAAGAGCCACTACACGCCGCCCGTCGTGGCCAAGGGCGACCTCGTCACCTTCAAGGCCTACCTCGCCAACCCCTTCGCCTTCCAGGTGACTCACTGCGCCACCTTAACCGCCCAGAACTGCCACCTTAACCATCGCCGCCACCACCTTAACCGCCACTAGGTCCACCTGGAGTCGGTGAGCTTGGCGACCGATGGGGCCGAGTTCGCCGCCTACCCGGTGCTGGCCGTCACGCTGCCGCCGCACGCGGTCTGCCATGAGGTGGTGCTGTGCGGCAAGGCGCTCGCGGCCGGCAGCGTGCGGGCCACGGGCTGCCTCATCCACGCGCTCAACATTCTGTGCCTCCACTCCGTCGACGGCCGCGGCCTGCCCATTGTTGTCGACACCACCCACGCCGGCGCCGACGGCGAAGTGAACGGGCGGCTGCCGCTGGTCGTCGACCTGCCCAAGGTGCCCGAGACCCGCAACCTCCCGCGGGAGGACGGCCCGGAAAACGCCACCGAGGTATGTTCCCGCATATTTCATATATATTGATATATATTCATATAGATTGTTCTATATTGATATGATATGTACATATTCATGTTCGTGTGTTGGTGTGCGTTACGCTGAAACGGCGGCGGTTGCCAGGTGGTGGTCGTGGAAGCGCTGCCGCTCCTCACGCTTTCGACAGTCGGGCCGCCCATCCGACAGCTGGCGTTCGAGAAGCAGCTCGGCGGAGTCGAAATCGAGGTACACACAGACGCAGCACTCATGTGTGCGTGTGCGGTGGTGCGTGCGCGGCCTAAACTGAGCGAATGGAATGGAATGGAATGCACGTCGGCAGGTGCGGAATGTGAGCGGGCTGCCGATCGAATGGATGAACTTGCACGCGCCGGCGGACGGCAGTGACGATGACGGCGCCACCAACTCGGGTTTGGTGTGGGACGCCGACGTGGTGGCCGCCCACCTGCCCCTCGCGCCCGGCCACTCCTTCGTCCTCCCCGTCCGCTTCCGCTTCGGCGTTCACATGTACCACCTGCCCATAATTATCATTATTTATTTAGTTATTTATATATTATCGTATGATTTGTAATTATGAATTTTATCAGTTTTTAATATAAAATAATCGTGATTACAGGAAGGACGGGCGGGTGGTGGTGGAGTACGGCGAGAAGGAGGGCACGCACAAGCGGCACGCGGCGATCGACATCCAGGCCGACCTGCTGGGCGGGCAACTGCCGGTGGTGGTCACAAACCTCAGCGTGCTGCCCTACGGCCGCCTGCCCGCGCTCCCCAACTGCACCGCCCCGCCCGAGGGCCAGGAAGACGACTACGCCGTCTTGCTCTTTGAACTACACAACACGTACAGCCCCGCGCACGACACGACACGACACGATACACACGACACACGCACGACACACGGCACACGCACGACACGAGAGCTAACGATGTGGCGGGTGGTAGCGCGCCGTTGGCGTTCACGGTGCACTGCGCGGTGACGGACCCGGCCAACACGCTGCGCGTCGTGTGCGAGCCGCGATCGCAAAGCAAGCTCGCCGCCGTGGTCCGAAGGCTTCCCTCCGACGGCTCCCTCTCTGCGCGCGAGGCCGCCCTCGCCTGCAAGGCCGGCCTCATCCAACGCGTCTCGCTCTGGTGGATATCGGTACCTCTCATTCCATTGATGTTGTGTGTGTGTGTGTGTGTGTGTGCGTGTGCGTGTGCGTGTGTACGTTTGCGTGTGTGCGTGTGCGTGTGCGATATGGGCGTAAACGTCGCGAGTTGTCCGTTCATTGGATGGTGCACAGTCGTGGGGACACAGGGGTGACATATCGCTGGCCTCGCTGTCGGTGCCGGCGCCCCTCCTGATGTCCGACCCCGTGCGCATCTCCCTCGCCTGCGTCAGCGGCGACGGCGAGACCGACATCAGCGCCGACCCGCGCACAGCGCGCGTCGTGTGCGGCGAGTTCAGCCACGTGCGCGTGCGCGTCGAGAACCGCAGCGCCGCCGCAGTCAGCCTCCTCTTGCGTGTCCAGGCCTACCAGGTACCCGTCGTGATTCATGGCGTGTCGTGCGCCGCGTGTACGTGTGCGGTGGCGCGTGTGTCGTGTGTGTCGTGTCGTGTCTCATTTCTTGCGGGGGCAGAGCACGGACGCGGGCCAGCCGAAGGTGTCGCTGCTCAACAAGCTCCTGTGGATGGGCTCGCTGCACGTGACCTTCAACAACGTGCCCGCCGGCGAGGCGGTGGAGCACACGGTCGGGCTGTGCGCGGTGCAGCCCGGCCGCTACGGCCTGCAGGCGTCGGCCACCAACGAACTCACCAACGACACGCACTGGGCGATCCACCCGCTCACGTTCCACGCTTCCCTTCCCTCCTCCTTCTCTTCCTCATCGTCGTCTCTGGGCTCTCGTAATTAAAATTCAATTACATTTTCTCTCGGCTCACGAAAGAAATCCAAAAAGAAAAGATAGGCGGACATTTATGGTCTCCGTCGGATTTGTTGATCCATTTTCGCTTTGGCCTTGAAAATGCAGAGGGGCGCTCAGGGTGGACGATTTGCTTTCGTTGGAGGGCGGGGCGCCCTGGGCAAGACCATCGGAGGGGGTGCCACCCATCCCGCCCTGGCTCTGCGCAACATGAACAACAAAACCGCTACCGCGGCCTATTCATCGGGCAGCGGATCGAAGGAGGACCGAGATTGGTTCGATTGGAGCAAGTACCGCACCACGTCCTCGAAGTACGACCCGTTTTACCAGCACATCACCACCGATGCCCGGTTCGGCATGAGCGACGTCTGGACTCAGGGCATGGATCCTCCGCAGCCCATTTTCCCCGTCGATGTCAAAGGCCGTTCCAAGGTGCCTTGTGCCTCCGCACAATAATCCCCAATTTCCTGTTCTTTATACTGGCAGCCTCCGCTACGCTGCTGCTGCTCTATCTATCAATCATTCAATTGAATTAATTGTTTTGATTCTACACTCTGCCATTTCTAATCAAATTTGTGAATCCATTCAATCCTCCCTCCCATCTCATCCTCTACGCAGGCGTATTTGCCGGAGGTTCTCTCGCGGAAGCACTACTACACCAAGTATGCCATGCTCAACCGTCCTCAGCAGCTGCACGCCCTCAACCTCGCCACCATCAGGCACCTCACGCCCGTCCTCAAGGCACCATCCCGCTTCTTCTCCTCCTTCTTCTTCTTCTTCTTTCGCGTTCTACTCGCTGCAGTCAAGACAGTCCCTCAGGGTGCTGCGCGTCCACTCTCTCCTAACCAACGTGCTGCTTCTGTCTGCACCGCCGCCGCCGCCGCCGCCGCCACCACCGCGAGCAGAAGTGGCAAGCGCACAAGGAGACGACACGAGCGATCGTGCTGACTTCCTCCACGCCCGAGCACCTCTCTTCGGGAACGGACTTTGTCGGTGCGCGACTCAGTCTTCTTGCTTGCTTGGTCGCCCAACTCGTGGGCTCTCGCGCGTTGTGTGTGTGTTGTGTGTGTTCTGACTTTCGCTGACTGTCGCTGTGGCCGTCTACCAGATCTGCTGCAGGCCGTGCGCAGCGGCAACCAGGAGTTCCCCAAGACCTACTTTAAGGAGCTCTACCAGCTGATCTACTACATCAACTCGCTCGACAAGCCCTTCCTCCCCATCATGAACGGCGTCACCAGTGCGTCTCACGCCTTTCTCATGCTCCTCGTCGCTGTGGTGTGTGTGTGTGTGTGTGTGTGTGTGTGTGTGTTGTGGTACGTGTACGTGCGCTAAACTGTTTATCTGGTGGTCAACGCTCTGCACTCCAGTGGGTTCCGGCGCGTCGCTGGGCTACAGCTCGAACTCGTTCAAGATCACCACCGAGCAGACCGTCTTCGCGCTGCCGGAGGTGGGCATGGGCTTCTTCCCCGATGCGGGCGCCAGCTACCTCCTCCCGCGACTCGCCGACCACGTGGGCACCTTCCTCGCCCTCACCGGCAAGCGCATCCGCGGCTGGGACGTCCTGTACGCCCCCCCCCTCTTTTAAACACCACCCTTCGTGTCGCTTTCGCTTTTTTTTCTTCGTTCTTTACCTCCCCCCCACCCACCCACTGACCTGGTGGCCACTACGATCAGGTGGTCCGGCATCGCGACGCACCTCGTCCCGTCCGATCGCATCCACATCATGTACGACCAGTTGGACCAGCTGCGCGACAAGTTCCATTCGTTCGACCAGATCATCCACTGCGTCCACTCGTCCGCGGCCGACAAGATCGGTACTCACTCTTCCTCCCACTTCTCAGCTCTTGCATGGTGGCCTGCTCATCGTCGTGTCGTTGGTCGTGTGCGTGTCGTGTCGTGTCGTGTCGAACTGTAACTGTTGCAGAGCACCCGTATCTGCTGAAGGAGAAGGGCTACCTCGACATCATCAAGCGCTGCTTCTCGCAGCCCACCGTGCCGGAGATCATGAAGGCCCTCTCGCACGAGAAGCACCCTTGGGCCAAGCAGGGTACCCCTCCAACTTCAACTTCAACTTCAGCCTTGTGAAGTTCTCCGCTCTCTCTCCGCTTCGCTCGAATTGCGCGCTGACCGCGACGCGTCGACTCGCCAGTGCTGCAGCGCCTGCAGGAGCAGTGCCCCCTTTCGCTGGCCGTCACCCTCCGATCACTGCAGGAGGGCGCCACCAAGGACATGGGCGCCGCCCTCCGGCGAGAGTACCGCATCGCGCTGCGCTTCATGGTACGCCTCGTCACACCTCACACCGCCCACCCTACACTCGCTGTCGATTGGTTATTGAGAGAAAAGCGACTTAACGTTGTTGGATTGATCGACCAATCCGCAGCTGTCGCGCGACTTTGCCGAGGGCGTCACGGCGCGCATCGTGGAGAAGAGGCAGCCCAACTGGACCCACAAGTCGGTCGAGGACGTGCACCCCGACGAGGTGCAGGCCTTCTTCGAGTCTCTTCGCGGTACGTCAATTTTCTCTTCTCTCTTTTCTCTTTGATTTCTTTTATTGATCTTTAATGTGGTTGTGTGCTCGGTTGTTGGCAGAGGACGAGCTCGACATCAGGAGCTTGGACGAGGAGCGGGCCGAGGACAGCGCGATCCAGCAGCTGCTCGACAAGCAGCGCCGCTTCAAGAAGATGATGCGCAGGCCCTGGGTTCAGAACGAGGCCAAGTAAGTCCAGCCCTCCCCTCTTTCTGTCCACCACCACCACCACCACCACCACCACCACCACCACCACCACCACCACCACCACCACCACCACCACCGACACGACACACGGGCATTTCTCAGATTCCTCACTTTTTGTTGCACGGCGCACAGGCAATATCTGGCGCAGGAGCTGAAGAGCGTGCAGAAGGAGCTCGAGGCGAGGCAGTCGCAGACCGCGGGCCAGCTGGCCGCGGAGACCGAGAAGCAGCGCGAGGAGTACCAGAAGAAGATCGAGGAGGGACGCGCGCGCAAGGGCGAGGCCCTCAGCTTCCTCCAGCAGCTCGAGGACGAACTCGTTCGCCGTCGCAACGTCGAAAAGGAGGCCGTCACCAAGGTGCCTCCCCACACGCACCACCGCACACGCACCACCGCACACGACGCACACACCACCGCACGCACACGCGTGTCTGGTGCGGAGGTTGACCTTTTTTTTGTTTTCTTTCTCTCGGGTCAGACGACTGTGGACAAGTTGGAGTGGAAGAGGTGGGAGGAGGACATCAAGAACGTGAGGGAGGCCAAGGGCATTCTCACCCTCGACGTCAACACCGAGTACGATGAGCAGCTGCCCACCGCCGCGCTCCAGACCGTTCTCGTCGACGGCATCGCCGGTGCCCTCCCCGTCCACTCTGGAATTCCAAAAACGCCACACACACACAACACACACCACACACAACACACACACAGAGCTGATGATGGTGGTGGTGGTGGTCAACACCGCAGAGGCCCTCTCGGGAACGGAGGACCTGGCGAAGCAGGTGAGCCTCGTGGCGGCGTCGCTCGACACGGCCGGCAAGAGCGCGCTGGAGCTCAAGGAGCACCTGTTCCGCCGCACGCCGGAGGGCGTGGCCGAGGCCGAGGCCGAGTACGAGCGGCAGTACGTGGAGGCGCTCCAGCAGGACGAGCTGCGCCGCACCCTGCGCGAGCAGATGGCCGACATCGACATCGACGCCATCCGGCAGGCCATGAACGAGGACCTGGGCCTCCTGCAGCCCGACGAGCGCGACCAGCTCGACACCCTCCTCTCCAGCACCGAGATCGTCAGCCACGCGCGCCAGCTCCACAAGCAGAAGCAGCGCGAGCAGCAGCAGCAACAGCAGCAGCGGCCCGAGGCCGAGGCGGGCGCGACCGTTGAGCCGGCGCTGACGCTCGACGACATCGCGAAGCTGGTGCTGGGCGGCGACCACAACGACGACGCGGCGCGCGTGGCCGAGACCCGGGCCAAGATCGAGAGCGGCGAGCTGGCGGTGAGCGAGGAGACCTACGCGGCCGCGGTGCAACTCATGCGCGAGCGCTCCCTGGCCGCCGCCGAGCCCAGCGAACGTGCCACCGTCGAAGCCACCTTCGACACTATGCACGTACGTGTCGTGTGTGCCGTGTGTGCCGTGTGTGCCGTGTGCCGTGTGCGCGTGGCGCAAACGGGGGAACTCATGATGGGCTCGCAGGACGAGATCGTGAACGTGGTCAAGGCCAAGGTGGCCGGTCAGAGCCGAGAGCAGATGGTGAACGCCCTGGTCGGCGGTGAGCAGGGCAAGAGCAAGCTCGCCCAGCTCATGACCCAGACCGCCGCCAATCTCCCGCACGACAGCCGCGTCGCCCTGACCGACCCCGAGAACCAGGCCCTGATCCTCGCCGAGTTCCAGGACTTTGCCAAGAACCTCGATTGTACGCGTGCCCCCCTCCAAAGCGACACGACACGACACGACCAACGACACTCACTGGACAAGCGCCACAACAGCAAACGCGTCGGAGGGCAAGGTGCCGCTGTGGAAGCTGGAGGACAAGATCGCGAACGCGCTGGCCAGGCGCGACACGGAGGCCGCGTGGCCGGCCGAGAAGCGCCAGGAGCTGAGCCGCCAGATCGCGCAGGACAGGCAGCTGCGCGACCTCCACGCCTTCCCCGGCCTCCGCGGCGACGACGACGACGGCGCCGATGCTCTCCAGCAGGCCACCGGCCAGCCCGGTTCGTCATCGTCATCGGAGGACCTGGACCTGGGCAAGCTCGTCGACGATGCCGCCTACGAACTCGAGCACGGCCGGCCGGCGCCCATCCCCGTCAAGCTGTACCGTCTTCGCTTTTCTTCGCTCTTCGCTCTTTTTTATTCTTCGTTTTCGTTCTTTCGCTCTTCGTTCTTTGCACGATGCATGCTGGATGCTGATGCGGTGCGTGTGTGTGTGTTTCTAGGATGACGGAGCAGCAGAAGGACGAGTTCGAGCGAAACCAGTCGGACATGGGCCTAGCCAACTACGGCAAGCAGTTCGTGTACGAAAAGTACGCCGACAGGATCGGTCACTTCAAGCGCATCAAAGAAAGGTCCGCTTTTTTCCTGCTTGCGTGTGTGTCGTGTCGTGTGTGCGGTGTGTGTCGTGTGTCGTGTGTCATTTGGTATTGACGATGGCCACGTGGGGTGGTGAACGTTCGCCAGGCAAGACGAGTTCATGTCGCAGGTGCCGGACCCGATTTCTGAGCCGGAGCAGTACCGCGACTGGCTGGTGGCCGTCCGATTGGCCGACCTCGCCATGCCGGCCCTTGAGGACGCCCTCGGCAACTGGATCGACCAGCAGGCCAAGGCCGGCTACAACGTCAAGCCCATCGTACGTCCACCGCACACGACACGACACGACACGACCAACGACACGACACGACCAACGACACGACGACACGACCAACGACACGACCAACGACACGACACACGCTAACATTGCGTCGATGAACAGCCCGAAGCGTTGAGGGACGACAGCGTGGACGGATTTGTGGGTACGGGCAGCGACGACCTGGAGGAGGTGCCGACGCCGACGCCGGCGATCTTCAAGCTGTGGAAGATGGCCACGTCGCCGTCCGCCGAGAGCGACGAAACCGATGCGCCTGTCCCGCCGGTGAGACGGACAGACGACGCCAGCAGCCAGGAGCTCCTCCGCAGCATCAAGAAGAGCGCAACGGCCTCCAAATCCTCCTCGTCGCCTTCCTCCGGCTCTCCCTCTTCCTCCTCCTCCTCGACCACCCCCCAGTAGTCCCTCTTTCCCTTCTCCCTTCTTTCAAAAGCAAGCTTTCTTTTCTCATTCTTTTTATTCCCAGCCTTTGCTTGGCTCAAGGGAAAGAGAAAAGAAAAGGGGGGGGGGTAATAAGACCAACAACCAGTCCACGCAGTATGAAGGTGAGACTGTGTCAACTCAGACAAAGGAAGTGAAGTGCCAAGTGTGTAGGGGCTCATGTTCTTTGCAGTGTAAACGTTTGTTGGTATATTTGCGGTTGCCAGCGCGAGTAGCGAGAGAACAGCATCGCTGTGGGACTCCTGGTGGGATGCTACACGGGGGGCGGGCAATGGCTGGGGCCAGGCCTGGGCCTAGGCTTGGGCTTAGGACTTCTGGGAGGAGATCTTGCAGACGGAGCCCTCCTGCTTCTCCCACTGCTCGACGGTGATGGGCGCGCGGATCTCGTGGGTGACGACCTCCTTCTCCTGGATGGTCTCGTGGATGTGCTTGGTCTGCTCGATCACGTGCGGGATCACCACCTCGCGCTCCACCACGGGCGTGACCTGCTCGATGATCTTCTTGTGGATCGTCTCCTCCACGATGGGCGCGAACTCCTCGCGCTTCTTCTCGATGCCCAGGAACTCGGTCTTGGACTGGATGGCGGGGGCGGCGCCCAGGCTGCGGCCGCCCTCAAGCGGGGTGGGCAGGCCCGTGGCCTTCTCCTGGCGGGTGCCCAGCTCGACCTCCTTGGCGGTCTTGGTGATGAGGGTGGGCCTCACCTCCTTCTCGAGGATGGGCTGCACCACCTGGCGCACCTCGGTCTGCTCACGGTCGATGTGCACGACGGGCTGCACCTTTTCTGTACGTTTTTTAAAGTACAAAAATATAAACAAAAACAATGATTGGTGAGTTTTTATGCAGAGGTTGCAGTGCAATGAGGAATTTGGTGATGAATGTGTGGAATGTTCAGGGAATGTGAGGCATACCGATTTCGATCTCGCGGATGCGCTCGATTTCCTTCTGCGCCTGGCACTGGACCTCCTTGGTGTAGGTGACGCCCTCCTTGACGACGTCGGGGCGCACCTTCTCCTGGGTGACGGTGGTCTCCAGCACCATCTTGTCCTCCTTCTTCTCGGTCGTCGTGGTCTGGGCCGGGGTCTCAGCGGTGAAAATCTGCTTCAGGATGTCCATGGTTCTGTGTATGTGTGTGTGCGTGTGCGTGTGTTGTCATGTCAGCAATGGGTGCGTGTGCGTGTGCGTGTGCGGTCAAGAAAAGTGACTGTACCTGGGTGGTAGGATGGTAGTGGTTGGCTTGAGTTGATGATTGTTGTGGTGGTTGTGGGTTGAATGAATGGGAGGGTGGGAAGGGCGTATTTATGAGGGAGGGGGGTGGGCTTGTGGCCCCGAATTCCCACCGGGTCTCGGGCTTGTTTTCTTCCAGTTTCGAGTCGGCTTCGAGTTTTCATCCGAAGAACGCTCCAACTGAGAATCCTGGGCTTTGGGAAGATTCCACCCACCGTCGTTCTGGGAACTTAGTAGTGTTTGGCCACCAGGACTTGGTCGCCCCAAAAGAACTCCCAAATGTTGGACCAACCAACATCAAGGAATTAAATATTGTTATAGCATTGGACCGCTACACAACGGAATGGGCGGAAGAGCCAATCGTGCAAGGTGATCTTTTGGGAAAGACAAATGGTTAGATCACTCCCAGATCACGGAATCCGAAACCCACATACTCAAACCGGGCGAAATTCCGAATGATTTCTGGGAATTGCTGGAGCGCCGCCGTTTTCCCTCGGCTCTCGGTCGAAAGCGGAGGGGAAGCGAGCCTCGATGTCTTCCTGAGGTTCGTCGGCATTCTCGACTGATCGTCATCCACCAGCGCCGGACAGCCTTGCCACCTTCAATTCAAACGTCCGAAGCCCATCAGCGTAACCATCTCTCGCAACCACTCTTGAAGAAGAAGAAGAGACTTGAAGAGCTGCGTATCCATCCAGCTCAACCCAGACCCAGTAGTTCGTCACTAGAGCCACCATTGAGGTGCATGCACTACCCACACTCCATCTTCTTCTTGTGAAAGAAGGCTTTACTCGTTTGTTGTAGAAGAAGACGCTAGGCTGACTCGACAAGCGTTGGTGGGTGCAGCGCCCACCGAAACAGATGTTCTCCATTCTACGCGACATCCTAAGTCCTACTCCGCCGGCCTCGTACGTTCAAGAAGAAGCGACGGCCATTTCTACGCCATCTTCTACTTCGACCTCTACTTCCTCATCTTCTTCATCTTCTTCTACGTCGGCCGCGTACGCGGTCGAGGAGTCAAAGATGAAGAGAGCCCGAGACGAACTGATGGCGAAGGGTGTCAAGTCGCAGGAGGAAGAACGAGCTGAGGAAGACCAGGAGAAAGAGATGAAGAGGAAGAAGGTGGAGGAGGCGAAGGTGAAGGTCATCGAGGGACGCACGGAGAAGCACTTCGAGTGCATGGAGGAGAAGGTCCTCGAAAAGATACACAAGATCGAGACCACCCGCGTACAACCCATCATCCACCGCGACCGCTACCAGGTACCCTCCACCACCGCACACACCGACACGACACGCGCTCATGGAATGTGAACAATGCACACAACACACAACACACAGGTCGAGGTGCACCAGATCGTGCAGCCGATCATCGAGAAGGTGACCAAAGCGACGGTGCTCGAGATCAAGCCGCCCATCAGCGAAGAGCTGGGCACGCGGGTGGTGGAGGCCACGTTCGAGGCCGCGCAGCCGGCCGTGGCCGGCACCACGGTCATCAGTCCCGCCCAGCCGCTGCCCGTCCCGGCCGAGAGTCGGTCGGAGGTGGTGAGCGTGGTGCAGCGCCACGAGGAGCTGCCGCCCATCGTCGAGGAGACCGTGCACCGCAAGATCGTCGAGCGCATCACACCACTCATCCTGGTACTGCCACCGCACACGACACGACACGACACGCGCTGATCGATTATGTGTTGTTAAAAAAATGCAGAAGGAGATCGTGCTGCCCAACATGGCGCTGGTCGAGGCCTTCCCCGAGGGCGTCGTCACCAGCGACGGCACCACCATCCACACCCAAGGCACATGCCTCCAACAATTCCCAGAATAACTCACATTTCCTACATTCCTTGAGCGTGTGCGGTTGCTGACGTGTGTCGTGTTGTGTGTCGTGTCGTGTGCGATTGACAGTTGGTGCGCCGGTGGTGATCGAGAGGCTGGTGATCCGCGCGGCCACGGAGTCGATGGAGGAGCGGCTGCAGCGCCTCGAAGCCAAGGCCCAGCGCAAGGCCCAGAAGCGCGCCGCCAAGGAGCTGCTCAAGGCCGAGCGCCGCGCCTCCAAGCTCGAGCTCAAGGCCCAGAAGCGCGCCGCCAAGGCCGAGCGCAAGGCCCTCAAGCGCGTGCTCCGCGAGCAGGAGCTCGTCGTCGAGGCCGAGCTCGCCGTCAAGGCCATGCACGAGCGCGAGCGCCAGCGCCAGCAGCAGCAGGTCGTCGAAGGAGTCGCGGTCAAGGAAACGACGACGGTGCCGGCCGTGGTGGTGATGGACATCGACGAGGCGGCCAAGGAGAAGGGGAAGGGCGGGGTGGAGGTGGTTACGACGGTCGACGAGGCGGTGGTGAAGAAAGTGGAGAAGATGGAAGGGCCGCCTTCAACCGCGGTGGCCAACCTGACGGACAAGTCCGTGGTCAGCACCAAGCTGAAGAACTTCTCGCCGCTGATCGTGACGAGGTCGGGGAGCCAGCAGGAGCTCGAGCTGGAGACGCAGCCGCAGCCGCAGCTCACCAAGAACCAGAAGAAGAAGAAGCAACAACAACAGAAGAAGAAGGCGGAGGCCACGGCTGGCGTAGAGACGCCCGAGCAGGTCGTCTAAAGCTGTGCGCCTTGTGTGGAGAGGTGGAGAGTTGAAGGGCCAAAATACATGATCATCAGTTCAACAACGAGAAACGTAGAAGGACTCTTTGACTGACGACTTTTACACAAAGCCGGCTTTGATGGGTGGATTGATGATGATGATGAAGGGGTGCCCTTAGCCAGAGGGGCAGTCCCTCGCCCAGTGGCCGACCTCGTTGCACTTGTAGCAGGGCCTGCTGCTGCCTCCGCCGCCACCTCCTCGTCCACCGAAGCCGCCGCCGCCGTAGCCACCTCCACCGCCGCCGTAGCCCCCACCGCCGCCACCACCCGCGCTGGGGCAGTCTCGCGCCCAGTGGCCCGTCTCGTTGCACTTGTAGCAGGGCCGGCCGCTGCTGGCGCCGCCACCGCCACCGCCGCCTCGCCCACCATAGCTGCCGCCACCGCCGCCGCTGGCGCCAGCGCTGGGGCAGTCCCTGGCCCAGTGGCCCGTCTCGTTGCACTTGAAGCACACGTTGCTGTCGCTGCCGCCGCCGCCGCCGCCGCCACCACCGGCGCCAAAGTACTTCTGGATGCCCGAGCGGGCCGGCGAAGCGGTGCCTAGGGCGTGTGGGAAGCGTTCGTGCGATGAGACTCGCCGCACACACGACACACGCAACACGACACACACGGCACACGGGAGGGAGAGGGGGGGGGTGTACCGGAGGAGGAAGAGGAGGCGCCGCCAAAGGAGGAAGAGGCGCGCGGCGGCTCGTCGAGCCACTGGAAGAATTTGCATTGGGACTCTCGCGACTGTGCGCACGCGTAGAACTGTCGGCCTGTGACGAGGATCGCACATACGGCGCGTGCGCACACGTGAGTGCGGTTCGCGCGTGCGGCGGTGTGCTGTGAGCGTGCGTGCGTACCTTGGTTGGGTCCCTCCTTGCGCACGGTACAGACCTTGGACGGTTCGTTGTGGCTGCACACCGGGCCATCGGCGGGCGGGAAATTGGACTGGTCGCCGCCAGCCTAACAACCAACCCGCCAATATAAATAAATAAATAAATAAACAACACGGCCACGGCCGGCATGGAGCCGGGGGGGAGGTACCGGTTCGGTCCTTGCCTTTTTGTTGGGGCACTGCGACGCCCAGTGGCCGGTCTCGTTACACTTGTAGCACAGGTCGCCCGCTCGGTTCGGACTGCATGCAACAGCACCGCGACACAACACACACACACACAACACACCACGACACACACACACACACACAACACACCACGACACACACAACACACACAGCACGGCACACGTTCAGCGATGTTAGAGTGATGAAAGGAAGAAGGATAGCGTGGCGCACGCACCTGGAGGTGGCGCCCGTGTCGCTGCTGACGGCCGAGTCGAATCCTCTCTTCTGGCCCCGCTGGGGGGCGTAGATGCTGCTGGTGCTGGCGGGCGGCGTGCTGGGCGGCGTGGGGTAGTCTCGCGTCTCGCGCTCGTACTCCTCCTCCACGTCCGGCTCGTGCGATCCGCCGCCCTCCACAGTCCTTTTTTTTTTCGGTCGCTAATCAGCATCCGCGACGCACGCGACAGCACACAGCACGCACCCTTTGGGGGGGGGGGTGAGAGATTTACCAGTCGATGGGGGCGAGCCCGGCGGCTTCCAGGAGGCCGTTTGTGCGCGAGAAGTGGCGGCAGCCGAAGAAACCCCTGTCATCCAATTGGAAAAGTCGTCAGGCCAATTTGCGCCGAGAGTAGTAAGATGGGAGGGAGAGTGAATGTGGGGGGGGGGACGCAACTTGTCGGCCGAGTATGGCGAGGGGTGGGCGGCGGTGAGGACGTGGTTCTGACCGGTGATCATGTTCTTCTTTGTCTGAAGACACGACACGACACGACACGACACGACCAACGACACGACCAACGACACGACACGACACGCGAGTGAGTAAACGGGCTGTGGGAGGAGACGAGGAGTGGAGTACGAACCTGGGCCTTGGCGCCCCACAGCAGGAACACGACGTTGGACTTTTGATTGATGGCCTGGATGATGGCGTCCGTGAAGTGCTCCCAGCCCTTGCCCGCGTGCGAGTCGGGCGAGCCCTGACTGCGTAACACGTACGTGGGACAGCAAAATAGGGACCACCCGTTAGTTGTGGCTGTACAGCGGCGTGTGTCGTGTCGTGTCGTGCCGTGTCGTGTCGTGCGTACGCGACGGTGAGCACTGTGTTGAGAAGGAGCACGCCCTGCTTGGCCCACTGCATGAGGTAGCCGTGATTCGGCGGTCGGAAGCCGGGAACTGCCGGCACGACACACGACACGACACGACACGCACGGCACGTGGCTGCGTGAGCGCGGTGGGCGAAGGGAAAGAGGAGGGAGAGCCAGGAACGTACTGTCGGCGGCCAGCTCGCGGTAGATGTTGACGAGGGAGGGCGGAATGCCCACGCCCTTGTTGACCGAGAAGCACATGCCGTGCGCTTGCCGGTGGCCATGGTAGGGGTCCTGGCCTGCAAAAATCAACCGATTTTGGTGAATTAATTGAATAAATAAGAATAACAATTGCAAGTAAAAGCTAGAATGAGGTACGAACCCAAGATTACGGCCTTTACTGAGTCGAACGGGCAAGCATTAAGGGCGGCGAAGATATGCTCGTCGGGAGGGAAGACGGCCTTCTCCTCGCTCATCAAAAATTTGACCAAATCTTCCCAGTACGGCTTCTTGAATTCATCCTGGAGTACCTCGCGCCACGATTCCTCTGTGAGAAAGCTCAAAATGCGATCGCGTTCGGCCTCGCGCCTCGCCCGCAGCTTCGCCAACGCCGCCAGGCGACTCGCCTCTGCCTTCGCCACTCGCTCCTCAGCCGACAGATCGCTCATCTTCTGCCCTTTTTGCTTCTCGCTCGCTCTACTCGCAGCTCCACGCAGGTAGTTTTGCCTGCGTTTCCGTTGCGCTCGATTTTCGCGCCCAAATTATATTATTTTATTTTCCAGGAAATAATTAGGAAAATTAAAGCCCTCAAAGCTTGTCCACAAAGTCGTCGAGAAGGGTGTCGCCATTGATCAGCTTCGTCGTGCCGATCACGTACCGCGCACTCCCTGCATGACCACGACACGACACGACACGACACGACACGACACGACACGACACGACACGACACGACACGACACGACACGACCAACGACACGACCAACGACACGACACGACACGACACGAGCTTCGTCAGCCACATCGATTGCTTCAATGGTCACGGCGGGCCGCCCGAACAACGCCAACGTGCCTGGCTGCTTGGAGAGCCACCGAAGCGCGGCGATCTCGGTGTAGGTGCAGCCGCCGATGAAGAAGACCATCACCACGGGCGTCGGACCCGTCGGCACGGCCGGCTGGGCCGGGGCGGAGCCGCCCACCAGGCCGCCGGTGATGACGGGCGTGATGGTGCTCATCGCGCTCAGCGTGGCCGCCGTCGTCGCCGTCGTCGCCGCACCCAACACTCCCAGCGTGCCCATCACCACTGTAGCCGGTGCGCGTGTGCGTGTGTCGTGAGTGTGTGCGTGTGCGTGTGCGGTCGTGTGTAGTGTGTAGTGTGTAGTGTGTGCGGTGGCGAGGGGGGGACGCACTGTCGCTGCCGCCCTTGACCAGTCCCATGGCGCTGCTCTCGCTTCGCCGCTTGGCCGCGTCTTTGCTCTGCAGAGCACCAACACATGGCTACGTTGGCGGGGTGCCTCTCGCAGTGCAGCGGGCGAGGCGGTGTGAGGTTCACGTGCGAGTACCTTGTCGTCGCCGGGCCGGCCGAGCGCGGCGGGCCGCTCGACCTCTTCCTCTTTGGCGGGCTTGCTGTCGATGTCCGTCTTCTTGGCGTCCAGCGTCACCGCGTACTCGAACACCGGACCCATGTGATCTGCGCAGCCTCGTCAGCTCCACGCGTGCAACACACACACACACACACACACCACACACGCACACACGACACGAGTGTCGTTCGCTAAGAATGCTAGGAATGCATGCCTTTGAGTTTGCGCAGCTCCTTGAGCTGCCATTCGCCCTTGACAGCGGCTTCGATCAAACGCACGCTCAGCGGCGCGTACCTGATACAAACGAAATAATTAAATAAGTAAAACAAATTACAAAACAAATTACAAAAAACAAAGTGAAAGGCAGGGGGTAGTACCCCGAGTAAACGTAGGCGATGTCCTTCGGATCTTTCTCGTCGACGTCGGTCACGATGAGCCGCATCGTCTTCTTGATCGACGCGAACGGCGGCGAGCCGTCGTACTTCTTGATCAGACCCAGCTGCTCCAGATTGCTCAGCGTCCCGATGTGGTTGTATCCGTACGTCTGCACCGGTAGACCCAATTCCCTCCCTGGTGAGTCGCACACGCCACACACCGCACACGCACCACCGCACACACGCCACACACCACCGCACACGCACCACTGCACTCACGACCGCACACGCACACACGCACCTGGAGGAATTCACGTCGGAAGGAGTCGTATTGCTTGGGCTTGATGCCGCCCGTGGTGTAGGACAGGAGGCACAGCAGGCGCAGGATCTTCCCGATGGGCTCCGCACGCGATATGCAGTCCTCCAGATACCGCGTGTCTCCGCTGTCGACCCCCGACAACAGCCCTGCACGTGCGCGCGTGTGGGCAGCAACGAATGAGAATCGACTTTTGATTTTTCGATCGTCGTCATTGGCGGGGAGGGAAGGCGTACGGTGCTCGAACTCGAGCCGCTTGCGGAAGTCGTTTTCCTTCGTGATCTGCAATATGCGCTCGGCAATGTTGGTGTCTGTGTGCGTGTGCGGCCGTGTGTGTGCGGTCGTGCGTGTGGTGTGTCGTCAGCGACTGGCCCACCAACAAGTGCGGTTCGCTGGGAACGGCGTACGGATTTGGAGGGAGCGGTGCTCCTGCTGGAGGACGCCCAGCTTGGCGACGAACTTCTTGATCTCCTGCAGACTCTTGGCCTTGTCCCTCTCCTAGGTGGGTCGTCGCTGATCTATCAGCCATCACCGGTGGAAAGAAAAGAAGTAATAAAAATAAAAATAATAGTTGAAGATCATGACATGCGCGTACGCTGTAGTTCTTGTCGATGGCCTTGGCCTTGGTGTGCAGCAGCGGTCCCAGCGCGCTGAAGTTGATATCGCGGATTTCCTGGAACGCGCACGAAACAGGTGAATTAATTAAATTAATAAATAAATGTATTAATAAATGCTGATAATAACTAAATTATAAATAAGAAATGTTGTAATCAGGGACGTACGGCGAAGAGGCGGTCGGAGGAGTTGAGCGGGATCTTCACCGACTTGGGTCCGGCCGCCGCCCTCTCTGGCGGCTTGTCCTTGTCCTGTCCGCGAAGGTCATTATTAGTATTATTAGCTTGGCATCGACCAATTGCGAGAGGGCAGCACGCGCACGACTCACACGACACACACGACAGACTCGGCGCACCTTAGCGGGATTGACGATGACTTCGTCGACGTCGATCTTGCTGTTCTTGATCCCAAAGACCTCGTCGACCAGGCCTGGCGGCGGTGTGTGAGAAAACGAACGAGCGATGCGGGAATTGAGAGGGGGGGGAGGCGCGCACCTTCGTAGGTGAGCGGAGTGCACATGGGGGTGAGCGGGTCCACGGTGCGGTCGAGCAGGATGAGCGCGCTGATGTACTGCGGCTGCGGTTCCTCGGGAGTGCCGCCCTGCCTCAACTCTCTTCGCTTCCTCGACGCCGCCTCCTGCAAACACCACACGACACACGACACACGACACACGACACACGACACACGACACACGGATGCGCACGTCAACACGCGTCATCAGATGCCACGGTGGGGTGAGCAAGACCTCTTGGGTGAATCGGAGGAGCATGTCGGCGACGGTCTGGGCGTGCTTGCCGCGGCCCTTGATGTTGGGGATGTGCCCAAACATCTGCTGGAACTTCATCAACGACTTGGCCGCGTAGTACAACAGCGACGTGTCCCCGTCCTGTGCGACGTCGAGAGCGAGAGGCGGGAGGTCAGCGAATGAAGAGCGAAGAGCGAAGAAGAACGAAGAAGAACGAAGAGAAGAGGATACGAGGAAGAGATCTCGGAAGCTGTGTTCGACTTCCATGGAGAGGACGTCGTTTTCGAACGGCACCAGGTGCAGCGGAAACTCGTGGATGTCCACCAGCCCCCACACGCCCTGGAACACACACACACACACACACACAACGCGATGTCGTGTGTTGTTAGCACGCCCGGTTGGGGGAAAGGGTACGCGGGCAACAGAGCTAACCTCTTCCTCGAGGATGCGGTCGCACACGACGTAGCGGTGCGGGATGAACACGATCGAGAAGTGCTTCGGGGCGTTGGGCGTCGCAGCACTCCCGGGAGGACCAGCTGCCACAGAAGAGGAATAGTGTATGAGTGCGCGTGTCGTGCATGTGTCATGCGTGTCGTGCGTGCGTGCGTCGACAGTAAACATACGAGGCGCAGCGGCGGTGACGGCCTCCAGCTTTTGGTACATCTGCACGTGCTCGGCGATCGTCTTCATCCACGCCATCGACGGCCTGTACATATTTTGGTTTTATTAAATATAAATATTGTTTATTCTATTCTTGTTTATTCTCAATAAACACGAAAACAGGAAATGACTAAAAGAGATAATAAAAGTAAAAGATAAATGAATGAGTAAAGGGAGCGCTCGTACTTGGTGAGGTAGACGATGTGGTCGCAGTCGGTCTGGAGGGACGACACCGACTGTTGGAGCAGAAAAATCTTTTCCACGCCATAGGTCTGCAGGGTGGAGAACTCGACCACCAGCGAGAGCGGGCCGGACACCTTGGGGTCGATGATCAACGCGATACGGCCCTTCATGTCCTACTCTCCACCATCGGGTAGCGGGAGGATTAAAAAGATAAAAGAAGATGTAAAATTGTGTAGAGATATCAAGCAAGGGGGCGGGGGTGGTACGCGAATGGCATCAAGGAGGCCGGTGAGCTCCTTCTTACATTGATTGCGCCACTGCTGCAGCTGAATGGGACCCTCCTGAAGGGCACTCAGACCAGCCATCGCCATTTAAGAGGTGTTTGCCGATTCTTAACACGCTCGAGTATTGCCTCCTTTTGTTTGCCACCTTCCAGACAACTGTGGCTGCTGAACCACACCAGAAGTCGAAGCTTGACGTCGTGCCCCTTCTTCAAGGCTCCCGCGTTCTAGTTTCCGCTTCCCAAACAAAAGAAAATAAATGTTAATAAAATTAACAAAGTTTAAGGTGACGCCATTAATGTCGACCACCAGAGCTGCCGGGCAAAATCGTGCGGTGGCTGGTCTGTTTCTTCCTTTCTCTTCTTCCTCCTCCCCCATCGCCCGTCGGTCTATCAGAAAATATGGTACGATCTGTCCCATCCCTTTGATCGTTGAGGGGACTTTGATCTTGAGGGTTATTGTTTTACCGGGTCTATGCCCTCGCTCCGCTGCATCTTTCTCTTTTTATGATGTCATCCATTTCCTTCTCCCCCAATTCAATCCATTTGCCAACATGCTAGCTGTTTGGTGTTCGATCATACATCTGCGTCGCCTCTTACATTCCACTATTGCCATCTGTGTAGGGTCGCGTCAGAACCAAGACTGTCAAGAAGGCCGCGCGCCTCATGATCGAGAAGTACTACCCGCGTCTCACGCTGGACTTCGACACCAACAAGAAGATCTGCGATGAAGTGGCCGCCATCCCCTCGAAGCGCCTCCGCAACAAGATCGCCGGTTTCGTCACTCACCTGATGAAGCGCATCAAGAAGGGACCCGTCCGCGGCATCTCCTTCAAGCTCCAGGAGGAGGAGCGTGAGAGGAAGGACAACTACGTGCCCGACGTGTCCGCCCTTCAGGTCGACCTCATCGAAGTCGATTCCGACACCAAGGACATGTTGAGGTCCATCGGTCTCGGTGACCTTGCCGGCGTGCAGGTCGTGTCGCTCGAGAACCTTCCCTCCAACAAGCCCGTCTTCCAGCACCGCGGCGAGAGGCGCGACAGGGGAGAGAGGCGCGAGCGGGGTGAGCGCTCGGGCGCTCCCAAGAAGCCCGAGGCTCCCGTCGGTGCGCCCGAGGAGGCCTACTAAAGAGTCTTTGTCTTTATGCGATCCCTATAAAAACCCAAATCTTTGAACACATCCTTCCCACCTTCATCATCCATTAGCAGGCCTACTCAGGGAGGAAGATCTTGTGGAGAATATGGCGTGCGACCTGCTTCCCCCCTCCAGTCTATGCTTGTGTTAAGTGCAGCGCTGACACTCGCGTTGCACGCAAGGTTCGCGAAGAGTCCAGGCGGTCTGTGTACGACTCCTCTGCACGCTGCGCTCGCCCACCACAGCAACGCACCGCCACAGGTACGCCCTTACCGCACTGTCTTACTGCGGGTGACGAAGACACGGCCGGCAGTGGAGCGGGAGGGTCGGCATGTTGGCCACAGGAGCTCCTCGCCCTCCTTTCACGACCGAGGCTGCCCTGCCGGCTCGTTGGGGCATGCATTCCCCTCGCTGCGGCACTCGCGACGTGGGGAGGAACCATCTCTATCAATGTAGCGCCCGTAGCCTAATGGAAAGGCGCTTGACTTCTAATCAAGAGATTGTGGGTTCGACCCCCACCGGGCGCGAAGTCAAAAATTTTGCCCTGGTGACAACTTGCTCATCCTGTCAACCCTCTTGGCCTTCGGCACTTTTTTGGAGCGTGGGTAGAACAGGAGTGGAAGAGGAGCTGATGAACACACCTGGAGTACAAGCGCTGTACAATATAACCCCTGACCAACACGCAGGCGCCGTAGTTAAGTGGTAAAATTCTCGCTTAGGGTGCGAGAGGCCCCGGTTCGATTCCGGGCGGCGCCCCATCTTTTGCTCCTCATTGCCACTCTTCGACGCCTCTGGGCGAAAAGGTTGCCAGGCTGCACACGGCGCAATGGGAAGAAAAGCTTTTGTTATTGTAGAGCTCTGGCAGGAAGCCACCAAGAGGCTGGGCTTTGTACAACGCAACAGAAAACAGGAAGGAGGAGGATAGGAAGAAGACGCGCAGAGAAATGGAGCTTGCGGCAGCTCAATCGTCTTCCTTGTCCTTGAGAAAGAGGATGTGGTCCTCCCGCTTGCCCTCGCCGCCCTGTTCCGAGTCGTACGCGTACCTGTAGAACGTCCCGTCCTGTCCGATCACTGTATAGGCCCGAGTAGTGGTGAGCGTGGCTGGCCCACACACGCGGCCGACACGCACACGACACACGCGCGTGCGCACACACACCACACACACACACACCACACACGCACAGAGAGAGAGAGAGAGAGTACCGATGATGAGATTGTTGGCCTGCCCAAACGAGCAGATGCTGCGCGGGACCGTCAGGTGGAGCTGCGCAAAGCTGAAGTCCGAGCCCACGTAGTCGTCGAGCGAAGACGGGAGGAGGCCGAGGCCGCCCATGAAGCTCAGTCTCGACTTTTGCGCCTTGGCCGACTCCGAGCCGCCGTTGTTTGCCAGATTGAAAATGTGCACCGTACCCTGCATGCCACGTGCGCGTGTGAGCCACTGACACTACGCGCAGCAGCCGAAAGAGTAAAAGGCGAACCCTGTCGGAGGAGACACATAGCCACTCGGAGTCGCTGGAGAACGAGATGCAGTTGACCTCGGCCTTGTCCTTGCCCCTTCGCAGCTTGCCCACCTGCTCCCCTGTGCTCGTGTCCCATATACGAATCACCGTGCCCTGCGATCACGCGTGTCGCACACAAGCGACAAGAGGAAATAAGCCGCGTGCGTCTTGTGTGTGTGTGTGTGTGTGTGTGTGTGTGTGTGTGTGTGTGTGTGTGTGTGTGGTGTGTCGTGTGGCTAAAGGAGGAGAACGAAGAACAAATGGCGTACTTGCTCGGAGGCCGTGGCAAGTCTGGTGCCGTCGAGATTGAGAGCGAGGCACGAAAGCGGGTTGTCGTGTGCTTTGATGGGCGTCGACTTCTACGTTACATTGACACGCGAGCGGATGACCGTCAGTGCATCGATCACCAACAAATATAAATAAATATAAATAAATATAAAAAAGGGATAAATAGTTCAACGCGTGCGAAGGACATACGTTGATATCGTTCAGGCGCAGGTGTACGTAGCCCGGCTTCAGGCCGGGGCACGCCAGCACGGTGTTGTTCGAGTCTGGGCACAGCGCAATCAGACCTGCAGTAGAGCGGTGAATAAATGAGTGCAAAATAGAGCAATAATTAATTCATACACAAATTAATACTCGGGCAGCGAGGGCAGAGCCGAGCAGCGCAGAACTTTCTCACGAAAGTGGGTGGCCTCAGGGAGAGAGGGGGAGGAATGGGGAGAGGAGGAGGAAGAGGGAAAGGAAACCTTTGGGGTTGGCTGTGGTTTCGATCTGGTGCACGAGCTGGAGATCGGCAAAGTTGTAGACGTAGACCTTGTTCTCCAGCGCAACGACGATCTTGTCCCGTCGCAGCTTCACTCCTTCTCACAACAGCACCGCGCCGACCACAAGGACGGTTGGTTTTGGGAAGGACGTGAGGAGGAGAAGGGGAGATGAAAGCACGCACCCTTGACATCGGATCTGAATTCGAGCTCGGCAAGGCACTTGTTCTGGTAATCGTCCCAAATCATGACCTTGTTGGGTGGGTACTTGGGATTCTTGCCTCCCCCGACCAGCGCCAGCAGATTGGACCGGAAGAGCATTTCTACAATGCCCAGCCCGCCATCGAATTCTGTCCCCTCCTGTATAAGAAGGAGGGAAAGGAAGGAAGGGAGAAGGAGGAGGGAGAGGCAATACCTCGTTTGAATCGAAGCTTGAAGGGGTCGACGTTCCAAATCTCAAAGCCATCATCAGTCCCGATGGCAAAGCAGGAATAGTCCTGATTGAATCCAACGTAGAGCAGCTTGTTCTTTTGCTCTCGCGCCACAGACAACGACATTTGCTGTTATCTTCTAAATCTTCCTTCTCTTCTCTTCTCTTCAATTGCACCACTTCTACCCGGCGTGGCTTCTCAGAAGTGATTCCAGATGATGATGCTTTGTGCAAACTTCTTCGCTGGAAATCGATCTTGCGTGTCGGGTCCATTGTCGTCAGAAATTCAGCCGAATCTTTCTTCGCGTTGTGTGCGGCACGTCGTGTGTGTGCGGTTTGTATGTGCAAGAAACCAAAGTCCGTGTAGAAGCTTCAGTTGATGAAGAAGGTGAACGGCACGGCAGCGTCGTAGTGGGCGGAGAGGATGAGCCGCGTGAGCAGCCGCACAGTGAACCCGACAGCCACCACCAGCATCGCCTGCTTGGCGTCGTTCAGGAAAGCTGCGCGCGCGGACCCGACATGTCAGCTGCGTCTCAAGCCGAGCATGAACTATCGAGTGGAAGCTTCAGCATGACGCTGACGCCCGTTCACAACGTACCGCGTACGGCCATCACGTTGGAGATGACCACGAACACGTCCAGTATGGTGGAGAACAGTTGCTGGTAGTCCCTATGGTAGTAGTGCGTGTCATTGAAAGCCACTGACCAAAGAAGTAGAACAAGAAGTAGAACAAGTAGTCGTGTAGGAAGAAGGAGGAAGAACAGGATAGAGACTACGCACCAGACCATGAGGAAGAGGTGCAGCGGCTTGCCGAAGGAAGAGAGGATGACCGCCATCGCCAGGTAGTTGTACTTGACGATCGCGTAGTGGGTCTTGCCGAGTAGCAGCCGGGCGGAGATCACCACCGCGAGGATGTAGGACACGTACTCGACCAAGGTGAGGCCCACCGTGTAGAGGTATTGCTCGTAGGCCAGCTGGTCGCCTGCAAGAAGAAGAAGAAGAAGGGAGCATTGAGCATCCCATGTAGCGTGTAGAAAGACGTAGAGCGAAATATATGCAGAGATACCAAGGAGGTACGGGTAGTTGAGGTCCTGGCCGACGTGGTGGCTGCTGAAGTACTTGAGCCCGGCCTCGAACATCACGTAGACGAGCCCTATCTTCATGCAATTGGCCTGCAGCACAAAGAGTTGAGCCGCTACACAGAACAAGACAGGGCCACGTCGAAGCGCGTAGAAGCGAATGAATGGTGGATGGTGTGAGCATTTATTTATTTTTATGCTTCTTGAAAAGATAGCAATAGTGGGGTGGGTGTACGCATCGTGTGAGGCGAATGTTGCCATTGCCTTTGCCGCCATATTCCTTGTAGACGTCTGCAGCTGGTGCCCCACACTCCACGCAAATCATCTCTGGTGTCTCGTGCTGCCCTGGGCTTGAATCTTTGATCTTTAAAAGAAAAAAAGAATAGAAAAGAAAAAGAAGCGGAAGCGAGGGAGAAGTGGCAAACTTCCTACTCAGTACATGGATAAATAACATCCAAATAAACAAATAAATAACATCCTCCTTCTTCGACTGTTGTTGTTCTCTTCTCTTCTCCCTTTGCTGCCTTCTCTTCTTCTTCTTCTTCTTCTTCTGCTTTGTGTTGTTGTTATGCCGTCGTGTCGATTGAGGGTACTGATGGTGGTGGTCGGATCGCACACGTCATCGCTCACTTCTTGGAGTGAGCCCAGATGTGGACGATGTCGTTGACGAGCACCGACTTGGTCTTCCTCGCCTCCTCGATGAGCTTGGCAAAGTTCTCGGCCGCGGCCTTCTCCTCGGTGCCCACCAGCAGCGACCCGCACAGGTACAGGATGTCCTCCTCGCACTGCAGCTCCGGAATTCCCGTTGATAACATCTGTGTGCGCACACGCGGTCAGCCGTGTGTCGTGTTGTGTGTTGTGTGTGTGTGTGTGTGTGTGTGTCGTACCATCATGAAGAGGTTGATGAACATGTGGGCGTGCTTGCGGACGATGTTGTAGGCCCGCTGGCAGGTCTCGACGTACTGGGCGTAGCGCGTGCCCTGTGAGCCGCCCAGCACGTGCGCGAACTGGGGGTTGAAAATGAACGGCGCCCGCTCTCGCTTGATTCCCAGCTTGCTCTTCACGTTGCCCAGGAAGTGCCCGAAATCGATGTGGAACAAATGACCTGTGTTGTGTGTGTCGTGTGTGTGTGTGTGGTGTGTGTGTGTGTGTGTGTGTGACACGCACAACAAACGACACACGCGCGTACTCTATGAGCACTGACGAAAAACAAGAGAGGCACTCGTGTGGGTGGGTCGTCGATACCAAATTGGGTGATCATGATGTTATCGTTGTGTCGATCGCCGATGCCCAGCACGTACGTCGCCACGCAGTAGCCGGCGCAGCTGAGCATGAAGTTCTCCTGCGCGGCCTCGAACGCCTCCGCTGTAGAGATATAATTTAATTTGATTTAATGGTCGTCACGTGCGTGTTGATGGCTGTGTGTGTGTATGTGTGTTGTGTGTGTGTGTAGGACTGGTACCCGAAGGGTTCTTCTCCTTGAGCCAGCTGGTGAGGGTGTCCTTGTACAGTACGGCCTTCGACCCGCCCTTCTCCTTGTTGACCGATGCCGTAGTCGAGGCGTTGAGCACCACCTACATTACACGTTTGGCCGTCCAGACCAATTGTTAGCGTCACACACTTAAAGATATATGGATATATCTAATATAAAACCATATATCTAACTATCTATATAAAATATAAAGAGAATATACCTCGATCATGCCGAGCTCATCGCCCGTGGCGACGCAGCCGTAGGGATTGAGGCGGAGGTCGAGCCCCTCCTCCTTCCACAGCTTGTCCATGATGCGGAGCATTTGCAGCGTCAACACGTCTTGCCTGTTCGTCGTCGTCGTCGTCGTCGTCGTCGTCGTCGTCATTGTCGTCGTCATTGTCGTGAAAGTGTTAGTTGCAAGCAACAAAGAGCGAAAAAAAGGCGTATAAAAGCAAACAAGCGCGCGTACCGAAGATCGTCGCCGGCCTTGAAGATGACGCGGATGGGCGCGCCTCGCTTCTCGGCGTTTTCAAAAACGAGCCAGAGGGGCTGCTTCTTGCTGTCCATATATTTACACTTGTCGACGATCACCCCCTTCACCTCCTGTCGCGGGTCCAGCGGCAGCTGGAACCTGGCCGGGAACTCCATTCTCCTCAGGCCATCCTCGAGCACCTACGCCGCCTCTCAATCAGCACACCGCACACACGCACAGGCGCGATCGCGCATGACACGCACACGCACACCCACCACCGCACACGACTGTGGCACAGGGATGGAAGCTTACCTTCTTCTTTTCGGAGGACGAGGGAGCCTCCTTGACGCGCATGGCGACCTTGGCCAGCTGGTTGAGGACCTTGTTCTGCTTGACGAGCTCCTGCCTGTGGGCTCCGCAGCCGCGCAGGTAGGCCTCGGCCAACAGCGAATAACGCGACGCGATCGTGGGGTTATGCAGCTCCGACTGGTGCGTATGGCACACGACAAAACCAACGCACGCACACGCACACGCACGCGACACGCGACACGCGCAAGGGTGAGACCCTGGTTTGCGGCTGGCCGGCCGACACGCGTTGACGAGCGTACCTTGAGAAGCCAGAAGAAGGCATGCCCGATCTGGTTGACGTTCATGAGCGCGCGCGAGAGCAAAAACTCGGCCAGGGGCGAGTAGTGGTACGCCTCGTACTTCAACACCTGGTGAAGAAGACCACTAAGTTAGCGGGTGATTGACACGGAAGTGTGTTGTGTGCCGTGTGCCGTGTGCCGTGTGCCGTGTGCCGTGTGCCGTGTGCCGTGTGCCGTGTGCCGTGTGCCGTGTGCCGTGTGCCGTGTGCCGTGTGCCGTGTGCCGTGTGCCGTGTGCCGTGTGCCGTGTGCCGTGTGTTTTACACAGCTGTGGGTATGGGTACCTGGGTGAGCTGGAGGAGGAAGTCGGAGAGCGCCCGATCGTCGAGCTCGTGCAGTCGCTTGACGGCGTAGGCGCGCACCACCGGCGAGGCGTACTTGGCGTCGAGCAGCGAAAGCGCTTCGAAGGGCGTAGGCGGGCTCCACAGCGCCAGCATGCGATAGGCCTCGAGCACACTTTCCCTGTTTGCGTGTGCTGTCTTAGAAGAAGTCCCGTTCCGCAGCGATTATGTGTGTTGTGTGTGTGTTGTGTGTGTGTCGTGTGTGTGTGTCGGATGCCGTACCTGTCGTTCCACTTGACGTACTGGAGGAAACGAGGAAGGAGCGAGGGGAACTGGGCGCAGAACTCTCGGCACTCCCACAAAAGCTGCCGCTCGTCCTCCCCGAGCGCTGTCAGCGGATCTGAAGTGCATGGAGACAGACGTATATAGCGTGTCAGTCCCACAACACGACACACGCCCCACGCCAAACAACACGCCACACGGCCGACGAGTGCGGCAGTGGCTGAAGAGCAGAGTCGCAGTTCGTAACCTTTCTTCATGATCTCTTCGAGCTGGAGCTTGATGATCTTCTGCTTGGAGGCGTCGGCCGACGAGGGCGCGGGCGCGGGCTGGCTCGAGCCGCGGGCGGCGGCGGCCGCGTCGGCGGGGTTGACCGTCGGCGGCGGCGGGAAGTAGACCGCCGTGCGGTGGATCTGGAACTCGACGTGGAGCGTGGTGGCCCGCTCCTTGTCCTTGACCGCCACGTTCTCCACGCAGGTGCCGATCGGGTTGGGCTTGCCGAGCCACAGCTTGAACGAGCAGAGGCCCTGCCGCAGCTGGTCCTTGTGGTCGATGAACTGGAAGTTGACCCACCCGAGCGGCACGTCGGTCTTCTCGTTGAACCGGCCCTTCTCCGTGAACACAGCCTCGGCCGACACCGTGTTGTCCAGCTGTCGCCGGTAGAGCGTGAAGCACATCCGTGACCCCTACACACAACCACACGCCACACGCGCGCGCGTGTGAGCCGTGTGTGTCGTGTTGTGTCGTGTGTCGTGTGAGCCGTGTGTGTCGTGGGGTGTGTGCGTACTCGCGGGATGTCTCGTAGTTTGACAGAGGAAACGAGCCACTCGTTCCACAGAGGTCCATTACTATACAGGATCGCGTTCGTGTACATGTCATCCGCAATCAGCTGTGTTTGTGGGGAGAGATATGTGACGTCAGCAGTGCGTGTTGCGTGTTGCGTGTGTGTTGTGTGCGTGTGCGGTGGTGCGTGTGTCATCAAGAACACGGAGGCGCCCGGGCGTACTTCATCGCCGTGGTAGATCTGCGCGCAGACGTAGAGGCAGTAGGTCTTCTTCTTGCCGCCGTCCTTGTCGTCGATCAGCGAGCCCTTCTGCTCCTTGTGCTCCTTCTTGCCCTTCTGCTCCCGCATCCAGCTCTTGATGATGTGGTTGAACGTGTCGACATTATCGACGCCGTTGATCTTCACCCGCAGCTGCTGCACCATCTCCGAGATGGGCTTGCGCGGCTCCTGGTCCTTATATCGCAGCTTCGACATGTGCACGTTCTTCTCCCGCGACAAGATCTGGGCGTGCAGTTGTGTGTTTGTTGTAAAAACGGTCAGCTCAGCGTGCGTGCTGTGTGTCGTGTGTGTCGTGTGTATCGTACCATGTCGACAACAGAGTCTTCAACGGGCTCGGGGATCATCAGGTCCACGTCCTTGAGGGGAACGAGCGACAGGATCGGGGTCACCTTCTTGCTCAAGCATTTCCTGTGTGAACACGGGTCAGCAAGGCCGCGAGATGACCAAAAACCAGAGAACGACGCGTGAACAGAACATGCACACGCACACACAACACGCGCACGCACACACATGCACGCTATCATTACCTGATGTAGTCGTAGGAGAGGATCTTGTGGGAGCCGATCATGTACTCCTTAAAGCCAGTCACCTTCACGATGTAGTCTTCCTCCGTGCCCGTGGCCAGCTATCATCGCACGAATACAAATACGTAGCGCACTGGCGGTGAGATTGTGTGCGTGTGTGTCGTGTGTGCGTGTGTGTCGTGTGTGCGTGTGCGTGAGGGCTCGTACCGGGTGCGTGCCCTTGTACTTGCGGAACATGTTGCTCTTGAGTTCGGCGACGGTTTGGTTGCGGGTGACGCTGAACTTCTGGGTCGAGGTCTGGACCTCGTCCTTCTCGTCGGCCGGCTGGTAGGCGAGGATGATGAACGAGTTGGGCAGGTTCAGCGGCAGCGGCTCCGACTCCCTGTCGTGCAATTCCATTCATTAATTAATGAATCGTAATTGTAATTGTGACGCCCAAGCTTGGGCGCAGCCAATCACAACACATCACCTCACATACACTCGCACACCAAAGTCGCACCTGTACTGGGGCAAGAACGAGGTGTCGTATTTGCTGTTGGAGTGGGCTTCGGAGAGCTGGCGCACGAGCGCCTCCCGCTCCTTCAACACCGCGCGGCGAACCCTGGAACGGAGTGGTAGGAAACCCGTGTAAGAAACGCTTATGCGCGACACCCGCACACGAACACAACACAACACAACACAACACCACACACACACACGACACACACGACACACACACGTGACATGACGGTGAGAGGGATTCGCGCGCGTACTTGGTGATGCGTTTGCGGAAGGAGTTGATTTCGTCGTTGTCCGATTTGAGGATCTGGAGCAGCGGGTTGTCGCCCGAGATGGGGTTGCTGAGCAGCTCAAACACCTCCGTGTTGGCGTTGAGCTCCGACATGATCTTCTCTCGCACGTTGAGCTTGTCGTTCTCGTGCTGTCGTCGTGTGTCGTGTGTCGTGTGTCGTGTGTCGTGTGTCGTGTGTCGTGTGTCGTGTGTCGTGTGTCGTGTGTCGTGTGTCGTGTGTCGTGTGTCGTGTGTCGTGTGTCGTGTGTCGTGTGTCGTGTGTTGTGTGTGTTGCGTGTGTTGTGTGTTGGCATGAGCATAACCTTGTCATCAGAGGTTGAGTGCCCTAAGAACAGCAGCCGGTCGGCTGTCGTACCAGGACGTCGGTCGAAGGCCGAGGGATCATCTCGAGCGGGAAGGACACGAAGCTCTTCTTGCAGACCTGCAGCACGCCCACCAGATGCAGCGACTGCTCCTCCTTGACCAAGTAGTAGTTGACCTGTCGACCATCATCATAGCCACCACCACAACGACCAGTCAGACATTGCTCGCGCGTCACACGAACGCGACATGACGGAGGGGCGGGGGCATACGCCAGGAATCTTGAGCACGTAGTCCTTCTCGTCCAACGATTGGCCGAGCGGAGGCGGCGACGAGGTGGAGGTGCGCGGCGACGAGGAGGAGGAGGAGGAGGACGACAGGGAGGACGACGACGATGACGACGAAGACAGAATCGACGACGACGACGGCCGCGATTTCGCTGTTCATCGGAAGAATGATAAGAATGTCAGACATGCCAGCCACGCGATAAAATATTGGGTGCGCGTACATTCGCTTTCGCTCTCCGAGTCCTCCTTGTCCTTGCCCTTGGGATCGCTGTCGGGGATGCCCAGGAAGGCCTTGACGTGTTGGATCATCGCCGCCTTGATCTGGCTGGCGTTCATCTCGCAGCTGCACACGATCCTGAACAACTCGTCGTCGTGCACGAACTTGATCACATACTCGTCGTTCTTGAGAACGAAACACACACATAGAAAACACCAAGTTAATATATACATATATCAAGATATGTACACATGTGCATGTGTGTGTATATAAAGCGTGTTAGTGTTGCATTGTGAGGGCGAAAGCGCGTACTTTGTTGGTCATGGTGTGCGAGCCGGTGGTCACGGGCAGCGAGCCCGAGCCGGTGAAGTCGTTGCCGATGACCGACGATGACCGCAGGCGCATCAGGTCCTGGAAGCTCGTGTGGACCGGCCCCGAACGTCGGGCTGCTCCCCACTGTGCGTCGTGTCGTGTCGTGTTGCGTGTCGTGAGCAAGTTTGGCAACGTGGGGGACGGGCTCCGAAGAGCACGAACGACAGTGTGTACCTTGCGTGCGAGAGAGGCGTTGATGGCCTGGCTCACCTCGGAACCGCCGCCCGACGAGGACGTGGGCAGTTGCATCGAGTAGACCGACTTGCGGTCCTTGATCGCCTGCGCCTTGCGCGCGCGCTACATAGTAACGAGCGAGCGTGTGAGAGATGCAAGTGAGCGTGTGCGTGTGCGTGTGCGTGTGCGTGCGTGTGTTGTGTGGTGTGTTGTGTGTGTGTGTGTGTGCCGTGTGTGTGTGTGTGTGTGTGTTACGTACGTCCTCGGCTTCATCGTCGTTGTTCGTGCGCTCTGACGATCCACTCTCGACAGAGCGATAGAGCTTGAGCGCCGGATGGCCGGCCGGCGGCGTCGACGGTTGCGCACCACCGGCGGGGCTGCCCGGCTCCGAGCTCCGATTGCCCAGGAACGCGCGGGTGGTCCGACCGTACCCGCCCGAATGCGGGCGCGCGACCGTGCGGCGCGCCTGCTCGGACGGCTTGGCGGCCACGAAGTTGGCCTTCTGCCACGCCGTGGCGCGGTGCCTCACAGCGTCAGGATCGTCGATGCAGTCCGGCGACGACGGACCCCCGAGCTCGGTGGTGGCCTCGGCCTCGTTCGACATCGACGTCGGCGACGTGAGCGGCGACAGGCTGTTGTTGTTGTCCTCGAAGCTCGACTCAGAGCTGCTGCTGCCGCCTTCCGCCTCTTCCGCTTCCGCCTCCTCTTCCGCCTCTTCCTCGTCCTTGCTCGTGCTGAGGGCTCCGGCGCTGTCGTTCGACTCGGGCATCATCTGCTCCACGGGCTGGCGTTCTGGTTCCTCCGCCACCTTCGCCAAGGCCTCGGCGGCAGACGCGGTCTGCGCTACGACCTCCTCCTCCGCTGCTGTTGCTGCTGGCTGCGGAGCGGCGACGCCGCCGTCGTTGCTCTCGTTGCTACCGTTGCTGTCATTGCTGCCCTTCCTCTTCTTCTTTTTCTTCTTCTTGCGCTCGGGAGACGATGCTTTGTCGTAGCCGTTCTCGTCTCGAGGCGAAGTCTTCTTCTTTTTCTTCTTCTTGATCTTCTTCGTTTGCTCCTCTTCCTGCTCCTCTCCCCCCTGCTCCTGCTCCTCCTTTTGTACGACGTGCGTCTGCTCCTGCAGTAGCGCGTTAGGGAGACAATCACACACGACACACGACACACGACACGTTGCATTGCTGGAAGGGGAGAAGGGAACCTGAGGCGGAACGACGGGGGTGGGTGCAGGCGTAGGAGGGACCGCAGCGGCGGCTGGCGAAGCTGCAGCAGTAGGAGGGGCGGCAGCCGCGGCAGGAGTGGCCGCCTGCGGGGCGGCAGATGAAGCAGATAAAGAAGATGAAGATGAAGATGATGACGAAGTAGAGGAGGAAAGCGGAGAAGATGTGAGCCGTATGGAATTCCTCACCTTCCTATCTTCCTCATCGCGCAGCAGGCGGGCAGCCTTCTCCAAGATGCGCTCCACATCATCCACGTCCACGTCGAGGTCGATGGTGGCTTGGCTGCCATTTTCGCCGTTTGACGATGAATGGGGAGCTACCGCAGCACTTTTAGGCGGCGCATCAGTCGCCTTGGCAGATTGCGTGGTGATGGGAGGTTGCGCGACAGATGCGTAGGCATTGTTTTGGAGGGAGGGCTGCTTTTGCTGTCGATCGCTGGTCCGCGACGGGCTCGACGACAGGCCACCCTTCTCTTTCATTTCGTGTTTGCGCATGAGTTCCTCCACCTTGCGCCGGCGGATCTCCTTCTCCTCTTCGCTTTGACTGCTCATTTTTCTCTACACACGCGAAAAATCTACAATGTCCTGGAGAATTTGAAGGGGGGGGCAATCAGAAGAAGCTTGAGCGCATAGAGTAGAGCTACGATCGTTGAGCAGAAGAAGATGGACATACCACAAGGGGCGATGTGTCCTCACACCACAAGATGGTGTCACAAATGCCCAACCGAATGGGCACAGATTACCGTCGAGGCCGCACCAATCGTTTGTCAGGAAGCGGAGGGAAGAGAGATGTGTCGTATCAAAAAAGAAGCATAAATGGCCCCTGCGCCCCAATCGATCGTTCAATAATTACAAATGGATAGTTGATCGTTCGAGCGAGCCTTCGTCACGCGGTTCGCCTTGGTCGCGTGGTTGTGTTGTGCGCGCAATTCAAAAACCGGAAATTACCCTGTTCCCACCAACCCGCAGCGTCCACCAATCAGCCCAATTCCCAACAGGCTTTTGCTGTTGTTTGCAACCAACCAGATTCCAGTCCCAATCGGTTCAGGAACCAACAAGATAGACATCTGCCCTGAGCTTTGTTCTTGTTCTTCACTCGACGATGGAGCGCATGTAGGCCACGAAACGTTCGCGATAGGGTCCGGGCGGGATGGCCGATATTTGGCTCTGCGTGACACACGCCAGACGCACACGACACACGCCACACGACACATACGTGCACACAGTAAGAAGAGTGAACAGGGCTGAGTGGCACGACGTGGAAGTAGGCACCGGGTCGTGGAAGATGGACTTGAGGGTGTGCTCCGACTTCTTCTTGAAGCTGTAGGTGGTCAAGATGTCGATCAGCCCGAGCCAGTAGACCTCGCCGCCGCTGCCGCCGCCGCCGCCGGAAACGCCGCCGTGGTGCCGCTTGAAGACGCTCTGTGGCGGTGGTCGCTCGGCCGCCGTGGCGTCCGGCTGCTGCCGTCCGTCGCGCGGCGAGTGGTGAATGCCCACAAGCAGCGAGTAGTCACAGATCCCATGGCCCTCCAGCCACTGCCACCGCACACACGCGCGGCAGATATGTGGGCCTCTGGTCAGATTCGTGGGAGACGAGCTCGGCGGAGGCGAATGAGGCGGGCGGCCAGCGCACCTTGCAGTCGGACTCGATCTGGGCGACGAAGGTGGGGGCGAGCGGACCCAGCTGCAGCTTGCGCTGGAAGTCGTTGTCCTTCTGCGCCACGCTGCCCATCTCGTCCTTTTCCCCGAGCCGCACGGACCGGTTCACGGTCGAACCCTGCAACGACCCAACCCCACCGCAAAGGGTTCAGGACCGCAGATCGCGCGTGGGGCGTGTGCGGTTCGTGTCGTGTCGTGTGTCGTGTCGTGTCTCGCCTACCTTGAGGTCATACTGCTCGTGGACCGGCTTGTCGGTGTGGATCACATTCTCCATCACCACAAACGAGGTCGTACGCCCTGCAGCCGAGGATTTGGGGGGTGAGGTAAGATCCACATCACCACCACCACCATCACCACCATCTCCCCATCGTCCATCGCAATAGATTGTGGCTTACCTTTGTTGCCGCTGATCTTGTGGAGGCCGCAGAAGCGGGTCAACAGCGAATTGGGGTTCTTGATCATATGCTGTGTCCAGATGCGTCGTGTCGTGCGTAGTGGCGTGTGTGTCGTGTGTGGCGTGTGGCGTGTGGCGTGTGGCGTGTGTGTCGTGTGTGTCGTGTGTGTCGTGTGTGTGTGGCGTGTGGCGTGTGTGCGTGAGTAGTAATGGGCGTGGGCGTGCGAGGAGAGACGTACGTCAAAGTAGGAGGGCAGGATCTGACGGAAGAAGGACTTCTCCTCCGGCGGCAAGGTCTTGATGAGGTACCGCCCGTCCACCGACCGATACAGGAACGAGCCGCTGCGGCCCGAGCTCACGATCTCCTCGAGCGCCGACAGGGAGCCGGTCAGCAGGCTCGCGAAGAGGCGCTCGGGACCTAACGCCACCTGCGCACGGACCCACCACACAGTCGACAATTAGTCAACGATGTCGGCAGATTATTGATTGGGGGGCGGGGCGTACGCGGTATTCGAGGGGGTCGATGCCGAAGGCGTCTCGCAGTTGGCCGAACACAGCGGGCGCGAAGCTCTGACCGATCCACGCGCCGTCACCGCCCGCGCTGCTGGCCTGGCTCTCCAGCAATCGGCAGCGCCTGCTAGGTGCGCGGTGCGAGCGATTAAGGAGGCGGCTGACGACATAGTAACAGCGCCTGCGCTCAGCAGGGCCTCGCTAGGGCGGGCGTACAGTCGAACCAGGAACTGGGGAGGCGGGGCGGCGTCGGCCCGGTCGGCAGAAGGGGCCAGCGCCGATGAGATCAGGGCGGTCGCCGAACTGCCGAGACCACCAAATAGGGGGTCGCCGCTGCCCTCCCTTCGTAGGTCGTGCGCCTCGCCAGCTCCCTCCGGCACCTCCTCCTCGATCTATAACAAAAAAAGAGAAAGAAAAAATAACAATAATAACAATAATAACAATAATACATGTTTTCATTTCTATGTAGAATATATATGAAAACGTACCGCTCGTCGAATGCATAACAGAATGTGTAGCACGGTATCCCAACTGCGTGGATGTAGGCGGGTTAGGCGACGTGGTGGAGGGAAGGAGGGTGGGCAGGGCTAGACCTGGGGTGACCCAGCGTGAGGGCCTTCTTCGCCCGCCGCTCGCGTCTGTGCTCACTGGTGTCCTCTTCGGGATTCCCCAGCAGGCCCAGCGATTCCACGTACGCGGTCCGCTTCTTCAGCACCTGGTGTTGCCAACGACACGCATTAGCTAGAGCGAACACTTGCCATTTGACGCACGACACGACACGCATGGCACGCACGACCGCACACGCATGACACGAGGCGGCACGGACCTCCTTCCACGTGGCCAGTGGCACGTTGCCGTCCTTGTTGACGTCGAGCTGTGCCCACAGTTGGGCACCAAACCGAAGCACGAAGTTTCTTCGGCGCGTCTCCACCCCCTTCTCGTCGTCTTCGTTCTTCGCTCCTGCGCCTTCGACCCGGCTTTCGCTTTCGCTTTCGCCTTTGCCTTCGCCTTCATCGTCCTGTCCGTCGCCGCCGCCGCCGGCCTCCCCCGCTCCCCGCTGTTGCTGTCTCTGGCGACGTCGTCGGTCGAGTGCCGTCGACTCACTGTTGCTTCGCTTCACGGCGATGACGCCGCCGGCTTTGGTGTTGTCGCTTGCGCCATCGCCGCCGCTACTACCACCGTCGTCGGCGGGCGGCCTGGTGGAGAGGATTGCCGACTGAATCTTGACGAAGCTCGACAGGAACCCGCGCCGCCTGCTCCTCGGCTTCGGCTCGCCGACGACGGTGCTCGCGGCGCCTCTGCGCTCGTGGTCTGGCGCGCTGCAGTGGAGCCGGCCGCCGCCGCCGCTGCTGGCAGCGCTGGGCGGTGCTGGAGGCGGCGGCTCGCCGTCGTCGTTGCGCCGCTTGAGCACGCCCGAGGGAATGCGGGCCACGAAGTTGAACGTGTTCGCGAGGAAGCTGCCCTCGCGCTCGGGCAATTGGTCGTCGACGTCGGGGTCAGTGTCGTCGGGCAGGAGGAGGTCGCGCTGCGATAGAAGCCCCATGTTGACCAGGTTCAGAGACAGCGACTCTAGGAAGAGCCTGCGCGATGAGCGTACGAACACAACCGAACGTCAGGCCACAGCCACACTCATCGACACGTCACGCGCGTACTCGAGATCGGGCCAGTGGATGAGTCCATTGCGGTCGCGGTCCAGCATGCGGAACCCCACTAGCAGCCAGAGAAAGAGAGAGAATGAATGAAGTAATGAGAGAATGAGAGAATGAAAGTTGAATGCGCGGGTCAGCCATGATTTGCGCGCAGGCCCAGTAGGGCACCACGTACGTGTGAGCCGTTCATCCAGATGTCCGCGCGTCATCACGCTCATGCCCCTGGCGAACCTCGGCTGGTCAGACGTGGCCAATAATAAGATTAAGAATAAATAATTAGTATAAAATACGCATAATAAATTGAGTACCTAGCGAACTGGGCAAAATCGACGTAGCCGCTGCCGTCGGGATCGAACGCGCGGCAGAGGGCCTGCGGTATGAAAGGGTGGTGGAACGCCGGCTTCATGGCCCCGTGGAAGTCCTCCCACTGCAACAGCCCATCCGAATTCGCGTCCAGCTCGGTGAACAGGCAAAAGAGAGCGTTCATCTCGTCCGAGTTGACTGTTGAAAAGAAATCAGTCAGCCTTACACACAGGACACACACACGCACACATAAGGCAGGGCTCGGGAGTACAGTAGATGAGGGCGTTGTCGGCGAATGCGTCTCTGTGGTCCCGAACGAACTCTTCGAGGCTGATGGGCGCCTGGTGCCGGAGAATGGCGGCGAGCTCGTCGCTCGCCGATTGGACGTCGTCCTCGCGGGCATGGGCGAAGCTCTCCGCCAGCGTACGCAGGAACCAGGCGCTCCGACTGCCGTGCTGTCTCACGCTGGTTGTTTACTCACCGCACGCGCACACGCACACGATACAGAAAGCATACGTACCAGGCGCAGGTGCTTGTCGGAATCGGCTTCGTTGACGAAGCTCACGGCCGACGTGTCAACGTAGGTCACGGTCTTGCCCAACACGGTGGACATCACGTCGGCGATCTGCTGACAGGTGAGGACCTCCCGGCTGCTGAGATTGATCGTCTGATTATGAAACGTCTGCGCCGCCCGCGTTTGGCTTCTGAACGACGTCAACTGTCTGTCGACACAAACAAATCGTCAGCTGACGATCGACGCCAAGAAAACGCTATTTGGTGGCTGGGCGCACCCCTCCTGAGCGCAATCGCCCCCGTCGTCGGCGGGATCGGCGGACGCAGAGGGGCACAGCACTTCCGCCGCCGCGGCGGCCACGTCCCTGGCATCGACCAGCGTCGTCTTGGCATTCCCTGAATTCCGAAGAAATGAGTGCCAAATGTTCGATCGAATAACAGAGTATAGGCCGCGAGAGTGAGTGCAGTGCGGTACCCAATGGCACGGCGAGGTTGGCCTGCGCCGGGTCGTAGAAGTGGAAGAGGCTCTGCATGAACGGGCTGCATCGCAGGAATGTGTAAGGAATGCCCGATTTCTCGATCGCCTGCTCGGCCTCGCGGTGCATGCAGAAGATCGGTGTCTCCATGACCCTGAAAGGTACAGCGTAAGCGACACAACACAACACCCACGGCACAGGTCTTGGTACGAACCGGTTGCCGCTGGCCAGCGGCGCGAGGCGGACGATGTGGGTGACGCTCGTGGAGGCCAGGGCGGCTTCGACGAGGTTGACGGTCTGTTGCTTCATGTTCTCTGCGAGCGGCGGAATGAAGACGACCTTGTCGACACCTTCCATCGCCTGGAACACCACGCCGACCGATCGGCCTCTTGAGGCCTCTATCATACTTAAAAAAAACTACAACAACAGCGCACCTTGCGGAGCGAGTCCGGCTGGTTGTAGTCGACCGTCACCACCTCGCTGCCGAGGGACACCAGCTCCTTCCTGAGCCGCTCGTACCGAATACCGGCCCGCACGTTCACGTTCCTTGGTCAAGCCAAACAAACCAAGCGCGAGCAGTCAGCCAGGGCTAGACAAGGTAGGCAGGCAGGCAGGTGGTGGGGGACCGAACCTCCGGACCAGCAGCTTGGTGAGGTGCTTCCCCTGGGGCGTGGACGCTCCACACACTAACACTCGCAAACTCGATTGCCTCTGCAGACATTTAAATATTATCATTTATTTATTTATTAAATGAATAACAAAATAAACAATAATAATAGGTTAAAAAAATACTTGTGTGCTGGGACGATGTAGCCGTACCGCTTTGGCCCGCCGCCACAGGGTGGTGAGCACGCTGAACGTTCTGTCTCGGCTCATGAAGCCTTGGAAGAACAGCTGACGGCCGAATGAGTGTGAGGCGAGTGATGATCACGCGGTTTGCAACCCTAAATGAAAGCAATCTAGGACGCGTCTGACGAACCTGGCGCTGGACGGCGGAGCCGGGACTCTGTACGATGACTTCGATGGCGTTGGGGATCACGAACGCAGTCGAGTCCTTGGTGATTGACACCACGTGCTCAAAGGGCAGAATCACCTGCAAGACGAGAGACGACGGTACATCGATGAGCGGATTGTTGTGGCGGCAGCCCCGAAGGCCCTTGAAGAAGAACAAGAAACACGTGCCTTGGTTGGCCGCAGCTGAATGATGAGGGTCGAGGTAAAGCAGATGAAGTTTTGTGATATGTACATCCGTCCCTGCGAGAGTGTGTAACGTACGCAACAACAACAGCGCAGTAAGTGAGCATCATCTTCCCAGAACGAATGGTGTAGTGAACTGAGTTACCCGCGTCGGAAGGCTGCCCTCCTTGTAGCTGCACACGTACTCTGTGGTGGTGGTGGTGGTCACGGTGGGTATTTTCGGGGAGTTCAGTGGGTGAGGGGGAACGCACGCTCAACGAGGACTTCGGTATCGGCCAGACTGAAGAGCTGGAGAAGCTCGCGGCTCTCCTTGGGGTACTTGATCATCCCCAGCATGCGAGACAGAGGCTGGCCCGACACAATGATAGGTTCCTGTTGTGGCCGTCCGCGTTCACGTCGTAATTATAGACACCGACACGAGCGTGTATGTGGTCGGACGTACGGTCTCGTGGCGCTTCTCCCAAAGGAACTCGATGATGGACAGGCACTCGTCGCGGCGTAGAAACCCGACAAAGATATGCTGCGAGGTAAGACGACCATCACCATACGTTGGCACGAGGCGTGTCACCAGGGCTCACGGAGTACGACCACCCTGCTGCGTACCTTTTGCTTGTTCGTGCGCACCAGTATGGCGTTGGGGAAGACCAGGTGCCCAAGCGTCTTCTTGATGAGGACCACGTCTTTGAACCGCACCACCAACTAGGGATTGACAAAGGGAATGGCGACTGACCGGGTAAGTCCACGGCCGGCCAGTCCATCCCAGAGGCGCGGGCGATCGTACGCTGTTCCAGCCCAGGAAGGAGCAGGGGACGTAGGGGCGGAAGCACAGGTGGTGCTGCCACACGTAGAGCTTGCCCCGGATGTGCGCCTGCAGTGGTCCCTCCATGCCGCACAGGTAGTCTGGGCAGGCGTAGGTGCCACAACGATCGTATGTGAGCCAGGCTTTGCGTCGTCGGTCACCAATGGTCCTGGAGATGAGAGATGGACGTACATTCGATGAAGGGCTCGCCGGGAGGCAGCCCGAACGCGTCCCTTTGAAGTTGAATCTCGCTGGCGTCTGTACGCGAGAAAAGAAGGGCCATGGACCGATCGGTCGAACACATCACACATCATGGCGAAGGCTCCAGAGAAGTGGCCGTACCGAGCTCCAGGCTCTCGACCTCGCCACCGTCTGCATCGGGAACAACCGTGGAGACTGCCTGAAGAGCCAGCGCAGGGACGACGTACTCACACTCGACGTCGGCTTCGCTTTCCTCCTCCTCTTCCTCCGCGCCTTGGCTCAGTTGTCGGTCGCTCGACTGACGCCGGCAGTCTCCTCCCTCCTGGGTGGTGACATCGCCGTCGTCCAGTTCAACACCGCCCAACTCGGCCCGCGTAGCACTTCGTATTGTCGCGCTGGCGTCGCTCGACAGACGCTGTTCGTAGATGCTGAATCGCTGGTGCTGCCTCGATCGAGTGTCGGCAGACAGCCGCTGGGACAGGGCAGCGATCGCCTGCGTGAGCAGAGGTGCGCCGCCACCCGCACTCGATGCATCTAGAGCGCGCAAGACCTCTGGGAGCTTCGCCAGGAGCACCTGAATGACAATGAAACAGACACGAGTCGGAAACGCTGAGGACTGCTCTCAACGGGTCCTATCGAACAGAGGACGTAGCCACACGTACTTCCCAGTCGGCTTCGAGGTGGTGGCGCGTAGGCGCGGTGGCGACGACGAACGCGCCACCTTCGTCAGTTCGCGCAACCACTTGCGGGCTGCAAGGGGAGGATTCCGTGCTAGTTTCTGTATCCAGCACGTCATGAAGCTGCAACAAGAAGACGCCGACTCTTGCTTCCTGTTGAGGTAGAAAGCATAAGAGGGGTGGGAGTAAAGAAGGAGAGCACAAATCACAGGCAAAAAGAGAAACCTTGCACACTCTGGTTAGCTCTTGGTCACTCTCGGCCAGTGGCCGAGGAGTGCAGAGGGGCATGGAGCTGCAATCTTCTTCTTGTTGCCCTGTGCTGGCTGTTTCTGGAATGTGAGTTATGAAGTTAATTAATACGCGCGTAAAGAACGAATAAATAAAATCCGCCTTCAATCAAACACAATGGCGAAGGTACACTGCGCCATCTTGGTCAGTGTACTTCGAAGAAGCGGCAACGTTGCTCCTTTTGGACCGTAAAAGGCTGTTGTGTTGAATGTCGCTAGTTAACATTCTAATCATACTCATTTTGTAGGATTATTCGGTATCTGAGGAGATCGAGAAGCTTATCAAGTTCTGCGAGGACTTGTCGGGTGGCGTGGGTGGTACCTTCACCTTCAAACAGATCTTCTACGCCAAGGGCTGTGGTGGCGCTTTTGAATCGCTCGTCGGCACCATGATCGCGGCTAAGAAGCAGGTTTTGCTCCCTCATCCATCTCTCATCTCCCTCTTGCCGGACTACCTCTAATCCATTCCGGAATCCTTTGCCTACAGGGAATCATCTCGTACAATTCCCCAATGGGGAATCTGTTGTTGCAAGGAGCACACGATGACGTAGTGATCACCTACAACGGCCGCCCAGAGGATAGGAAGCCCAAATAAGAACGTCCTTGTGCGTACCGTGCTGTGGATGATTGTACTCTACTCGAAATGTAATCTCTTCTTCATCCATCTGGCTTTGCCGGTACTCGAACTCGCACACCAAAAGAGTACGAGCAAATATTTCGTGCGAGGATCGCACACGCAAGAAACATGCTTGGAGATGGAGGGGGAAGAGGAGGATGTGCACGCCTTCCCCCTTGCTGAGAAGGGCAAAGCCAAGGAGAGGGAAAGCGATATGCCACAGGAAGATGAGCACGGTCTTGTTGTTGCCAAGAGGAAATCCTTCTCTTCACTCAGAGGAATGAAGTCGCGATTTGACGAGTGGGCCGAGGGCGGCGGCAAGCCAGCGCTCCTTCTCGCATCTCGCATCTTGTGGTACGCTTGACTTGAGAGATGGCTGGAAGATCATACTTGTCTAGCCAACAAAATGGGCTCAACGTGTTCGTTGGGGCAGGATGGTCGTGTTCTCGGGCCTTGCCGCCAGCATACAGTTTTGTACTACACCCTCATCTCTCATTGTACACCACCTTCACTCACTCACGCTCGGCTGTTTCGTTGCGGTGCAAAGGGATTCCAAGCCTCTATGCGCCAAACAGCTCCCACAAGGGCATCAACGTGACCGTCCTGCTCTTCAACCTCATCGGCTGCTTCATCATCTCCATCTGCACCGCGTTCAAACAGGTTCGACCGCGCTCACGTTTGCCACACCACTTACCAATTCCTTGCTGCTGACGCCGTGTACGCGTTGTTCTTATCCTGTCCACCAGGTCAAGTTTCAGTACATGCAGTCCTACCTCATGTACGATGGCTTGCGTGCGGGCTTCTGCAGCACGTTCACCACCTTTGGTAATCTGATAGAGGATACCGGCCGGCTCATCCTGTCGGGTACCGGCTCACCCTCGTGCTCAGCTATCCCTTCGGCGCCGTCTCTCGAGCCTCGCTCTCACATCAACTCTCATTCAGGCATGTGGTGGTTGAGCTTCATCAACCTGTTTGCCACGTTCATTCTCTCCTTCTGCGTGTGGGAAGCTGGACGCTTCGTGGCGAGGCGCTGGAAAGGTGGTGTGGCCTACAGGTACGCTTGCTTGTGATCGCTCTCCCGAAGCTCTGCCTTCGTGACCGACACATGGCACAGTAAGATAGAACAGGTCTTGGAGAACGCCGACCAGAGAATGGAGTACGAGGTGGAGAAGATGCTCCTTTCACAGGTACCAGACTGCCCATTCGGAAGCTGTGCCTTGAACGAGACGCTGACCTTGTTCTGCCAGGACTCGCCAGGCATAATGCAGAGTAACGTCTTCTTCAGCGGTTCCAGCAAACCGCTGTACAAGATCTCGCATCACATACAGAAGCAACAGGTCAAGGTAGGTTGTAACACCCAGCAGCTCATTGACTGAGTGCAGCACGCTCACCTCCACTTTTGCTAGTCCAAGCGACACTTGCATCGATGGTGGCTGCTCCGACGTCACTACGTCATCTTGTTGTTGATTGCGTTTCCTCCGCTCGTCAACTACATCATTGGTTCGACACCCCTTTTGCGTAGCCGCGGCCAACCACTGGTACCACACTACTAACTCTTCATGACAACAGTGACTACTCCTCTGGCATATGCAGTGACACAGTTGCTGGACTACCCCTCGCGCGCCGCGCTGGTCTTCGACTGGACCTGCATGCACATGCTCTCCGTAGCGGGCGTGTGCGTTGGCCTGTACGGAGACCTCCCTCCCTCGGTATACGTATGTATGTGGCCGCAAACCACTCTTCTCACCTCACTTTTCGTTCGTGCAGGGCCGTTGACAGCTTCACGACGAGCACGCGCCATAGCGTTCAGGTGATCCTTTACTCCCTGCCGTCCGTATGTCCATTGCTGATGCTGACACTCGGGGTGCGGTTCTTACAGTGGGGCACGTTCAAGAATAACATCGTGTCCTGCATCCTCATCGGGGCTGCCCACTCTCTTCTCCTCTTCCGGCACTATTTTCCCTTTGGTGGGTCCTACTACTTCTCCACCCTCACTTCCCGGTGCGCACAACACCCCTTTGTCGCTTCTTCTTTTTCAAGAGCTCACTACGGGGCCTCTTTTGCTCCTTCATTAGATTCATCACCAGCTTCTGCGGCAGTGAGAGCTCCTTTGCTGGTCTGGTGGACGAGACCGCTGTCCTCTTCCATGCGCGAGTTCAAAAGTGGACATGGGTATGTCTCAACTCAGGTCTGCGCGCATTGTTTGTCTGTGCTCACCTCGTCTCGTCTTTACTTCATGTGTATCGCCCGTGTAGGTTCGCAACATCGGCTACAACCTCTTCCTGTGCACGCTCGTCTTCCTGGTGGTCATCTTCGCCGTGCGGTTCTCCGTCTTCTTTCACTACTTTGGTCCCGAGACCGCCAAGCTGTACGCCACTTCGTTCTCCGGCCTGTCTGTCTTGCGAGTTGTGCAACTCCTTCTCCTCATCCTCGCTTCCTCCTATTCACGTGCATGCAGGTACATATGCGGCGTATTCAACCAGTGCTGAGATGCAGCACTCGTTCTTGCATCTTCGCACAGAGACACTGTCAACATCATCGATCGCCAGGCGAGCGCCACTCCTTCCAGGGCGACAAAAATGGCGGGAAGTGTCGGCTCGGTTTTGCCTGCGTTGCTACTTGGACGTCGACGCACCCCATCAAAATCATTTACAACTTTGCCTTCCGTGGTCGCCAAGCCGCACGTCTCTTCTTTCTCTCTACACGGACACGATGAGCGAGGTACGTAGACGAAGAGACCGTAAGTAGGTTCCTACGCGACGTGCGCCAACTCTCTTTATGCCTGGTTCAGGCGGGGGACGGCGCTGAGCTGAGCGAGTACGAACACGTGAACAAGAAGTCGCGTAGCGAAGTAAGTCAGGAGGATGAGACGCACGGTAAGGAGCCGCCCCAGGTCGAGATCATCGGGACGGCGCAGCTGAAGGCTCAGGAGGTGCTGAAGAGACGGGAGGCGCTACTCGAAGGTTGGTCCCCATACCTCCGCTACACGAACGCGTTTGTTGGTATACTCAGACGTAGCGCTTTCGCTTTCGTGTAGACTCGACGATGAAGTTGCAGAGGATCTACGAAGTATGTATGACGCAACTCAACGAGATGGCCGGACAACGTTCTGCTGAGTGCGAAGCTCTCCTGAACAGTTCGTGTCTCTACTTGCTCGCTATTCCTCTTGCATTCGCCTAATGCTGACGCTCTCGTCTCCCTTTCAGGCCTGCACAGTGTGTACGTCGAGAACTACGAGCTTGCAAATCACCTAGACTTCATTCGGCGCAGCACTCTGGCACTCTTCAGCGTCATCAGCCAGGAGTCTTCCGACGGATCAATCGCCTAGACTAGAGACCCCTAAGCCGTGAATAAAGGGAACACTCTTTCGTGAACGGACACGCGAGCGGCCCCACAAATCTACGCGTTCTTTTTGGCTTTTATTGAAAAAAAAGCCCAAAAGATGAACTGTCTGGGGGTGGTACCCCGCGAAGGGCTCTGGCTGGAGGAACTTGCCCAGACGAGCGTTGAAGAGCTGTTTGGGCCAGATAACCGCTTACCTTGGGAGCTTGTCCTGCACATCTTCTTCCACTTGGACATCTCTGCTCTCGGTCAAGCAGGCTGCGTCAACAAGGTGCCCCCCCCCTCAACTGTGTTTTTCGAAACGTTCTATGTCTCACAACTTGCCCCCAAGGACTGGAAGGAAGTAGCGGACAGCGATGTCTTGTGGGGTCCTATCTATCGTCACCGCTTTCTCGCTCAGATGCCCCTCTGGACGCTGGCCATGGCCGACAACTCCTGGAAGCGCGCCTGCAAACAAGTCGGTGGGTCACCTTCCCCTCGTGCCGTTGATACCCTTGGCCTTCTCACTGTTGTTGTCCCGCACCTTGCAGCGCTGCTGCCAGTGATCGGAACCTCGTGCTCCGGCGCACACTCTGGCAGCTTCTACACCGGACACATCGTTCGGGTGCTACAAGGTTGAATCGCTCATGCTCCTCTTAGCTTCGTTTAGCACTTACACGTCTTCTTTTTTCTGTTCTTGCTAACAGGGGTGTGCGTGGACACTACCACGGACCCAACGCTCATCTTCGCACCTTCTCTTCCAACGTGCATCCAACCCGTTGCTCGCATACGCCCCGTACGGACAATCGCCAGCTCAGGCCTGCAAGCGACGCGTGCCACGCTAGGATTGTTCTCACTCTTCTGATGTGTACGCAACACAGGTGCCTGGCGACGGACTCGTGCCTCCGACAACCTTGGCTGATCTTGTGCAAGGCAAAAGGAAGGCTAATCACGAAAGGAACGTGAAGAGCGATCTGGCACGAGAGGTGCTCGCATGTCTTGACGAAGTCGACCTTTGGTACGCATTACAACTCAATCCGTAATGTACTCCTTGCGCTGTCTCACCGTAATCGACATAGCGACACCGAATGGGGCAAGGCTCTTGGCACTGGACCGGAGGAGGGCGACCCCCTCTTCCAATTGACAAAGTCCCAGCTGCTCAACAAGCTGCTCGCTACCAAAGCAACGGGCCAGTCGATCGAAACGAGCGAAGATCCGATGATGGATCAGCTGCTCGCTGCACGCTACAGGACCTACAACAGCACTGCGATCAGCATACGGACTACAGGTTAACCTCACTCATTGTTCGTTGGCTGCGCAAGTCTGAGCCTGACGCTCTCGCCACGTTCCACTAGAGCTGACCAACACCAAGGTGATTGTTGCTCAGTCTGATGAAGACCGCTATTGCATGCCTGGTACCGGTGCCTTGGCACTTCATGTGTTATGCTGGGCACTTCATGTAGTCTCACATCGGATGAAACATAGGAACAATTACCGGCTTGACGAGTGAGGGATTGATCATGCTAGACTCGATGACCGCCCTTCCGCTCAACAGCTTCCAGCGAAAGGTGTCCCTCAACACCCTAGACCACAGTACCGGCTCCTCCCCAACACAACATCTTTGTTACTACCAAAATCTAACTTTGTGTTGCAGGCCTGCACGAGGACTTGATGACGGCTATATACAACAGTGACGACGCAAGCTTGCGTGACCTGGAGATATTCATAGAGAACGGTGACCACTGGGGAATGAGCTGCATCACGCGTACGATCTATCTGTCTCCCAGCTTCTTAAGAGCAAGCCCTCGTCTCTCACCGCACGAGCTCCTCACCTCGTCATGGGCTCTTCAGGCGTGTCCAAGCCTTGCTTCGTGTTCGAGGTCAGCTTCGAGCATTGGAGCAAATGGTTTACCCTCGACCAGTTGCAGGATTTCTCACAGGACATGCACTCCGCGAGGAAAGCGTTCTGGAAGACCGTTGGTGCGCTCCCCTTGCCTTCTCTGGAATCGATACGTAATGCTAGAGCCTCTCACCCCACTCTCTCTCGCTCTCTCTGTGTGTGTGTGTGTGTGTGTGTGTGTGTGTGTGTGTGTGTTCTGCTTCAGCCGACATTGCGAACGTACCGCCGGCTGATCCGGCCCTGCTCGGCAAGCGGATGCTGATCCAGAACAAGAGCCAGAACCTGGGCGGCCGCATCATCCAATCGCATGGCCCAGGTAAGCGGAGCCAGTCTGAGCCAGTCTGGCTTCAGGGCTGCTTGAAGTTCTCATCTTCTTCGGCACGCACAGGAACAATCACCTCTGACCCTGCACAGTCGAAGATAGCCTACACGTACGAGAAGGTAACAGCGACTCTCCTCTTTTCACGCCATTCATCTAATAACACACTTACGATACACATACGATACACACACGCCAACAAAGGCAACCGACTTGGCCGAAGGCAAGTACACTGTGTCGAGGCAGTACCATGTCGTCATGGAATCGTCGGGGCTGTCCTGCTGGCTGGGCGCCGAGCGGCTCTTCCACTTTACCGGCGCGCCGGACACCATCGCCGTGGGCGACCGGGTGCTGTCCGAGTGGAGACCCAACAACTGGTATGTCTCATTCTTCATCTTCTTGCTGGCCCCTGCATCCAGTATTGACGTGGTCTTTTGCTGTTGTTGTTGTCAGGTACGTTGGGACGGTCACGCATGCGACGCCTGGAGGTTGGCATGTGGCCTACGACGATGGAGACCATCAAGACGACCTCGCGCCGAGCAGCCTAATGCACATCGAGGCCGCTCGCTACGTGCCACCCACCGACAGCGCCCAGTAAATGTACGTCGGCCACGAAGAAGAGAAGCGCGCTCTTCGAAACGGCTCAAGAACCGAAGTAGCCAGCGGGCGGATGAAGAGGATAGAAGTTGGCGTGCGCCATGCGGCCGCCGGAGAGCTTGATGTCGCCATGTCCTCCTCGCGCGCGGGCGGCTCCCTCCGGCGACTCGAAGATCAGCAGCACCTCTCGCTCTTCCACCTTCTTCTTCTCGCCGCCGCTTCCTCTTCTTCTTCGGTCTCTCCGTGGTTGGTTGCCTCCGTCGCGGCCCGTCGCCCCTGGGAGGCCCCGGCCGACACCACGCGACGGCTCGCCGATCGCCAGCCTCTGCGAGCAGATGAACAGAAGATGAGATGAGAGATCGAACGCTCAACGGAGCGCAGAAGCAGTGGAGTGCGCACGCAGGCGGATTGGGCGTGAAGAGCGCGCTTGAGATCGTCGAGCGGATAGTCCAGCGGCACATTGAAGAGCACCAGCTGACTCTGCGAAGTCGCGAAAAAAGTTGAGAAGACGAAGAGAAGAACGAAAACGAAAGAAATCAAAGAACGAAGAGAGAGGCCACGCCGATGAAGCTAGCCTCGATCTTCCTCCGACCCACCTTCATGTCTGATGGTGATAGAAGATGACACATCACCACCACTACCACCGCCACCACGCACAAGTGCCGCGTCTACATCAGGTCATGTAAGTGGTTTAGACCTTGGACGACCTCCTTGACCTGCGTGGCGTGCGCTGTAGACTTGCAGCAGACGATGGACCATTCGCCCTTGAACTTGCCACTCGCGCTCACCCCACTCCTGCAACCTTGCACGCGTGAGTGCCGCTGACGAACATGTTGTGGTTGGCGTGGTTGGTGTGGTGAGTGTGGTGAGTGTGGCGAGTGTGGTGAGTGTTGTGAGTGTGGTTGGCGTGGTGAGTGTGGTTGGTTGAAGTGGCGAACCCTGAGTTGAAGAATTGGTGCCAGGGGCCGATGAGGGTGGCCGGCGAGTCATTGTCGCCGCCGTACTGCCGACAGAGCGTGGCCAGGCGTTCCATTCCCTCCACGTCGCGCGGGTCCACTGCCCACCAGTACACCAGTGGAAGTCGCTCAGCATTCTCACCTTCTCGTGTGCGTGTAGTGTGGTGCGTGTGCGGTGGTACCGCCGTCGAGAAAGAGATGGCAGCAGTGCTTCTCCTCGAGCACGACCAACTCTGCGCGAGTCCTCATCTCCGCCTCCGCCTCGTCCTGCGGCTCAGTCTTGACCACCTGCCGCAGCCGCGGGTCCGCCGACACAGCCGTGTACTGTGGTTGGCCCGCGCCGTGCGGCTGCCACACGCCCGGCAGAGGGGTTGGCTGCTGCTGGAGCCAAGGCCAAGGCGGTGCCATGTAGGGCCTCATGGGTACACCAGAAGATGAAGGTGGTGGAGCGGGTAAGGGGCCGGTCGGTGGCTGACTGCGCTGCACGAGGGCGGCCAGGCGCTGCTGCTCGGGGGTGAGCCGAGGATCGCGCGACAGGTCCAGCACCGACCGCCCCTGCGGAACTGGTGGTACACGACTGCGTTGCTCGTGGGCGGCGGTGCCTACATCGGGCAGTGGCTGCGGCCGCGGCCGCGGTGGCGCTGGTGGCGGCCGCGCGTGGGGAGGCGGGGCGGATCGAGCGATGGCTGACGGGGGGCGGTGGGGAGGCGCGGTGGGGGCAGAGGTAGGTGATGGCGGGCCAAGGCGCTGTCTCTTGGGTGGTGTTGTAGTAGTGGCCGCCGGCCTGCGGCTGGCGGACAGGAACTTGGACGGTTGTGGTTGTGGTTGGGGTGCTTCTTGTGTTGCTGCAGTTGCTGCCACGTCATCCTGCCCTCCCCCATCCTCCTCCTCTTCTTCCGCATACTCTGCTTCATCTTCCAACTCCTCATCTTCCTCCTCATCTTCGCTGCTGAGCCCTCCTTCCTCTTCTTCCTCTGCTTTGAAAGCAAGTGTTGTCTTACGCAGGTGCTGTTCGAACTGCACATCTCCAGCACAGCCATAAGATCAAGCATTTGGATGAGAAGTTCCCATCTTTTGTTGCAAACAAGATGCTGTCTTCTTCTAGAAAGGAGAGGTGGCCTCAGGCACCTTGCTCATGGCTGCACCTTGCTCTGTGTGGGTTTTACTAGTGTACTATCTTTTTGTATTGATAAACACAAAATAAATAAAATGCCAAGAATTCCACCCTTTGTGTCGACTGAGTTTCCACCGAACGGAAGGCGACCTCACCAATCATCGGAGAAGGCGAGGCGCTCGACGGAGGCACCGGTGGCGTGGAAGAGCTGCGTGTGGTCGAACTGCATCGCGTTGAGCGAGCTTTTACACCCCGTCTGCACGCGGTACAGCAGCCCACCCGTCGCCAGGTCCCAAACTGTGGCCACACCTGTCGTTAGTTGTACGATCATGTGTGTGTGTGTGTGTCGTCTGGTGTGCCTTGTATGTGTCGTGTGTGTGTGTCGTGCGTGTCGTGCGTGTGTCGTGTGTGTCGGTGTGTGTCGTGGGAGTGTACCGCCAATGATGCCGTCTTGGCCCGAGGTCAAGACCTTGTAGGCGTCCATCTGGACCCGGTGGATGAGGCCCTTGTGGAGGCGCATCACCGCCGATCCGGGCATGCCCATGAGAAACCTGTTCTGTGCGAAGATCTCCGAATAACACAACCTGGCCATCGTGTTCGGTTGAGTCCCACAATCTGGCGTGTGCGTGTCGTGCGGTCGCGTGTGTCGTGCGGTCGTGTGTCGTGCGGTCGTGTGTGTCGTGCGGTCGTGTGTTGTGTGTGTACCTTTGTACGGTGCCTTCGCGCTGGCCGATGACGATCAGATCGCGGTCGGGGTCGTAGTGGAACGCCGACACCGCGGGCGCCGCCTGGGCCGACTGCTTCGTGCAGCAGGTGGACCGCACCTGCGTGCAGCTCCGCATGTCCCACTCCATCAACCTGCACCCGCGCGCGGCTCGTCACGTGAGGACCAGCACCATTGCGGCGGTTGTGTGTGTGCGTGCGTGCGTGCGTGCGTGTGCGGTGTGCGTGTGTGTGCGTGCGTGCGTGCGTGCGTGGTGTGTGCGTGTGCGGTTGTGCGTTCACGTGTGTCTGAAGTTCAGCACACGTACGTGTTGTCGTTGGAGCTGGAGACGATGCGATGGTCGGCCGTCTGGAGGTGCTTGATATTGGCCGTGTGGCCCGTCATGGAGTTCAGGCACACGCCCGTGTTAATATCCCACATTCTGATATCACACGACACACGTCACACGACACGCAACACGACACGCAACACCACACACTCAGTCACTGCGCGGACGGTGGTGCGTGCGTGCGTGTGCGGTGTGGGGTACCGGATGGTTTGGTCCCAGGAGCCGGTGATCAAGTGGTGTCCGCTGAAGTCGATGCAGGACACCTTGTTCGTGTGCCCCTCGTACGCAATCTCCACCCGCTTGATCTCCTTCGCCTCGCACACATCCACGTCCCACACTGTAGGTGTGCACATCACGTGTGTCGTAAGCCACCAAGTAAGCGGCGCGTGTCGTGTCGTGTCGTGTCGTGCGGTGCGTGTCGTGTCGTGTCTCGTGTTACCGACGATGCTTTTGCCCGAGACGGCGTAGAGTCGCTGGTCGTGTATGGCGAGCACGTCAGAGTAGGAGGAATGCGGAGAATGCAGCACGACGGGCTTCTTGCGCGGCCCGTCGGCCATCGGCACCACCAGCCCCTCGCCTTCGTCTGCCGCCGCCTCCACCTCCCCTGAAGCCGACGACGAAGTCGACGATGTAGGAAAGTAGATGAGGGGTGCCGTCGAGTTTGACGGCGTTGATGACGTGTCGCCGGAGTAGACTTCGTTGCCTTCGTCGCCGCCATCGTCATCCTTCGCCGTCTCGGCATCGGCGTGTGCTGCGTCGTGGTTCGAGTGCAGATCAAACACCTGCAGTTACTGTCAGCACGACACGACACACGACACACAACACACGACACGCACATACCTGCACGCAGCCGCGGTTGAGGCCGACGTAGAGGAAGCGATGATCGAAGCAGAGGCCCGACGCCCGGGTGTGGCAATGGAAGGCCTCGCGGTGGGTGGGCCGCCCGCGGCGCCAGTTCCGCTTGGCCGACCACGCCCCGCGCAACGCACGCTTCCAATCCACAGCACCACCCCCTGCGCGTAGTGCACGGTTGTGTGCGTGTGCGGTGGTGCGTGTCGTGGTGTGGCGTGTCGCGCGAGTAGAAGATTGGGAAAATGAGAAAAAGATGCGAGGCTCTACACGGATGTGAAATGCTGAACGTACGTTCGATCTCTCGTGCGTTGGCTGGTACAGGGGGTGGAGCTGAAGCAGATGAAGGTGTGGATGTGGAAGATCGAAATCGCGTCAATGAAGGGTGGCCATTGCCCAAGATCGCGCGGTAGTGGTGTTGCCACAGCATGTTGGTGGCGGCCAGTGCGCCCCACTCGGTGCTCACGCGGGCGCAAGCTGCCAGGTCGCCCACCCCCAGGAATTCGAACACCAGCAGCACCACCTCATTTGGCAGCTCCATCTTTCGAGAAGATCAAAACTAGAATAATTATTTATTGCCAATTAAACAGAGATAAAATAAAAAACAATAATTACGCCCCTTCGCCCAAAAGGGAAAAAGAAATGCAGTGAAAACGGAAACACTCCAAGAGGCCAGTGCGCACTGGCACAACAAGGGCCACCACAACCAGGGGCACAGATGGAGAACCGATTTCGGGCGCTTTCGCTCCTGCGTGCTTCTGCTGAGTCAGCCGACTCCCGCCACGATCGACGACGACTTGCCAGCAGGGCCAAGCCTTCCACCAACGGCGAACAACACCTGGAAGATGGAGGCCCCAAAGACGCAAGTGCGGAAGTGGAGGACGAACTTGTTGAGGAAGCAGTAGAGGAGGTGTGGTTGGACGCATTTTTGCTGTCCCTCATCTTCTCACACATCCACGACGGACCCTTCCTCGCCCGCCTTCGCCTGGTACGTTTTGTATTTATTTATTTTCTAAATTTCTAAATTAAATTCTAAAATAAATAATACTGATTTGTTAATCTAGTCATAATATTAACTCATATGATTTATTATTATTTTAATGGCCACTGCAGGTGTGCGGGCACTGGTGTGTGGTGATCGACGAGGACAAGCGCCTGTGGAAGGACCTGCTGTGGCGCGACTTTCGGTGGCGCAAGGACCGCCACCGCGGCAAGGGGCGGAAGAAGAAGAACCAGCTCCGCGAGAAGTGCGTCTACCAGAAGCGCTACGCCGAGCTCAGCCACCAGCGCAGGCAGGCCGAGCTGAAGGAGGCCAAGCGGCGACTCGTCCATCAGGACAGAGTCATCAAGACCGCCCACATCTTGCCTGGGGTACGCTTGGCCCTGTGCGTGAGTGCGTGAGTGCGTGCGTGCGTGCGTGCGTGCGTGCGTGCGTGCGTGCGTGTGCGGTGGTTGATTTGATGCCCTATGTGTGTCACACAGCTAGTGCGCCTCTTGTGTGTGCATAGACGAGACTGCGACGAGAACCACCCATGGTTCCTGTGCCCCCACCCCGAGCCATGGTGCTTGCCAGCCTCCTAAGACGTCAGCTGGTTCCTGTGAGCCAATTGGAACGGGTGTGTCGTGTCGCGTGTTATGTGCGTGTCGTGTCGTGCGGTGTGTGTCACGGCAGGCTGGACGTGGCGGGCAATGGGACGGAGAGGAGGTGGTGCGCGTGCAGAGCGTGTGGGGTGGAACTGCTGGTGAGTAAGGAACACCACAAGTACTGGCTGGCGCACTACCCGCAGCTGCTCTCCGTGTCGACGCCCGACGACTTCGCCCGCACGCGCCACCTGAAGACTGTGGCCTCCAAGCTCAAATTGGCCCGCGAGACGCCATCGGGCACCCTCAGCGCCACCGCAGCCCACACCACCTACGCCGCCTATCTGCAGAGTCTCGCCGAGCCGCGGCCAAGCCCGATTTGAGGAATGTTATGTTGTATTAATCGAGTGTGTGTTGCATGTCAATTGCAAACTTGATCACATGTTGCCCAAATATGGTTATTAATGAATGTCGGTTGGTCGCTCATTGGGCGAGCTGGCGCAGTTGCTGTTGGAGTTGGGCGGCCTGGCTTGCAACGCCGCCCGCGGCTTCTCCGTCGACGGCGGTGCCCTCGCGCCACCCGTTGACCAAGCGTGCGATCGCACCCGCAAGCGCGTTCACGTCGTCCGCGATGCGAGCAGTCGATGAAGATGACGAGGCGGAGGTGGTGATGATGCTGACCGCGGCGTCCTTGACCTCCTTGGCCTTCCTGACGATGCCCAGGGCCTGCGCGTTGTCGTAGCCCGTTGTGGTTGTGGTGGTCTTACGCAGGAGGTGCACCAGCTCGTCGATGAAGAGCGATACCAGCGTGAGCTCCGTCTCCAAGGGGTCGACCGACGTCGCGCGCTTGGTCGCGACGTCGCACGTCTCCTTGTGGTCGCGCTCGCGTCGACGTTCGGCCATGGCGTCAGACGAGGAGGTCTTGGGCTTGGTCACGCCACTGTCGGCCCTGAGCAGCCTCGCCAGCCGCCACTCACCGCTGATGTACTTGTCGAGCCGCTGCTTCTCGCATTTGGCTCGGTACGCCTGGTCGTCACACGGCGCCTCCTCGTTGTCGTCGATCGCCACCACCACCGCCTCCGCCGACGGCGAAGTGGGCTCCAACAGCGGCGAGCGAGGAGGCACCGGCGGAGGGGCCATGACCGGCGAGCGCGGCGGCACGGGCGGCGGCGACGCGGCCGAGGTGGTCGTAAGGGCGCAGGCCCCGGTGCCAATGCTGGCAGCTGTGACGGCTGCAGTGGGAGCTCTGGGAGCTGTGCTGGGCGTGAGGGCGATGGTGGCTGGCGCGACCCACTTGGGTGCGTTGGTAGTGGTGGTGGCTGCGCGGGTACGAGTGCCACCGCTGGAAGAGTACAGACCCATGGCCCGCCGGTTCATGATCGCGTCAAGGCGCTGCTGTTCCTTGGCTGCTTCGAGTTGGTTCATCTGCAGATAGAGGGATGAAAACAAGAACTAACAAAAAGAACGAAAGCAGAGGAGAACGAGGAGCGAGTGGAAGAGGGGAAGTGCGCACTCTTTCCAAATCTTGAGAGTTGGTGCTGAATGCTCAGAAGCGGTTGACGGTGAGAAAAGAGGACAAGAGCGAAGCGGTGGCTCTATCTCTGTTCCTGTGTGCTGTTTACGCTTTTTGGGAATCTGTTCAGTCTTGCCGTTTAGGGAAATTCCGTGCGAAGGGGCACGCGCCCGGACTGGAGTTGGAGTCACCACCAAACTGAGTGGTCATGGCCAGTGCGGTGCCCATGCCTCCAGACAGGCATGGGTCTTTCCGCCATCTTAGGTACAATGCAGTGGCGTTGAGGGATATTCCTTGTGGCCCTCCCTTGGTCGCACAACCAAAGGCAACACAGCTGCTCCCTCGTTGGGCCGGTGATCACACCACGACGGGTGTGTGCAGTTTTGCTCGGTGGTGGCCGTGCCGAGCGTGCCGGAAGTCTACGGCAGAAGCCGTTGGTCTGCAATTCAAGGAAAGGCTCTAACGCCGACTTCCGCTGCGGTGACGCCGTTGGCGGAATTTCGGCGCGCCTTTTCCTGACTGGCCCGTTCCGAGTTGTTGTCGACATTAGAAGTGCCCGAAACTACGCAAAGCGCGGCAACTGGCCGGTTGCCTTCTTTTCGACTTCTGCTGCTTCGCGTACACACCACTGCCCAGCCGCAGAGTTGATCATCTAATCAACCACTTCCTCTTTTGATTCCTCAATCATCATTCAACCGCCGTCCATCCTTCATCAAGATAGAAAGCTTGGAAGAAGAACCAAAGACGACTCAAGTATCATCTCGCGCACACTTTTGAAGTGTGCTCATTAACGAAAACGCTTACCCAAGTACTGTCGATTCAAAGGTGCTGCTTTCCCTCTCCACCCTTTGCAGGATCCATATCTGTGTGCTACGTTTTTTTCCCATCTTCCCAATTATTCACTTCATTCAATTTTTCTGCAGAAATTCGGAACTGGAAACTATCAGCAACCGAGAGCAGGCCCCCACCAACAGGAAGGAGACCACCAATAGGACCACTACCAAGGAAGACATCGACAAAACATGAAGTCCTCGACCTCGAACATCAAGAACGCCTCCAACAACCACAACAACTACAGCAGCAGCAGCGATGGCATCGGCCAACCGCGCCGCAACAGCGCTGCCACTACCAACGGCGGTGGCGCGGCTGCCGCTACGGGGAAGAAGGGCCGCGTGTCTCTCGAGACCGCGCGTCGCGATTCGGTAGGGAAGGAGTACCTCTACAAGGTGCTGGTCGTGGGGTGCGCCGCCACCGGCAAGACCTCGCTCATCCACAGGACCGTCGAGGGCCACTTCTCGGGCCAGTACAAGTCCACCATCGGCGTGGACTTTGCCCTCAAGTCGCTCGAGCGCGATCAGCACAAGATCTTCGTTCAGCTCTGGGACATTGCCGGTACGTGGCCCCTACTACACGACGCTACACTCACATCTATTTTCACTTCATCTGCTACTCATGATCTTGAGTCTACACTACACACGCGCACCACCACACGCACACGCGCGCACGCAAGTGAGTGATGGAGGGGGAATGTGTTGGGCATTCCGTCTCCTGAGCCTTGTACTCCACGACTTGCATCTCGATGCACAAATACAACAAATCCACTTTTACGCGTTCCGTCGATGTGCGGGGTCGCCTTGGCGTCGGTTTTCATCTTCTTCACCGCTCGCGCGTTCGGTGCATAACGAATTCTCTCTCTCTCTCCCTCTCTCCCCACACTTTCTACTCGCAGGTCAAGAGAGATTTAGCAGCTTGACCAGGGTCTACTATCGCGACGCCGTGGGTGCGTTTGTGGTAATCGACGCCACCGCTGATCTGAAAACTTCGCTCGAGGTACGCCGCACTCAGACACCGTGCGCGAGCGCCCTTTTTCAACCTCCCACTGACTCTTCTTGATCATCGTCATTGTATAGAGCGCAAAGAAGTGGAAGGACGACGTGGACGACAAGGTGAAGCTCCCCAACGGGGAACACCTGCCCGTGGTACTCATCGCCAACAAGTCTGACCTGTTGGGCAACATTCACAACATCAACGAATCCGAGATCGACGAATTCGCCAAGGTACCGCACACAGCACCTTCTTGTGCTTCGTCGTGCGTCGTGTCGCGTTTATTCTCACACTGTGGCTGCGTGCGTGTGCGATTCACGACAGGCCAACAAATTCGCTGGTTGGCTCGCGACGTCGGCCAAGGAGAACATCAACGTCGAGGAGGCTGTGGGCGCGCTCGTCGACAAGATCCTCCAGAACGCCGAGAGGAACTGCCTGCTTGAGAGGTCGCAGGGTCCGTCCCTCGACGAACGAGTCAGGAGCCTCGAATTGTACAGAGAACTGCACGGCAACGACGTTCGTTCTTCCTTCCCTTTCTCCATCGATGCGTGCGTGTTGCGTGTGTGCGTGTGCGGTGGTGTGTCGCGTGTGTGTGTTATAACCCCATGCGTTCTTGATCAATCATTAATCCGCTTCTCCTCCTTCACTTTGATGCAGTCGGGCGGTTGTTGCTGAGCGTGACGACGAAAGAGCGAGCGCGACTGAGTGGAGTATCATTTTGCCATCCTCTCACCGTGCGCTTCGAGAGCTCCTTTGGGCACATCACGCCCAACCTCCTTCCTTCCTCTCTTCCTCTTCACTTCTCTTCCTCTTTCCCTACTTGTACACTTTTGTATTACTTCACCTCAAGCTTGAGGGGTGTAGGTTTAGCAACAAACAATTTTATGATCAAACAACACTTCCTACCTCACTCTTGAGAAGTTGGTGTGATGATGATGATGATGATGAGGAAGAAGAGACACATGTTGGAGTGTAGTTGGTTGAGCCACCAATCAACGAAGTGGCCCTCATGGTGGGTTTGGTTTGTGAATTTTCGAAAGAGTTCGGCGGAGGGTGCCCATAGGCGGCTCACGACCGCAGGACTACCTGAGTTCCGTGCTCCTGCGGAAACGCGAGAGTTGGAAAAGACGCTCGAGCTTCACACAGTACAGCAGCCTGCGAAACGAACCCACAACACCACCTGCTCTCATCGTAAAACAGTAAATAGCCATCGAAAGAAGTCGCTCCAGATCCTCCCGCGCCACCTCAATCACGAGCGATTCAGAACCCTTCAATATTGAAGATGGATAGTCGGTCGTCTCAGGTTTGCTTGCCCCCCCCCAATACTCATCCTATTATTACTTATTTAATCTGACATATATACATTACAGATGTATTTCTAACATCTATTTATTATATTTTTTATTATTATTATTATGGAATGTTCAACGTAGCCTGCGCGCTCGACCAGCGGCAGCACCTCGGTGCCTACGCCCCTGTTCCGCAGCAGCACCCACACCTCCCTCCCGCGACCACCACCATCCTCTTCCACCTCCACCACCTCCTTCACCTCCTCCTCGTCGGCCATCCCCGTACGGTCCTCCTCCTTCGCCTCGCTGCCCTCGTCCGCCGCCCAAAGCTCGTTGGGCCTGGCCGGCATCCACTTCCCGCCGCCGCCGCGCGCCGCCAAGCCCCAGCCGGCCCACCCACACACCGCCGCAGCTGCCAGGCCCGCGCCGGCGCCGGCGCCCGTGCGCTCCATCTCGCCGCCCATGCCCCACCACGCGCTCCCCGCCCCGCTCCTGCCCATCTCGGCCGCTCCGGCCTCGTCGCTGTCGTCATCGGCGTCGTGCATTCCCACCATCAGCGCCAAGCCACCGCCGTCGTCGTCGCCGCCGCCGCGGCTGGTGGCGGTGCCCAGGTCGACCTCGGCGTCGGTGCTGACGTCATCGGCGCCCGTCGCGGCGCACCACCACAGCACCGGCGCCGGCTGCGGGCCGGCGTTGATGCGGGCAGTCTCCCTCTCCGCTCTCCCCGCCACGCCCGCCGCCGCTCCTCCGCCCGCCGACTTGACCTTCCTCTCGCACACGTCGTTCGCCGCCTTCACCGACTCGCCGTCCGCCTTCACCGCGTCGTCGTCGTCTCCAGCGCCGGCGCCGTCGCCCGTTCGGCTGTCATCGTTCGTGAGTGGCGGCGGCGGCGGCGGCTACGGCGGAGCGTTCGGGCAGGGCCTGGCCTACGCGCAGGCGGCGGAGGAGAACGAGCGCGCGGGCGACGCCGAGCGCGCCCTCGCCCTCTACATCCACGCCACCGAATCCCTCTTCGCCGCTGGCTCCGGTATGCCGCCCCTCCAACCTCCCTTGACTTCCATTTGATGTCGACACCGACATATCGCGTGTGCGTGCGTGTGTGCGGCGTGTGCGTGCGTGTGTGCGGCGTGTGCGTGTGCGGCGGTGCGTGTGCGTGTGTGCGGTGGGGCGTGCAGAACTGGAGGACCTGGAGACGAAGAAGGTCCTGGAGCAAAAGCTGCCGGAGCTGATTCACAAGGTGGAGGGTCTGCTGGCCCGCCAGCACCACCACTTGGCGCCGCCCGCCGCCTCCTCCCCACACCCGCAGCCGACCTCGCCCCAGGCCGCCCACCAGCCGCCCGCGCCCCAGCCCGCAGCGTCGCTCCTCCCCAAGCTGCCGCCGCCGCCCTCCTCCTCGTCCAACCGCGCGCCGTCGCCCAGCCGGCCCGCGCAGCCCGACCAACCCCAGCACCTGCGCCCGCACCAGCAGCACCACCAGCAGCGCCTGCTTAGCATGTCGTGCTCGTCGGACGAGGACGAGTTCAATCCGTTCCCGGCCTCGCCCCTCCTGGCGCCGGCCAACGACGCCGTTCAGCGCCAGCAGTCGGCGTTGGCCGCGGAGGCCGCGCAAAAGCGGGAGCGGGCGCGGCTGGCCGAGGCCCTGGGCCGCGGCTGGGGCCAGACGGTCGCCCGCCCGTCCGCCGAGGACCTGCTGTGCGGCTCGCCCCACATGACCGCTGCCGCCGCCGCCGACTCGCCCGATTTTGTCGACAAGGCCAAGGAGTCCAGGTCGTCGCCCCCCTCTGCGCTCGACGCTCGCGGCAGCGGCGGCGGCGGCGGTAAGGTGGCGTGCCCGATATGCGGCGACGAGTTCGTGGTGGCCGAGATCGAGCGACACGCCACCGCCTGCCTCGACCGCATGGAGCGACGCGACAAAGGTGCGCCATCCGTCCAGCGTGTCTCGTGTCGTGTCGTGTGTGTCGTGTGTCGTGCGGTGGCGCGTGTGTTCTGACGCGTTTTTCAGGGCGTCTGGGCAGCGGGTTCCTCAATCCGTTGCCGATGATCAAGAGGAGCCTCTTCTTTTCGTCGTCGTCGTCGTCGGCTTCGGCCGCGTCATCGAGGCCCGCGCCCGACGAGCTGGCCAAGGGCGGCGGCTGGGCCAGCGGCGAGGGCTCCTCGCTCCTCTGCGGCTCCTCGTCGTCCCTGGAATGCGTCGACACATTCTCGTCGTCGACGGATTCATCGACCGCTGCGTCGGCGTCGTCGTATCCGTCGCTGCAGGCCCTGGAGCCGTCCGAGGCCCAGCGCTACGCCGGCGGCGGCCGCTCAAGTCGCGCCGCCTCGCCCCGACGCCCGCCCAGCCTCTCCAACAAGAAGACCATCGGTACGCGCGTGTCGTGTCGTGCGCGTGTTGTGTGTGTCATGCGCGTGTGTTGTGTCGCTAATGTCTGTGTGCGGGGGGGGCAGGCACGGTGGTGGAGGCGACGTCGAGCAACTACGCGACGGTGACGTACCTGCGGCAGGGCATCCGGCGCTCGGCCGAGTCCATGTGCGACAAGAGCAGCGTCACCTACGACGACGCCCTGGCCGCCCACACCTACCCTCTGTACCAGTCCCTCCACAATTCTCCCATTTGGTGGGCTGAGCAGCTTTGTTTTTGGCTAATCTCCGATTGGCCAGGATCGAGGCCATCTCGTCGTCGACTTCGTCGTCGTCCTCGTCATCGTCGTCGACCACGACCACGTCGGCTGAGGCTTCGTCACCGATGACGTCAGCATCGACATCGATCGGGTCGTCGTCGTCTTCGACGTCGGTCGCGGGCGGCGGCGGCGTGTCGACGCTGTCGACAGGGCCTGAATTTGTGGACCACGCGCCGCTCGTGTTCCACCGCCTGCGCGCCCATTTTGGCGTCACCGCCAGCGCCTACCTCGTACGCACCCTTCTAGCCTGTGTGCGTGTGTCGTGTCGTGTGTCGTGTGTGCCGTGTGTCGTGCCGTGTGCCGTGTGTCGTGCGCTGAAGCTTGTGTATGTGGGTGGTGTGGGTTGCCAGGCGTCGATGGGCGTGGGCGCGGTGGAAGGGGAGAGCTTTTCGACGATCGTGTCGCCCGGCAAGAGCGGCTCGCACTTTTACTTCTCGCCCGACACCCGGTACGTCATCAAGACCATCAACGACGAGGAGTTCCAGTTCTTCCGCGACAACGTCTTCTCCTACTACGAGGTACCACGCTCCCCCCATCGGTGTGGTGTGCGGTTGTGTGTGTGTGTGTGTGTGTGTGTGTGTGTGTGTGTGTGTGTGTGTGTGTGTGTGTGTGTTGACACCATGGTGGTGTGAATGACAGCACATGGCGAGCAACCAGAACTCGCTGCTAACCCGATTCTTCGCACTCTATACTGTCCGAGCCAAGGTACTCTCAGCAACACGAACACACGCATGACACACGCATGGCACGACCAACGACACGACGCGCGATTCTCACAAGTCGTACGCTGCGATGACACACGCAGGCATCAACGCACCACTTTGTGGTGATGGAGAACCTGTTCCCGTGCGACCTGCCCGTACACGAGGCCTACGACCTCAAGGGCTCCATGGCCGGCCGCTTCGCCTCCGAACAAGAGGTGCGTGCACGACACACATCCGCACACGCACACACGCGCACACATAGAAACTCACTCAAACGCGCGTGTGCGGTTGATCGTGTCGTGTGTCGTGTCATGGCACACACGAGCAGTTGATGAACAAGGAGATCGCGGTGTTGAAGGACATCAACTTCCAGAAGAACCGCAAGCTGGTCATCGGGCGCGAGAAGCGTCAGCTCTTCTTCCGGCAGCTCGAGATGGACTGCCAGTGGCTCGAGTCCCACGGCGTCATGGACTACAGCCTTCTCCTCCTCATCCACAAGAACAGCTCCTCCTCGCCTCCATCGTCGTCGTCGTCTTCGCTTTCGTCTTCGCTTTCTTCGTCGTCTTCGCTCTCGCCCGCCGCTTCGGCCTCGTCGTCGGCCTTCTCTGCGCTGTCGACACTGTGCGCGCCGACGTCGGCGACGGCCGCGGCCCCGGCGAAGAAGCCCCTTTATCCGTCGCTCTTCGGCGGCGGCGGCGGCGGCGGCCAGGGTCTGTCGCCGCGGGAGAGCGCCAAGGCCGAGTCGGTGTTCCGGGTGGACAGGGGCGGGCTGGCCTCGACCGACGACTTCGACGAGGACCAAGGCGAGATCTACTTCATGGCCATCATCGACATCCTGCAGCCCTACAACTGGTAACGTGTGTGTTGTGTGTTGTGTGTGTTGTGTGTTGTGTGGTCGTGTATGTTGTGTGGTCGTGTTGTGTGTTGTGTGTGGTCGTGTATACTGATGAGGGTGGTGTGCAGGCGTAAGCGACTGGAGAACACGTACAAGAAACTGTTCGAACACGAGGACGCCATCTCATGCGTGGACCCGATCAAGTACAGGTAATACCCAAACGACTCCTCTCCACCCTCCTTCGTCTCCTTTCTCGTTATTTCGCAATCGTAGCCTGCCATCGCTCACATAAATTCAATTCGTGTACATCTGTATTGTCGTTGGCGTGTGTTGTGTTGTGCCGCGCGCGTGTGCCACGTTTGTGTTGTGTCGTTGGTTATTGGTGTTGCAGCAATCGATTCGTGTCGTTCATCAAATTCCAGACACAGGGCTCTGCGCAGAAGGCCTGAGGCTCCTCTCTTGGTGTGCGGCCAAAGAGATGACGTCTTACATTTCTTTTCTGTTCGGTGGAACATTAAAAACAAATTTTTCCCTATCACCTTGCACCTCCTCTTGCGGTGCCAATCGTCGGACGGCCTGTAGTAGTGGAGGAAATCGAGCTCGGCGGCGCCGATGGACTGCAGTTGGAGTTGCGCCTGCGGCATGTACATCTCGGGCACAGCGCCGCTGCCTATGTTGCGCGACACGGGGCACTTGATCTCGACCATGAGGCCGTCGGGACTGGCGCCGAGCCAAGGCGAAATAATGCGCGACCTGGAGAGTCCACCCGCCCAGTTTCTGCCAGTCCCGACTACACCATGCCGCCGAAGCGCAAGTGAACGACGCCATTCGATCCGACCCTGTTGCCGGTTCGCCGTCTTTGGCGTTCCCATGTTGCGCCAAGATCGTGAGGGTGCGTGCGAGGTATGTCGGTCCTACGAGATCGAACACAGGGCCATCCCCAATCTTTCGCCCTGGGGTCCGCTGTTGGAACAAGTCCCTCCATCCGCCGTTGGCTGTGCTCGTCGTCTCGAATCCCGCGATGCCTCTCTTGAGCTGAACAAAGCCGACATGGATCATCGTGGTCGTGTTCGGGTGCTCGTCGCGAGCGAGTCCAAATAAAGAACACGAAGGAAGGTAAACAGGGACCGCCGAAGGATCGCCTTGGTTTCAAAGGGGACAGTGGGACAGTGGCTTCTGTGGGAGCCCGGCTTGCCGGCGATGGTGGTTGTGGGGGGCGCCCTCGCGAGCAAGTCGGGCCTGTAGAGACTAGCGCTGTACCGCCGTGCACAACTCCACCAGCATGCCGTCAGGGCAGCGCACATAGGACACCGTCTGCCCCCAGGGTTTTTCGCTTGGCGCGCTGAGTTCGCTGGCGCCTGCATCCAGCGCCCGTCGATGCGCTGCGTGCACGTCTTCGCAGACCAGGGCGATTTCCATGCCCAGCGGCCTGGTCGAGCTGTGGGCTTCGACATGGCCGCCGCTGAAGTTCATCCCGGCCAGTTCATGGGCGGCGAAGGCTAGGGCGGTGGCGCTGGTTTCCAGTTCGCCGTAGGTGCCGGACTCATGGAGGAAGCGGGTGGGCAGGCCGAAGGCGAGGTTGAAGAAGGCAAGCGAAGCGCTGACATCGGGGACGTAGAGAATGGTGTAGGCGAATTTCATGCTTGAGCAGTCCTTGTTGGGCGATGACGAGAAGGTGCAGGAGGATGGTGGTCGGCTCTGAGAGCCCGCGGAGGACGGAGCCGAATTCTCTGGCTATTTTTTCCCGGTGAATATTGCGCGGCCGGAGCGAATCCCGCGGGGGGAAAGTTGCCACGTCAGCACCAGCCAGTCCCGCATAACCAACGCAACTCAGCTGAAAAATCCTTTCTACACTCCGCGAACGGCAAGGCCAGCGCCAGCGATTTCGAATTGCAAAAGATTTATTGCTGAATGCTAATTATGAAGTGGGTGCACTGCTTGTAGAATCAGAGGAGGTGAGTGTAAGGGAGGGTGATGAGTGTGTTGAGCAAGAGAAGATGGACCTGGTGGTCAGGTGTGTGAGCTGGCCTGGTAGAGCAGATGGAGGAGCTTGGTGTGGGTGACACTGCCAAAAATAGATCAAGGCATTATCAACAAAAAAGAATTGAAGAAGGGATGTCAATGAAGAAGGGATTTGTGGTGTTGCAAGATCAATTGGGCATAGTAAGCAATGTTGGGCATCTAGTTCCTTGTTGTTGGCCATGGCTGATGGCAGGGTGTCTTGCACCTATGCATACATAACAACAAGAACTGTAAAACCAGACACTTACTTTATCACATACACATACACAATGACTACATGTTGAGAGGGGTCACAGCTGCAGTCTAGCACAGAATGCAGGGTAGCTCTATCAGTGTGTTTGTCTCACCCCTTGCATTGGTTTGCAGCTCATGCATTCAGCCCACTTTTTGGTGTGCAACCCAATGGCCTTGTGGTGTAGGTTGCCCTCCACCACCCACCCTTTGGGGTCAAATATGGTGACCTCAGTGCTGAGGGGTGGAACTGTCCACATGCCCAGGATATGTGGTTTGCCATGATTGATGTCAGCCGCCAGCATGTCAGCAGGGTTGGTGAGGTAAGGGGTGAGTTCTGGTAGGAGTACTTCCTTTTTTACTCACTTGTGCCAGCTGAATTCCCACAGGAGCAGTTACAGGGTTTCAGGCCCCCTCTTTGTTGTAGCAGGAGGTGCAGTTCTTGTCTGTGGCTACAAGTGGGGCTCCAAGGATCAGGAGCAAGAGGATGGACCACCCAAACCCAAGGAGACAAGAGTGGGGAAAGAAAGAGGAGTGGGAGGGGGCAGGCCTGGGGCTGGCATCACAGCACCACCAGGGGGTAGGACTAGGGGCGCTTGGGGAAATTCTGGGCCAGGAGGAGGGCATTCCTTTCATACTCAGCCATGGCAGTGGTGTTGACTGCCCTCTTGTCAGCTTGGCACTGCAGGCGGGCCTGTTGGGCAGCAGCTCTAGCTGCCAGCCTAACCTCTGATCCTGCCAGGCACTTGAGGGCAGCTTCACACTCTTCTTCTGATTTGGCCTTAGTGATGGTGATGCACTTGCTGTTGAAATGCTTGTGGTCTGGATCAGGGTAGAGGGGTAGCAGAGGGAATGGGGAGGCCAGGGGTAGGGGGGGTAGGGGGGGCTTACTGTTGAATTTGAGTGCCTTGCGCAGATTGCTGGCCCTCTTGAACTGAATGGTGATCCATGGTGTCAAAATCACACATGCAGATCCAAATCTTCAAAACTGCCCTGTAAATCAAAAATGTCAAATCTCACATGATTTTAGCACAACATAAATTCCACAATCATTTGTGACCTCTCATTTCAAATGACCACAAGTTATTTGTGCAATGCATCACCATTCCTGGATGGCAGGTGAATGTCAAAAATAAAATAACATGGTGAAAGGAAAGTTGATTTGGCAGTAGAACATGAGTATACATGATGCTGCCCAGGCCTTAGCATGGAAAGTGGGATCAGCAACTTCAATGTGCCAGTACTGTGCAATCCACCATGAAACACCAAACACCTTTCTTGGCAAGGATGCATGTGCACAGTGATTGCTGGGCGGCCACCAATGATGGGTACTCGCACATTGCAGAATTGCTCAGGGCCTTGTTCACAACCTTGGAGCAGAAGAGCTGGCATGTCAGCCCATGATGTTGTCAGTGCTTGCACAGTAGTT